CTGACTGTTACTAATATCTTTGAAGCACCTGAGGTGCCCAGGAAGGCTCCTCGTGAGGAAAAAGTGTCCGTTCCCACTGCCAAAGCACCAGAGCTTCCAGCACTCAAAGGTACCTCTTTTCATGGATAACTTAACAAAGAAGATTCTTTATCTTCCTCTCTTGAGCGTTGTCCTCCCTCTCTTGGCCTGTCCCTCTCTGTCCCAGAGACTCTCAAGACTGTGCATGCCTGGTAAATGGTGCCGTATGTGCGTGTATGGTGATGAGCTGGCTGTGTGGTGATGTTCTGTATCTGTGCTGCCCCGGATTTTGTTCCTGTTTGGCATCTGCTTTCACCAATGTAAAACAAAACACACTAATATCTTTGAAGTGCCTGAGGTGCCTGAGGAAGAGGAGGAGGAAGCACCCGAAGCGGTGGCACCAGTTGCTGAGGCTGGAGAGCCAGAAGCTCCTCCAGCTGAAGGTACGCAGTGGTGTTCTGAAAGAGCTCGTTCTTCCTTCTATGTTTCCACAGTCCTGAGTGCTCTTTGCCCCTCTGTGTTCTGTGTGGTGGGGTGAGGACAGCTTTTGGTTGTGTTGTGTCCCTATGTGCCTCTACATGCCTGCAGGAGAAAGTGGTGTTTGTCAGCAAGAGCTCTCTCATAAGTCCATAGTTTGGCTCCTTGCTGAGAGTGGTACTCCCAAAGGAAGAATGCTTGTCTAGAGAGGGCTCCCTGGTAGTCTGTCAAGGGTTTACTTTCCTGCTTCTGCTTGCCAGTTGGCTGATTTCTGATCTTTAGCACAGTCAAGTAAATGGGACTACTATCTTTAAAGTGCCTGAGGTGGCTGAGGAGGAAGAGCCAGAAGAGGAGGTGCCAGTGGTCATTCCCCCAAAGCCTGTGGCAGTGCCCAAGAAACCTGAGGCAGCACCCAAGAAACCCGTGTCTGTGCCCAAGAATCATGAGGCGGCACTCAAGAAACCTGTGCCCAAAAAATCAGAGTCTGCGACTGTGCCAAAAATACCAGAGCCTGTGCCTGTCCTTAAAAAAACTACAATTCCTTCTGTTAAAGGTACATGCGTCAGTCACTGAGCCTCATTTTCTCTAGTCTTGAATGTTTTCACTTGTTTCATTGATGTATGCAGTGGTTAGGTATATGAGGGTATAATCTGTCGGTTAATATGTTATTCTTACATTTTTCATGTCTTATAGTTTTTAGTTGTACTTTTAAGTGTTGTATGTATATATTTATGTTATGTTTCACAAAATGATAATTTACTAATATCTTTGAAGCCCCTGAAGTGTCAGAAAGAGCTGTCCCAGAAGAGAAAGTGCCTCTTATAACACCTAAAGAGCAAGAATTTAAAAAGCCAGAACCTCCTCCAACCAAAGGTATATATTGGCAGGAGGCATCTCCTGAGAAGAAATATTTTCTTTTGTCTCTGTTCTTTGCTTATAACGGAGTCTATAAAATGTGTCATGTGTACATAGACTACTTTGGGAAAGACTGTTTTGAACACAGTCTTTCATGGTTATGGCTGTTGTTACTCACTGTGATTTTCTGTGTTAGGTTTCCTTGTCTTTTTTATGTATCATATGTACATTTATGTACATGTCTGAAAATGAAATAATGTTTTTTAAAGTGCCTGAGGTGCCCAAGGAACTTGCTCCAGAGGAAAAAGTACCTGTTGCTGTTCCTAAAATACCTGAACCAGTACCAAGTGAAGGTTTGTGCCATCATAGTTATTACTGTAAAGACAATCTTGTTCTTCCAAACATAAGCCTCAAAATAGATGTCCTTTTTTTCCTTTTGTAATGTATGTAAATTTTTCACTTAATATTTTAGATTATACCACTCTGTGTTTCATGTATCTACTATTATATTTTCATATTTTGAAGAAAATATCAGTTTTAAAATCAAATATTTTCAAGTGACATACGGTCCTACACAGGACATTCCTAAAAAAGTGTGTCTCTCTTCAAGATAATAATTAATTCCCAACAATTTTGAGTCTCTTAAACCCTATTATTTATATTGCTATTATAATCTTAAATTAATTGAGATCCTTGAAGCTTTTATTCTTTCTAGTTACAATGACTCACCCACAGATTTAATGTTTAGTTTACGTTGTACACATAAAAAAATTATACTTCACAAAACCCAATTCATTCTCATATAGAAAGAGAGTAGTTTTTTCAAGAACATGCATTAACTGCAAAGGTAACAGGTACTGCATTATTACTTATCTAACATGTTTTTGTTGGTATCACTTGTGGTAGCTTTCTTTTAAGTGATATGCACACAATTATTCATGTGAAATCTTATCACTAGCAACTTACACAAATTGTCAATATTCTTTAAAGAATATGAAATCATAAAGGACACTGAGCCTGAAGAAGAAGAAGAAATTCCAGTTGCAGAAATAGAAGAACCTTTACCAGTTGAAGGTATACAATGTACTTACCTAGAGGCTGCTGGACACCTTTCTTTCATTTCCTTTCATTTCCTTTCATTTAATTTCATGTAGTTTTCTTGCTCTGTCATTCTTCAAACATGTACCTGTATGTTGCAGGTCTCTGCATAATTCTTCCTCTGTTCTCATTTCTGCTTTGGAAATTAGTTGTGATTTCTTAATTCTAAGGGCAACGTCCAGATTATTTTAAATTTTTTCAATTTGTTTTGTGTCAACAAGAGTCTTCCTGTCATGTGGCTTCCCACCTCTGTTCTCATGTTATTAATATGCTTTTTTAAGTCAGCTTTGATGTTTTTACTGTGCGCATGCTACATGCATGCTACTACAAAGCAGTAGCCTAAGGCTCCTTCATACTCCCATTGAATTAAATGAGATTTTTCCACTGACTTCATTGAAAGGGAAAATGACCATCTTTATATGTGTACATTACTCTTCACTTAACTGCTTATGGTCATAAATTTATGCTAAATATACTTAATGTTATTCAAAGTGCTGCCACCTGAAAAGAAGATCCCTGAAAAGCGAAAACCACTACCACCACCTACTCCACCAAAAGAGGATATCAAATTGGCAAAAGAACTACTTAAAGGTATAATCATCTGAAGCCACAATTAACCGTGGGAACTCAAATAATCCTTTTAAGTTATACTGATGAATCTTGAAAAGCATGCTTTTGAACATATCACTCTGGGTATTTGGGGGATTATTTTGGTTTTTATCTCTCCTCTCCTCTCCTCTCCTCTCCTCTCCTCTCCTCTCCTCTCCTCTCCTCTCCTCTCCTCTCCTCTCCCCTCCCCTCCCTTCTCCTCTCCTCTCCTCTCCTCTCCTCTCCTCTCCCCTCCTCTCCTCTCCTCTCCTCTCCTCTCCTCTCCTCTCCTCTCCTCTCCTCTCCTCTCCTCTCCTCTCCTCTCCTCTCCCCTCCCCTCCCCTCCCCTCCCTTCTCCTCTCCTCTCCTCTCCTCTCCTCTCCTCTCCTCTCCTCTCCTCTCCTCTCCTCTCCTCTCCTCTCCTCTCCTCTCCCCTCCCCTCCCCTCCCCTCCCCTCCCCTCTCCTCTCCTCTCCTCTCCTCTCCTCTCTCCTCACTTTCACTTTCCTTTTCCTTTTCTTCTTTTCTTTCTTTTCTATTGCTTTAACAGTGCACCTTACTGATGCTCATTCCTTATGATTTTTGCTAGTTTTATGCCAAGTTAGTTTATATGGGTTCTTTTTCAATAGTTATGGAAAAAAATCAGTTTATTAAAAAAATCTTAACCAAGTTAACACATTCTTCTATCTTTAACATAATTCTTCTATCTTTAACACGTTCTTACAAATGAAAAGAATCCCCAGCAATAATTTGCTGGTGTTACTTTTGAATATTGATATCAGACCAACTGTTCTTCCTACATCATCTGACTGCTTCTAAACACTTAATCAGCCAAAATCTTAGCTTTGAAGCTCTTGTCTTTCTGTTATAGCAACAATATTAATCCATTTTTTTTATTTTTTTAGGAAGTTCTCTTTTTTTTTCTAATCTTATTATGTGTGTTGTAAAATTCAAATAACTTTCTTTAAAGCTCCTGGATCAAGGAAGAAAGTTGTGACTGAAAAACCTGGTGAACCTCAAAAACTGGAACCCCCACCTGCTAAAGGTGCTCAGCAAATTTAAGAATCTTACTTAAATTAAGCCTCTCATGAGCATAAAGTTGTAGCTCTTGGTAACTACTGCAATTTGCTCAGAACTATCAAAAAGCTGTCTATTTTAGATTATGCTCAACAGTGGACTCTGGTCTTGGATGCATGTATGTTCATGTCCACTTTAATCTCCCATAATGCAATACAATGAGATGCAAGAGACAGAATCACAGAAGCGTGAGAGTTTTTATGAGTTTCTGTCACTTTTGTACATGCTCATTTGGTTGTCTGCTTAGGGAGGAATAAAATATCATTTACTGTTTAAATATATATATCATCATTCAAACATACTTCGTTTATTATTTGTCTGAAATGGAGCTTATTTTTGTGAGAGGACACTCCAAAGATGGAGATGAATAACAAATTGAGCAAGCCACTTTACAAGTACTCCCTTATATTTTTCATATGTACTGGAGTTTAAGACAAGCTAAGCAGATAAGCAGTGAACACTTCTTAATGCTGTTCCAAGTTTATAAATTAAACTAACTGGATCCGTACAAAAATCACAGATAGTTCGGATGAATAGATACATAACATAAACCTGTAATGAAAGAGGAAATGGAGATAAAAATGTTACTATAACTCTTTGAATACATAACCTTTATAGTTTTGTCAAACCATGCTTCTCTTTTGATGATTTCTATGAAAGTTTCCTCTTACACATAAGCCTAGAAGACAACTGTATGCAAATAATATAGAATTATTTTCTATTATTATAGTATAAAAAATATCAATTTCAATCTGTCAGTTTTACCTTTGCTTTTAATATTCAGGAGTGGACCAGCATTTGATTTGTGTGTTTGGAATGGTTAAGTGTTGATTAGATCTTATTACTGTTATGAACCCATAATAAAATCTGTAATAATATTCTTTTAAGTGCCTGGACTTGTAAAGAAACCTCACAAAATAACTCCCGAAGTTACTCCTCCACCAGAAGAAGTTGTTTTGAAAAAAGGTATAGTAACTTGTTTAAAAAATCCCCTAGCATATTAACATTGTTCAGTATATTCTCCTAAGCAACATTGGTTTATGTATGGTGTGCAAAATTAGACAAAGTACTATCTGATGTCTGCTTCTTGGAGCAAGCCTTTATAGTTGCAGGTTTGGAGTGAGGATATCCTGAAAATCTGTCAGATCTAAAGAATCTGTGATGAAAACAGAGCAGAACAATGAAAATGTGGTTCCCTATAAATCTCTCCTGTTTTCCTAATCTCTATAGAGTTGACAGTTTTCTACTGTCTTCAGCTTCTGGACCCTTATATATATTCCAGTGACAGAGTGAATATTAAAGTCACATATGTACCATCTGCATTCTTTTCTACGGTTTTCTTAGAAGTACTGCACAGATCACATAACCCTGTGCTACTATCGGATATCAGTCTCCTTTCTTGGCAAAGTTTGGTGCATTCTGAATCACTTCATGCTCAATTATTGCTTAGAAAAAGGAAGCGCTAATTTGAATTCTCTTAGAACAGCAGGATGATTCATTCCTGTGTACCTTGCAGCTGAGCTTCAGATTTCAAGCATAATAAAATACAGATATTCACTTTTTCAGGTGGCAGTCTCATTAGGTATGCAAGATGGATATCTGACAGGTCAAAAAAAAAATTGAAATAAATAAAATGAAAAAGAGACATTATATAAATTTGGGCTCTCCAAATATAACGCTTGAAGATTCAGTCTTGCTCTCTCACTGGAGTCAATAATAGTTAATAACTGTTGCTACAGTTATTAATGTATAATTCTATACAGTAATTCATCATTTCAATATGATAAGAAGTGTGTGATATTATAAGAAATTTTCTATCACTGACAGTTAGCATCTTTCTTCCCAGATGGACTTCTCTTAATAAAATTATCTCTTTGCTCTACATGAGTTTGAATTTTAAAAACCTTCCAGAATAGCATCTTGAACAGTTAAAAGAATATCTTCCATTAATATCAAACTAAATATTTTACATTCCTGTTTCTTCATAGTTACTGATATATTTCAATCATTTTTTCTTGTTCACCATCTTATTATTTTATTTACCTGTGCTTTAAAAACTGAAATTCCTTTTCTTTTTAAGTTCTTAGAAAGGAAAAAGAAGAGGAAGAACCTAAACCAGAAAAAGAACCTAAACCAGAAGTTAAAACAGTGCCTACACCAGTAGAAAAAATTAAGAAACCTGAAGGTACTAATTTACGTTCAAATCTATCAAGTGAAGTATACTTAAAAAAAAAAATATAATCCAGTTTTCAAGTAATGTTCACTGCAATTCAGAAATGAAAGTGTGATTTTAAATGATGGCTTGTGTTAATCTAATTGTTTAAATTAAAGATTCTCAGAAAGCCTAACTAAACCTGACATCCACATTTGGGTCTGAATTGTGCATTTTAGAACTGCTTTCCAATCTTCAGTGTTTATACAAGAGAATTCTACAAATATTTTATAATATAGATGAAAATGTAACTACAGCAAAACAGTTAACCCAAGCATTCTTTTAGTTAACATTTTACAAATATTTGTCCTGTTGTCCATTTAGTATTTCTAATGTATTCCAATCTCACTCTTAAAAGTACATGTTCCTGAATCTTATGAACATCTGAAACTGTTTATGTCTACAAAAATGAAAACTTTTAAATACATTGGAGATAATACATTTGGGGATTCAAGGTGGTTTAATATATCTTACAAAATAAAAATAATATTTTAAAGTTCCAGAGGTTCCTAAGAAGAAAACTGAGATACCTGAAATAAAAAAAGAGGAGAAATATGTGCCCAAACCACCAAAAGGTACAGATGCGTGGTGCTCTTTTTCCTTACGGCAGCGACTAAATTATATTCATTGCTGAATATCATGCTATATTAACCTAATGCATTACTATCAACCAGCCTGTCCATGACTAAGAACTTTGCATTCTTCTGGATTTCTTGTTGTCTTTACTTCTTCAGTGCTTGAAAAATTTATCTTTATTTCATCGTATCTTGCTTTTCAAGAGCTTATCTCAAGTTAATTTCTTGCTTTCTGACAAAATGAAATGTAGAAAAATAAATTCTGTCTTTGATTAATTCTCTCTGTTGCTTCTAACTTTGACATTCAATGGGATTACAAACAATGTACATTAACCTATTTGTAACTGTTGTGTTTGAAATGACAGAACCTAAGCAAGCAGCTATCCCACTTCCTGGGTCTGAACCTAAACCTGCAGTGGGTAAGAATTCTTTAGTCTTTAATATCATTGAAGCATTTCTTGTGAATCTAGTATTTTCCATTCAGAGACTTCTGGCTAAAAGGACATTCATAGACTCATAGAATACCAGGTTGACAAGATGGCCCAGTGCCCTGTCCAGCTGAGTCTTAGAAGTGTTCATACATTAAACAAATGTCTTTAGTATTGCTAAGACTGGAACTTGTAGGCAACCTGCAGAACATTTTAAAAAACATCTTACTTTAAAAAAAATATTTATTAAAACAAATATATGAGAACCCTTTGGGGGTTGTCTGTTTTTTTTTTACTCTACAGCTCTAAAATCTCCAAAACCAGCAGCAGAATCAGCACCAGCTGTTACTACTCCAGTGACAGTCCCAGTGGTTGGAAAGAAAGCAGGTATTTATGTTTATTCTATGCTATATATCGGGGTTTTCTTCTGAGATACTAAATATGTCCAGGATAAAAGGAATGAAGACCTGTAAAATTACACAACTCATTCATTGCAGGAAGATTTGAGGTCCTTTTCAAGGGTCTCCTTATTCCAGGCACTGTCACCTAATCTTAAAAGTGTCTCTGATACACCACAGAGATCAGTCTGTGCTCTTGCTCCTGGATGGTGATATGTGTGCCTTTATTTATTGTCCTACTATGAAATCTGTGTATTCTGTTGTTTCCTTCATGTTTTTTATTTCCTGATATATATCTTGTGAACTCTGTCTTGTTTTTTCTGTATAGAAAACAATTCTAAATTGTTTCTAAACAATTATTGTGTTTGGTTTTCTGCTTTTAATTTGTTATTGAGTCTGAGGAAAAGGGGCAGGGGTTGCTGAAGAACTAGAGTATTGCTACTTTCATTTGATATGTTTAGGACCCTTGATCATTCCCTGCCAAGAAAAAAGAATTGTGAAGAGTCCAGTTGTTCTGAAGCACCATGAGCTTGAGGTCCATTGTTATAGAGCTGATGTACATGCTGCTCACACATCATTCAAAGGATCTCAGGTTGCAACAGAGCTCAGGTCTCGGGTACTGGAGAAGCTTAATTACTCATATCTCTTGGCCATTTATTTGGTCATGTAGCCAGACCTGCTACATCTCTAAATGAAGTTAGGCATAACTAACTCATTTTATGTAGGTGGCTAGATAGTCATTAGAAAGCTGCTTTTAACCTGGATTGGATCTAAATTGACAAGCTTGCAGGACAATGCTCTATACCATAATAATGGTCTTCTGTACTGTTTGTGAGTGCCTTTCTTATGTGATTGTGTTGTAAGTTTCTGTCGTGTGGAGAAGAGATGTTTTATGTTCATTTTATTTCAGGTATAGCTGGAAATTTTGTCTTAAAATATACTGTTCCTGATGCTTATTCTTATGGATTTTAACTCTCTAAATTACCTGTGAAACCTTTGTAGCTGCAGAAAAGCCTGATGCGCCATCTGTACTAAAGCACAGAGATAAAATGCCCCCAGTGGAAGAAGAAAAGCCTGAGACAGTTGTATTAAAGAAGATTTTGGTTGAGAAACGCTTGCACATAAAAGACAGAGTAAGTCCTAAGGAGTCAGTTCCAGAAATTCAGACAGTAGAGCCACTTGAGTTCAAAATCTCACTGGAAACAGCTGATGGAATACTGAAACCAGAGACAGATAAGCAGGAGAAAGTGGCTCTTAAATATTTTATACTGACTCCTGAAGCAGAGGAGTCAGAAATGATACCTATAGTTTCAAAAAAGACTACCTTTACAGGTGAGAAAACAGAAGTTGCAATAGATAACAATATTTATGCAAAGGATGAGCCACCACTACCCAATGAAGAATTGAAACTGATTTCTATAGCATCTGAACATATGGAAAGAGATTCTGGAGAAGAAAAACGGGAGAAAATTAAATTGGTTGCTCATAGGGAAGGTGCTATAGAGAAAGTCTCTGACAAGTTTAGCATTCTGCAGGAAGGAAAGATTCCTGTGCATGAAAAAGAAGAGGAAATTGAGTCAACTTATTTACCTAAACATATGCCCAGGGAGTCACATGAGCCCAGGGACCAGAAAAGGCTTCTAGTAAAAGACAGTAATTCAAAAATCAGTTTGCAACCTGAAGAATTTCCCATTAAATATAAAACTTCATTTGTAAACGGTATCACAGAGGCAGGCATAGCTGAAACTCCTCTGCTGGTAAGTGAAGAAGAGAGAGGAAGTTTTACCCTGGAGAAATCTGAAGTTCCTCCTGGAAATTCCATAAAGAAGCATGGCATACAAAGTAAGGCTGAGTGGATGAAGAAATCTGTTACTGTAGGAGTGGAAATGCCTGTAGATAAGATTTTTAATAAAGAAAAGAAAATTGAAGTTATTCAAGCTAATGAGAAAGATGGGAATCTGGACTTCACATCAGCAGAACTACATTCCTTAGACTTGCCTGAGGTGACTGAACCAGCAGAGAGAAAAAGTATTGACCTAGAACACCCCACTGAAGATGAGGATGTTTCCAGACAAAAAGCACACATAATCTTTAAACCATCTGTTCTTAAGCCAGAAAGAGTGGAAAGGAAACCAAGAGAAAAGTATTCTCCAGAGAAAGGAGAAGTTCATCATGAGAAGGGTTCAGGACAATTGTTGACTGAGAAAGCACTCCTAGGTGATAATAAAACAGGCAAAAAGATTATACCAGAGAAGGAAGAGAAAACTCTTTTTAGCACCCACTTCAAAAAAGACAAAATTATACAGTCAAATGCCTCTGAAAAGCTGCCTGTGGAAAAAGAAGAATTTGGTACAGTTATTACAGGAGAAGGAAGTGAAGCTTCCATAGGAGAACATGAAAAAGGAGTCAGAGATGAAACAGTTTGCAGATCTGAGTCAGTAAAGAAAATTCAGCCACCAAGGAATCAAGTTGACAAACAATTTCAAGAAGTTAATATAATTGAAGATGGACATAAAAAAACTCCAGCTCTCAAAAGCAGCAAATTAAAAATGGAAGAAAAAAAATCTTCTTTGACTATGGAAGAAGTAAAGCTTTCAGGAGGAGAGTTTTCAGTGACAGAAGGTAAATCAGATGCAAAAACATCAGCTAAACATGGCACTGGAATTAAAACATCTGTTACCATGAAAAAGGAGAAGGGAAAGCTTTCAGACAAAATACCATCAAGCAAGGGAATCCCTGCAAGTGGAGAAGTTACTTACTCCTCAAGCATAGGTAAGATAACTTCCAGGAAAGGAGAAGGAGATAAAGAATTCCAGAAATCAGAACCTGCTCACATGAATGAGCAGGCCATTAAACTTTTGAGTGAGAACAGGAATTTGAATGCATCTGGGGACCCACATGAAGTTCTGGATGTTCCTGGAAAGTCTCATGCAAAGGGAGGTGAGGAAGACCTCTGCCAAATTCTTCCACAAAGTTCTTGTTCTATTTGTGTCAGGAGAATATCATTTTCATTTTCCATTGTGATGTTTTCTTTCTTTAACACTGCTCACATTTCCATCTAGTCTGTTAGCTGGCTGTATTGGCGTTCAGCTGCTCTTGAGATGTTTGTCTTACCTTTCTGTTCATACACCTGTGTGATCAGTGTTCATTGTCTTAGTCTTACACTTTCATATGACTGCATAACTCATGTTGTGTACCATCTTCTCAGAAAACTCACAAACTCACACTTTTTTTCTAGTATTCATTTTTCCATCCACCACAATAAAATCTGTCCTGCATTTCATTCATACTATTCTCCCATTAAAAATATCTTTTATATTTCCTATCACAGAAGATGATAAAAAGCAACATAGCATGGGAATTATTTTCAAAAGTCTGATATGATTCATCACAATTTGGGCAACTAACAGAACATCCCTCACTTGTGAAAATAATGAATTGTCCTGAAACATGTATTAAATTTATACAACTTATTTTTTTGTTGTCTTCATTAGTAACTGTGTGCTTCTTCTAAAAAAAACACCATATAATTTGTAACAGGTACTTAAGCCACTTTGGTTGACAGGTGGCTATTGATCAAGGGCCTAAATGTCAGTAAAGTGTCAGAGAATGGCAGAATTTTACAAAATAATGGGAAGGACAATAGATTGAGGAAGTAGGCGCTCCTAGCCACCTTTCATTCTCCACTGCTGAATATGTCTTTCGCATGTTTCAAGATACTGAACTCATCACTGAGATATAGACAGTGTATGGTGTATAAATACAGACATATATTAATATCTTCCTCCCTTGGAACGTGTATATACCTGAAGGAAGACAAAATCGAATTTGTAAAATAATTTTTGTCTTAATTTTAGTTAACTTTATCTTAATTTATTGAACTACATTCCTAATAATATTGCTGTTCTACTGCAGAGGCCAAGACACCAAAAGAAGAAACTCCAAAGGGTATCAGTCCAGTCAAAGGTAGGATACTACAATCAATACCTACAAGCAAAAGCAATAAATTAGTGTTAGTTTATTAATTTCTGAATTCTAATTGCAGCCAAGAAGACACCTTCACCAGCAGATGCAGAAAGAAGGAAACTCAGGCCAGGCAGTGGTGGTGAAAAACCTCCTGAAGAGCCTCCATTCACTTACCAACTCAAGGCTGTACCACTGAAGTTTGTCAAGGAGATGAAAGATATAGTGCTAACAGAAGCTGAGTCTGTTGGGTCTTCTGCAATCTTTGAAGTCCTTATTTCACCATCCACTGCAATTACCAGCTGGATGAAAGACGGAAGTAACATACGAGAGAGCCCAAAGCACAAGTTTATTGCTGATGGCAAAGATAGGAAGCTGCATATTATTGACGTCCAGCTGTCAGATGCTGGTGAATATACTTGTGTATTACGACTGGGCAACAAAGAGAAGACCTCTACAGCCAAACTCATTGTTGAAGGTATTCCCTATTTCAAGTTTATCATTAATTTAAAGGCTAGCTACTCCTTAAGCTGGAAGTACTGGTACATAGTAAATTACAGTGGTTGGTAGATGCTCCCTTTTGTTTCCATCAATCATTACACATGCTGATTTAATATGTAAGGCATTCCTGCATCACACCTTCTGTATGTAAATGAGACAAACAAAAATTCTGTGTTTCCCACAGAACTCCCAGTGCGGTTTGTGAAACCTCTTGAAGAAGAAGTCACTGTGGTTAAAGGCCAGCCACTGTACTTGACATGTGAACTTAACAAAGAAAGAAGTGTGGTCTGGAGAAAGGATGGGAAGATCATCAAAGACGTGCCTGGGAAATTTGCTCTGGGCATTATTGGTTTGTCACATACCCTCATGATCACTGATTCAGATGATGCTGATGCTGGTACTTACACTGTTACCGTTGAAGGCACTGAGCTCTCATGCTCATCTTGTGTTAAGGTAGTAGGTAAGCAATCAAAATCCTGTTCTCCTTTCTCTTTGTAATATTTGGGCTGTTTTAAAATTAGGAAAGCTTTTCCTCATAGTACAATATAAACGAACAGATAAGATTTTTACAGTTACTAAAAGTTTGTTGTAATACAAAATCTGTAAGGTCTATTTCTTCTATTTATGACCCATGTATTTTTAGTAGAAGTCTGCTAAGCTGTATTTTTATGTAACTTTTTGTCATGCAGAAGTGATAAGAGACTGGTTAGTAAAACCCATAAGAGATCAGCATGTGAAACCAAAAGGAACAGCTACATTCACCTGTGACATTGTCAAGGATACACCAAACTTTAAATGGTTTAAAGGAGATGAGGAAATCCCTTCTGAACCCACTGACAAAACAGAAGTCTTGAAAGAGGGAAATAAAATTTTCCTGAAAATCAAGAATGCTGGCCCTGCTGATGTTGGGGAATATTCAGTGGAAGTTGAAGGTCGCAGGTACCCAGCAAAACTTACCCTTGGAGGTAAGGATGCATTTACTTGTATTATATTGAATCAGCTCACAGGCCAATGTTCAAAAACCTCTAAACAATCAAACAAAAAAGTAACCTAAATTATTATAAAGCTCTATCAAAACTTGATCTAGTTATATATGTGTTTATTTGTGCATTCTAGAACGTGAAGTTGAACTTCTGAAACCATTAGAGGATGTTACCATTTATGAAAAAGAAACAGCAAACTTTGATACAGAAATATCTGAGGATGATATTCCTGGTGAATGGAAGCTGAAAGGAGAAATCCTGAGACCCTCACCTGTAAGCATCCTTACAACAAAATTTATTTAAATAAAACACTGTGAACAGGTTGAGTCTTTATGGTAAGATCCTTGCAGGTCTGCCATTACTACTCAGTCCAGAATGTAGAAAGGCTAAGCAGTCTGGTAATTAAAAAAACACCAGTTCTCTAAATAAGAATTATATTCTATTACAGCTAAGTTTTCTCAAAGGATTACAGCACATTATTCAGAAAATATCCTACACACATTGCTAGGTATTATGCTGACATTCAAAAGAAATATGCTTCAGGGTTTTATTATTATTGAGGGAAAGTGTTAACTTGCCTTGAAGAGCAATTCCAATCTTTCTAGCTGACTTTTAACATGTCTCTAGAATCCCTTTATTAAAACCACCTAGCAACAATTCTTTAGCATTTTATTTACAGATTGTATTTTATTCTATCTTCAGACATGTGAAATCAAAGCTGAAGGAGGAAAACGCTTCCTAACCTTGCACAAAGTGAAGTTAGAGCAAGCTGGTGAAGTCCTTTACCAGGCACTTAATGCAGTTACTACAGCTATCCTGACTGTGAAAGGTATGATGCACTATGATAACAACTTAAACAGAGTTCACACTGAGCACATTACAAGCTATATGTTCTGCTTTGCTTCCAGAAATTGAACTGGACTTTGCTGTGCCCCTAAAAGATGTTACTGTTCCTGAGAGGCGCCAAGCAAGGTTTGAATGTGTCCTTACCAGAGAAGCCAATGTTATATGGTCTAAGGGCACTGATATACTCAAGATCGGAGAAAAATTTGACATCATTGCAGATGGAAAGAAGCATATTCTTGTAATCAATGATTCTCAGTTTGATGATGAGGGAGAATACACTGCTGAAGTCGATGGCAAGAAGAGCACAGCAAGACTGTTTGTGGAAGGCAAGTGTCTTCCTTAATGAAAGAAAAAAATAAAAAATGGATTAAGAATGTATCTTTCAGAGCCACATTGGCCTTTTTCTGATGGTACTTATGTGTCTACAGGTGTGAGGCTGAAGTTCATCTCACCTCTACAGGATCAAACAGTGAAAGAAGGGGAAACAGCTCACTTTCAGTTTGAGCTTTCTCATGAAGACATGCCAGTGAAATGGTATAAAAATGACAAGAGACTCCACACAAGCAGAACAGTTTTCATGACTTCAGAAGGCAAAGTTCATAAACTAGAACTTAGAGAAGTAACACTTGATGATATCTCCGAAATAAAGGCCGTGGTCAAGGACTTGAACACACAAGCAAACCTGAAAGTCTTAGGTGATTACATAAATAATTTTAAATATGTTACATAATATGAATAAAAAACGTATAAGTGGAAAGTGACAAAATATTGATGTTCTAGTAAATTTATATTACTAATTTACCACTTCATATCTACTATGCCTTTTGTAGAGGCTGATCCATATTTCACTGTGAAATTACAAGACTACAGTGCTGTGGAGAAAGATGATATTACTCTGGAGTGTGAACTTAGCAAAGATGTGCCAGTAAAATGGTACAAAGATGGTGAAGAACTGGTAGCTTCCAACAGAATTTCCATGAAAACGGATGGCTTGCGCCGTATCCTGAAGATCAAGAAAGTTGCAGATAGTGATAAGGGTGTTTATGAGTGCAACTGTGGAACTGACAAGACAACTGCTAATGTCAGCGTTGAGCGTAAGTTATCATGCCTTGCCTCAGGGAAAGTACTGAAACCTTTGTAAAACAGTATAGACAGACACTTCCTAGAGTACAACACCAAAAATTGTACCTTTAGAAAACATGCTGTTGTGATGAATAGCTGAAATATCTAGATTTACAATTATTAAGAGTATTTACATGAGGCAAAATATCTTAAGATATATAAATGGCTGTTGTGAAGACAGTGATGATCAATTATTCTCTATGTCCATTTACAGTCAGGAAAAGTAAAGCAGTTAGTTTAATTCACTGTAACAGATATCTACATTAATTACGAGGAAAAATATTCTTACAAAAAATAACTAAACTTTCAGATATATCTTGAGGTTTAAACCCAACTGAAACCAGGACAACACATTATAGAAGGAGGTTGTAGACTGCCCAAATTTGCATCTTTTTAAAAAGAGTTTAGACAAATGTTTTTCAGTGATAGCATTTGAATGCGCTAAAGAAGGGATAGGAAGAGAGTTTAGATCCTTTCCGGTATTACCTTTCTGTGATACGGAATGAGTGAGTAAACAGACGTGAACTTTTGGTGTTTCCTTTTCATTTTAGCTCGCTTAATCAAAGTGGAGCGCCCACTTTATGGAGTGGAAGTATTTGTTGGTGAAACAGCACGTTTTGAAATCGAAATTTCTGAGCCTGATGTCCATCCCATATGGAAGCTAAAGGACAAAACACTAACACCTTCACCTGTAAGGCTTCTTCTTTGTTTTTAGACCACAGTTTACACCAGGAAAAAAAAAAAAAAAATGCAGCTTCTGAATGTTTTCTTAGAGTAGTCTAAGAATATTCTAATATGTGTGTATGGCAATGTTTCTTTATCACCAGGACTGTGAAATCATTGAAGATGGGAAGAAGCATATTCTTGTCCTTCATAACTGCAAACTTGATATGACTGGAGAAGTATCTTTCCAAGCTGCTAACGTTAAAAGTGCTGCTAATCTGAAAGTGAAAGGTACAGTCTGCACTTTGCCAATATTTCCACACATATCTTAGGGCATTAGAACAAATCTAGAAACATAAAGGTCTATATAAACCTAGCTCTGAGCTGAAAGTGTTCTTCTTTGATTTCAGAATTGCCTCTCATCTTCATCACTCCACTAAGTGATGTGAAGGTCTTTGAGAAAGATGAAGCCAAGTTTGAATGTGAGACGTCCAGAGAACCTAAGACTTTCCACTGGTTGAAAGGAACAGAAGAGATCACTCCAGATGAAAGATACGAAATTATTTCAGATGGAACAAAGCACGCTCTGATTATTAAATCTGCTGCCTTTGAGGATGAAGCTAAATACATGTTTGAAGCTGAGGATAAGAGAACAAGTGCCAAGCTAATTATTGAAGGTTTGCCTGACTTTGCCTTTCTCGGAAAGATTTGCACCATACTCCTTGGATAGTTTTTATTTATAACATTATTGTGAATTACATGTTTTGTTGTTATAGGTATCCGCCTGAAATTCATTACTCCTCTCAAAGATGTAACAAAAAAGGAGCGAGAAACTGCAGTGTTCACTGTGGAACTCTCTCACGAAAATATCACTGTTGTCTGGTTCAAGAATGACCAGCGATTACATACCAGCAAAGTGGTTTCAATGACAGATGATGGCAAATTCCATTCACTCACAATCAAAGATCTTACTATTGATGATACTTCTCAGATTAGAGTGGAAGCTATGGACAAATCATCAGAAGCCAAACTTACTGTTCTTGGTAAGAATGCCCCACAGAATTTACATGTTGTATATTATCAGAAGAGTCTTACTAATGAAAAATGGTGATCAGAAAATCTTAGGGTTGGTTTTGGTTTGCTTTGGTGTGTGGGTTTTGTTTGCTTGTGGGATTTTATTTTTTGTTGTTATTTATTTGGATTAATCTATATTTTAATTTTTATATTGTAATTTTAATAAAATTACAATTTATTTGTCTTTGGGTCTCCATTTCCCCATTCAGAAAGAATAAATAAAATAACTTTAAAATTTCATGCAACTGTTGCAAAATTACCTGTTAGATATTTAAACATTGCTCTGAAACTCCTAAAGTATGAAAGCAGTGTTTTCAGTAGTATTAGTAATACACTGAATTGTTTCTTAGGCATTTGTTGTTTACTCATTTTGCAACAGAACTGTGTAATATTTGTAACAACTATATTTAATCCTCCTTGCAGGGACTAAACAAGAAATGTATTTTATGGTAAGAATTAATTGTCTTTTCTGAAAGACTAAAGCTTCAGACTGAAACATCTTAATCTTTGCTTGCAGAGGCAGACCCTTACTTCACTGGGAAGTTGCAGGATTACACTGCTGTAGAGAAAGATGAAGTAATCTTACAATGTGAAATCAGCAAAGCAGATGCTCCAGTGAAATGGATGAAGGATGGCAAACCAATTACTCCATCAAAGAATGTTGTTATTAAGGCTGATGGTAAAAAACGAATCCTTATCCTCAAGAAAGCATTGAAGAAAGACATTGGACAGTACACTTGTGACTGTGGTACTGATCAAACCTCTGCAAAGCTCAATATTGAAGGTATAGCTATTTTACTGGGCTTCTCTGTAGAAAAGATCTTTTGTGGTCTGTTAGAGACTGAGGGAATCAATCGCTTTTTTTTTGCTTTTTTTTTTCCTCCAGACCGAGATATTGAGATTATACGTCCACTATACAGTGTGGAGGTGATTGAGACAGAGACTGCCCGTTTTGATATTGAAATCTCTGAGGAAGGTGTCCATGGCAATTGGAGGTTAAAAGGAGAACCTCTGACTGAATCAGCTGTAAGCAAATATTTCAGGATGTTTCTTATGTGTGTCTCAAAATTCTGTGGGGAGGAAGTGTGAGGGAGAAGAAGGTGGCTGCAGAAATAAAGTGAAATCCCAAGAACTAAGTGAAATCCCTATCTATCTGCTTTCAGTAAGGACCACATTAATAACTTCTAAAATGTAATATAGAATTAATCAAAAATGTCACATAAAATATCAAAATAATAAATTATTTTACATAAGTAAGTACATTCTCTATTGCTGTTCCCTAATAATATGTATCCAAAGAGCAAAGACCTCATGGAATTCACTTAAACATAACGGCTTTTAAAAATACAAACTTTGGATTGTCTTCATTTACTTTTGGTTTTTGAGCTATGGTTGGTTTAAATAGACATAGAACACATTTTCAAACTCTTTTCCATTAGTATGATGGCAAAAATTGATTTAAAAGTGTATAAGGCTTAATCAAATATTCTTAATTCTTTGCTGGAAGGATCTGAAAATTTAAGAAACAATGCAATCATGACTGGCAATTAATTTCACAACTCTTTAATGTAACAGTAAGTTACATTGTGAGTAAATCACGAAGATCGTAAGTTCCATGAAAATCAATGTCTGGATAAGACATCAAGACCCTTCTCAAGTAAAGGGACCCTTCTCAAGTAAAGGTCACAGTGCAGTTTTGGAAACTTCTAGTTCCCTTAGGCCTCTGACTGTTATACACATGGATATATTGGCTAGTTAATCAGTACATATCATTCACCAACACAAGTGTGCTGTCTCTGGCCCTTTCCTTCTAAGAAGAAGCAGACTGTATTAGGAAGGGACTTTGAAAGGACACACATATGAATGAACATTTATAAGGTATATCGCATCGCAAGTGGCGAGTGGGCCTAAGTGTTGTGAATGGAGGAGGAGATGATAACATATGCATGGTAGGAGAAGTAAGGGTTCTTGTGCAACACACAGAAAAAAGATACTTAAAAATTATTTTCACTTCTCTTGTTGCAGGAATGTGAAATCAAGGAGGAAGGCAAAAAGCACTTCCTTACACTGTACAATGTACGCTTAGATCAAGCTGGTGGAGTAGATTTCCAAGCAGCAAATGCCAAATCTGGTGCTCACCTCCGAGTGAAACGTAAGTGTCTTTCAAACTGAAATTACTTAATCTAGTGAAAACAAGGTACTCGTTGCCTCTTGGAACTAGTGGCCAAATCTCAATAATTCATTGAACTGACAGCAATTCTTTCCAGACAATTGCAGGATTAATTATTCAAGCCACCTTATTTTTTTAGTTAAGGAATTTCTTGTATGTTTTTTAATCTTGTACATAGTTTATTCATACAGGGGGAGTAAAAATAAGGAGATGGCCTTGAAGGCTGCTATTATTACACAATCAAAGTTTTACAGGCAAAGGCGTTGCTGCGTAGAAGCATGTTAACCTGAAAGGATGGGATCACAGTGATATCTAGGGATAAGGTTAAGAGTTTGATAGGCAGGGACAGGCTACACAGTTGAAGACCACTTGTTCCACACTCCAGTCCTAGCCCTCGCTATTTTGGAAAACACATGCCTTATCTAGTAAGAGGCATGCAAGGCTTGGCAGGGAGACAGATGCACGGCAACTTTCCTGCTGACCTTGTTCAATTTAAAGAAACACGCTCTGCAAATAGGAAATTTTAGGTGACCAGCCCTCCCCCTAAAAAGCCCTGGTGGCCTCTTCTATTTAGGGAATTTAAAGAGTGGCATTGCGATGTCTGTCTCTCTTGAGGGAAGCCACCATGGAGATTAGTACATAAGGGCAGCAGCTCTCTCTTGGGTAGAAGAAACTAATCTGAGAATGATGTCTTCTTACCAAGCTCGAGTAATTGGCTTGCTGAGACCCCTCAAGGATGTAACAGTGACAGCTGGGGAATCAGCAACCTTTGACTGCGAACTCTCTTATGAGGGAATTCCAGTAGAGTGGTTCCTGAAAGGAAAGAAACTGGAGCCCGGTGAAAAGGTAAAGAAACTAAACTTTCTTTTTCCTCATGTTTCCTCCTTCTTCCTCTCTTTCAACTCTCCCTTCTTTATTTCTCATTTACTCTCTTAATCAGAAGTATAAAGGTACAGCTGTTGTGTATATACACAGAGTAGTGCTGTTGTGCCAAATAGTAAATTCTCACTAAATCAGATATAGCTTTTTTTTTTCTCCAGAAATTACAGTATTCTTGAATACCACAAGCACTTGTGTACCTTCCTGTACAAAGGGAAACAAAGGTTCCAAAATATCAATTATTACAATGGTGACTTTGTGCCCGATTCTGTCAGGATTACTGAATTATTTTTGTCCAGGTAAATTGTAGTTACACTGAGAGGATTTTGAAAGTTACTATCAGGAAATGTTTTTTTTTCTCCTGAATTCTGAGTTGCAGTCCAGTCCTGCATATAAGGTGATTAAGAGGAGTCAAATTCCATTTCAGGCATTTATTCTGGCTCTCCAGATAACTTTCTGGGCAGATTTGCTTGTCAAGCACTTCTCACTAGCTAAATTTAACCCTTCATCAAGTGCTGGCTCTTAACTCTGAGATCTGAGCAGCCTGGAATGTAGTCAGTTTAAAGATAATAGTAGGAAAAATACATAAAGAAAGACATTAAAAACCATGAAACATAAATGTATATAACTGGTTTTAAGACTTCTTTTTCACATACTAGGCCAAGAGAAATAATACTAATTGGAAACCTCAGTCAAAGCAACCTTTCAAGGCATTACATGACCTAGCAGGGTTTCAGAACCTGCAATAATGCTGCCAGTAATATTTTTGTACAGATTTTTTTTTCTGTTAAATACAGTTTTTAGCATGATATTTTCAGGTTTTATTAGATCTTCCCAAGCTTCACCAAATTTGCCTAAATGAAAAATATTTTACTAAAAAAAACAGAATATAGAAATAGGAAAAGGAAAATTGATCATGCTGATAGGTGACCCTATTGCAATATTTAAGGGCAGATAAAATTGAAACTCAACAGATGACATGTAATAATTCAAGGTAATTGCTTCTGAGTCTAGGAATAAAAATACAGAAAGTTATTCATCAGTGCCATGGCTTGATAGTTATTACTGCCTAGCAAGAAAAATATTATATGTTCAATATTCTGTATGATGGAACATTATTTTCTGCTTACCTGTCTGAGCTATCATTTTAATTACATTAAAAAAAAAATCCAGATTTCATTCAATTTACACATACAGTCAAAACCATCACTTGACTTCACGAGAAATTTTATCAAGAAGAAATCCAGAGTAAACCATATTTTTACTTGATGTATCACTTTCTGCTTATTTAAAATAGCCTCTTGAAACACTTCTGCTACAGTTGTCAAGAATCAATTTAATTGTACAAGTTTTTAATTTTAGCTGGTTTTAAGTCAAACCATTATTTTACCTCTGTGGCTGGCATTTGGCTGTAACCTTTATTGAAGTGACTTTTGTTCATCTTTACTGTGTATCTTGGTCAAATACGTATCTGGCTTCATCTCAATCTCCTTCGAATAAGCATTCACTAGAGCTGGGTTTCAGGAACACAATAAGGAAGGACAGCCACTTAGTTCCTTCCTTCCCCATGAAGCAAAAGAGACTGCCTTCTCAATCTTTTTTGCTTGCTCCTTAGCAGAAGCTCATTTTTCCCATTTATTTTTCTAAGCCAGCATATACTATGTGATCATGTATGTCTCTGAAAATAAATAAATAGAATTCTTCAAGAGCTGTTAAAATTTATGGGACAAATGAGGGGCAACCCTTTTCATGGTTGCAATGCAGGATGTGTCCTTGAAGCCTCCAAGTTCACGCCTAGAGAAAAGGGATGTTTGTGCAGGAGAAGTCCAGTTCAAACTCAAACTTGCAAAGTAGTTTCAGCAATAGGTCAACACAGAAATGTCTGGGGGTTTTATTTTTATGCAGAAATTTCTACCAAAATTTAGTAATAGTCAATTTGATAGTTACAAGAGAGTGTACAAGGGGGGGGGTCCAAACTACTTTAGATGTAACCAGGAGTAACATGAACTTTTTCCCATAAATTTACTTATATTACTAGTACTTGTTCATAATAAACAAGATCTCAAGTCAGCCTCATTCTGAACTTTTATAGTAGACTCAGGTTTTCTAATACAAGGACACAAATAAATTAAAACGGGAAAATTAAAATTATGATTTCTTGTAAGTGAAAAGACAAAACAGAAATGATTCTCAAAATCTTCAAAGCATTTGTCTTGAGGTATATATAGTATATAAAAAAGGAAATTACCAAAATTTCATATAAAATTAAACCAAACTCCACAGATAACAATAAATAGCAATACTGTTTCATTAAATGTTTATTAAATATTTCTTGTAGATACTTACAAAAGTTTTTTTTATGTACTTTATAAGATCATGACACGTGCTGAAGGGAGAGTTCACACACTTATTCTAAGAGATGTCAAGTTAACAGATGCAGGAGAGGTATCACTGACAGCAAAAGATTTCAGAACTCAAGCAAATCTTTTTGTGAAAGGTAAGTCAGTCATTTTCATTATATCATGGTAATTGTTAATGTTCCATTCACAATTCATCCTGGAATAGGATGTTAATATAAACCATAAATCAAATTAATAGGACCATACAGACAGTATTTGATTGATAGATAATTCTCCTGATTAAAAAACACACTTAAAATGTTTATGCTTCATGGAAAAGCTGAGGAAAGGGCAAAATACTGAAAATGTGTCAGACCTAGCAGATGAATCAGTTTATTAGGATTTCCAGGGCTTTATTGCAGACTTGAACAGTCAATTGGCCTCAAGATGGCCTGCAAAAACTGGCCTTTATGGCTCCCCATGCATTCTTCCATTCTTTGGCGTATCCAGAAACATATGAGAGCACAACTACACCATCTGTCAACTGACATAACATCGTCTGTATGCCCACTTGCACTGTTTGCAAGCTATGTATGCCTAAGAAGTCCAAAACTCCACACACTTCTAACTGATACAGTAATTCAAGGAAATTACTCCTTAAGTTCGGAGTATAACTTCAGAGTCACAGAGATCATATGGCTATAGTTCAGTTAAAGAAACTGACTTGCAAGGTTTTGTGATAATTTGTGAGTAAAAACTCCATGGACAAGGATACCACTCATTCTACCTTTACAGTAGGCTGAAAATAAGGAAATTAGCTAAATTAACTGAATATGCCTGGGCATTAAAAATAATTAAAAAAAACCAACACCTTCAACAGAGACATCTAAGAGCCTTTCTGATTATTCAGACAAAGAAAATTAGTACTGCTGTATGCAACAATTCACTACTAGCAGAGGGCTGCTTTAGTTTAGGTATTTTCTATCAAAAAATCTATCTGTTTCTTTTAGAACCCCCAGTTGAATTTACTAAACCACTTGAGGACCAGACTGTTGAAGAAGAGGCCACCGCAATACTGGAATGCGAAGTTTCCAGGGAAAATGCAAAAGTTCAATGGTTCAAAAATGGTGAAGAAATTCATAAAACAAAGAAGTATGATATAATTTCTGATGGCAGGGTCAGAAAGCTCATTATCCATGGCTGCACACTGGATGATGCAAAAACATACACTTGCAAAGTTAAGGATTTTAAGACATCCTGTTTCCTCAATGTAGAACGTAAGTCATTAAAAATTTTATGCAAAATGTTTAAGTGCTATAAACTTTATATGCTAATGTCTATGACTGATAATAATATCAATGCCAGCAATTTATTGTTCTCTACTGGAGAATTTCTTGTACTAAAAATTTTATTTTTTCTTATAGCTATTCGTCTTGAGTTCCTGAAGCCCCTAACTGATCTTGAAGTGAAAGAAAAAGAATCTGCCCGGTTTGAATGTGAAATTTCCCGTCCAGGTGTCAAGGTCAATAATAGCAATACTTTTGAATCTGAGTAACTCCTTCAACTAGTGTTGTTTTTTTTTTAAAACTGACAACTCTATTATGTTATTACAAATGAACATAAAACTGAAATTTATGATGAGCATGTTAATATCAGTTACCATGTTTATTTGCTCTGAAATAGGTGAAGTGGTTTAAAGATGGCATTGAAATCAGAAAAGGCAAGAAGTATGACATCATTTCCAAAGGAGCAGAACACATTCTTGTTGTCAATAAATGTGCCTTCGATGATGAAGCTGAATATGCCTGTGAAGCAAAAACAGCTCGAACATCAGGACTACTTACGGTGATAGGTAGTGTTTTAGAATCTAATCTGTAAACAAGAAAAAAAGGGGATTTGATGAAAGGATTTAATCATCTTTCAAAATTCTTGTTGCAGAGGAAGAGGCTGTTTTCACAAAAAAGCTTCCTGATCTTGAAGTGAATGAAAATGACACTGTAAAATTGATCTGTGAAGTTTCAAAGCCTAATGCTGAAGTTACTTGGTTTAAAGGAGATGAGGAGGTGCCTGATGGTGCTAGATTTGAACATATTTCTGATGGCCGAAAGAGAATCCTTCTCATACATAATGCTCATCCTGAGGATGCTGGCAAATATACTTGCAAGCTCCCAAGCTCTAGTACAACAGGAAAACTTACTGTACATGGTAAGAGAGTTACTTTGGTGGCCTTGCTTTCTGAACAAACAAACAAAATAAAACAAACAGTAAGAGTACACAACTTGGTTTATTCTCTTCATAAGTAAAACCATAAAATAAATTAATATATATCTACAAAATATTTTTCTTTCAGAACTTACACCACAATTTCTTACCAGACCACAAAATCTTGAGGTTCTTGAAGGAGACAAAGCTGAATTTGTCTGTTCAGTATCCAAAGAGGTAATTTCAGTACAGTGGCTGAGGGATGACACAGTCCTGGAGCCTGGTGATAAGTATGACATCATTTCAGATGGCAAAAAGAGAACACTTGTAGTTAAAGACTCTATTCTAGGAGATGCAGGAAAGTATACTGTCACAGTTGGCGAAGCTAAAGCAACAGCACGTTTAACAGTGATTGGTAAGATTTATTTTATCAATGTTCGGGTACATATTTTGTTGAATTCCTTATACTAGATGGTGTTCTATTTCTTCCTTTTCCTCAATTTCAGAAAAACTCAGGATTATAACTCCCCTTAAGGACCAAGAAGTTAGTGAGGGTCAAGAAATTATCTTCAATTGTGAAGTCAATAAAGAAGGTGCCAAAGAGAAGTGGTACAAAAATGATGAGGCAATATTTGATAGTGCAAAATACATTATTGTTCATAAGGATTTAGTTTACACTCTCAGAATCAGAGATGCACAGCTGAAAGATCAAGCTACCTACACCATTGCACTGTCAAACCAGAGAGGTGAACATGTCAAAAGCTTTGCTGCCGTAACCGTATTAGGTAAATAACTTGCACTGTATTAAAATTATTTCATCACCTTACATTCAATTTCACGTTACGATCATGAGGATGTAAATTAATCACTTTGGGGTTCTTGTCTTAACAGAGGAGGATCTCAGAATTGTTGAGCCCCTTGAAGATATTGAGACAATGGAAAAGAAAACCGTCACATTCTGGTGTAAAGTCAATCGCCTTAATGCAACCCTCAAATGGACAAAGAATGGTGAAGAGATCACATTCGACAGACGCATTTTGTACAAAATTGATAAGTACAAACACTCACTCATTATTAAAGACTGTGGGTTTATAGATGAAGGCGAGTACACTGTCACTGCTGGACAAGACAAATCCGTTGCAGAGCTTCTCATCACAGAAGCACCAGCAGACTTCATCGAACATCTTCGGGACCAGACCGTCACAGAATTTGATGATGCTGTCTTTACATGCCAACTTTCCAAAGAGAAAGCCAGTGTAAGATGGTACAGAAATGGAAGAGAGATAAAAGAAGGCAAAAAGTATGTACATTTTATTATGCCTGTTAATATGCTAGACATGATTGCTTCACTTTGTTACCTTGTCTGTAAACTAAAATGCTGCTTACTTACTCCCCCATAAAGATACCAGTTTGAAAAAGATGGAAATCTGCACAGATTAATCATTAAAGACTGCAGACTAGATGATGAGTGTGAATATTCCTGTGGCGTAGATGACAGGAAATCTAGGGCAAGACTTTTTGTTGAAGGTATGTGTAAAGTCAAACAGGACTTATTTCTTGCATTATTTAGTCATAATAGAAACAATATATAAATAACATCAAATGAATTGACATTTATTTCAGAAATCCCTGTTGAGATCATCCGACCACCACAAGATATTTATGAACCTCCTGGTACAGATGTCATCTTCATGGCTGAGTTGAACAAAGATGGTGTGGAGGTCAAGTGGTTGAGAAACAACATGATTATTGTCCAAGGTGACAAACATCAGATGATGAGTGAAGGAAAGGTCCACAGGCTGCAGGTGTGCGATATAAAGCCCCGCGACCAAGGAGAATACAGATTTATTGCCAAAGATAAGGAAGCTAGAGCTAAGCTTGAACTAGCTGGTAAGATGCTTGCTTTGTGTTTCTTTATAAAATCTTAGGTTAGTGAGTTAACTAAATTGACTTTTCTTCTTTCAAAGAGTTGAATTAAAATGAATGCACAATCAGGCTGAGATACAAGTCTGTGAACTGTAAGAATTATAATTCAGGCAACAAACATTTTTTTATTCTTCCACCTTGATCCAAATGCTGAGCAAAAATACAGGTTACTTTTCAGTGTCTATACAAAGAGCATGGACTGAACTTAAAGGAAACAGAACCTTTTCATTAGGTCTCTGCAGATCTAAACCATGAAAATTATTTGGCCTACTCACTTCAGTCATATAAAACATTTAATTCCTAATTTTTCTATTTTACAGGATCAGACCAGTGATCCTGCCTTTATAGGAGGACACAGTACATACCAACCAGACCGAGCTTATTTCTGTGGAGCAATCCAATAAGTGTATTAAGGATTTGCTCAGAATTCAAACAATAGCTCCTTCAGTTTTCTATGTTAGCTTCTATACAACAGCTCCTTTAATTTTCTGTTAGCTGACTAAAAATATGTCTTTTTTTAAGAAAAAATATGTAAGTACTTATTTTTCATATTCATCCACCTTAGCTGCACCCAGAATCAAGACTGGTGATCAAAACCTTGTAGTTGATGTTGGGAAGCCTTTAACTATGACTGTTCCATATGATGCCTACCCAAGAGCAGAAGCTGAATGGTTGAAAGGGGAGGAAAATCTGCCCACAACAACTGTTGATACGACAAATGACTGTACTACTTTCAAAATTTATGAAGCAAAGAAATCAGATAAGGGGAGGTACAAGGTTATACTTCGAAACAAACATGGCCAGGCAGAAGCATTCATCAACGTAGAGGTCATTGGTAAATACTCCTATTATTAAAACCTTGTTTACATTTATTTAAGCCAGAGGAAAAAAAAAAAAAAGAGATGCAGTGCCCTAAACTATCGTCATATTTCTGCTAGATGTTCCAGGTCCAGTTAGAAACTTGGAAGTCACTGAAACTTATGATGGTGAAGTTGGCCTTGCCTGGCAAGAACCAGAAAGTGATGGTGGAAGTAAAATAATAGGCTATGTTGTTGAAAGACGTGATATCAAGCGCAAAACTTGGATTATGGTCACTGACCGTGCCGAAAATTGTGAATACACTGTTACTGGACTACAAAAAGGAGGTGTTGAGTACCTCTTCCGTGTTAGCGCAAGGAACAGGGTGGGCACTGGTGAGCCCGTGGAAACAGATACACCTGTGGAAGCTAAGAGCAAATTTGGTGAGCAGTGATTATGAAAAATTCAGTGTTTGGTGACAGTGTAAGCAAAGCAGTACAAACTCAAAGAGTAGGTAAAACCTATGCACTTTGTTCTTCCTTTTTCCCCCTAAAATGCAGAAGTTCCTGGACCTCCTCAGAATGTAGAAGTTACTGATGTGAACAGGTTTGGAGCTACACTTACCTGGGAACCACCTGAGTATGATGGAGGATCTCCAATTACTGGCTACGTTATTGAACTGCGTAACAGAGCTTCCATCAAATGGGAGCCAACTATGACCACTGGAGCTGATGAACTGTCAGCCGTCCTGACTGATGTTGTGGAAAATGAAGAATATTTCTTCAGAGTAAGAGCTCAAAACATGGTTGGAGTTGGCAAACCAAGTCCTGCTACACGTGCAGTAAAAATTATGGACCCAATCAGTAAGTATGCAAACGCTGATTGTGACTGCATTATGAAACAGGGACATTTTGGCTGTTTTTATATTATATGTGCACCATCTGGTTCAGTAAAAAATCCAAATATTTTTTCTCTGAAATTAGAATCCAACCAATAAAAAAAAAAAAAAAGGTTTAGAAAAAAAGCCATGCAATGGTTTTAAAAATAGTACTTTAAGGTATAGATAGCTGATATGTAAACCCATGCTCCTTTATAAGTTGCAAAAAACATTTTCCTCTCAAATTATTTTCAGAGAGACCAAGTCCTCCCATTAACCTTGATCATTCAGATCAAACTAAGTCATCAGTGCAGCTCACATGGGAACCTCCTCTCGACGATGGAGGAAGTCCAGTCTTAGGCTATATTGTTGAAAGGCAAGAAGAAGGTACAGACAAGTGGATTCGCTGTAACCCAAAATTAGTACCTGCTCTTACTTTTAAGGTAAGATGTTCTGTTCATCAACAAAATAATCAAAATGTGCAGATCATCTTTAATATGAGATACAAAATAATTATTTGTGTTGTTTAGGTTACTGGATTGAAACCAGGATCCAGTTATTACTACAGAGTCTCAGCAGAAAATGCAGCTGGTGTGTCAGACCCAGCAGAGGCTATTGGACCATTAACTGCAGATGATACTTTTGGTAAGCCATATGCTATTTATTAAAGATAATTAATCAGATAAGGCACACAAGTGCATCTTGTGCATAATATGTATACTTTCACCAAATAACTGCTGTGACAACTAGTATAAAGAGCCTTAGGCTTTTGATATTGTGAGCTGTTTCTCCTCTGTTATGAATTATGCAGATAATTAGCTGTACTATTAGAGACAGACCTGTTAGGTTGCCTGAAGAGCATTCTTCCTTATATGTAACCTGAACTTCTCCTGTGTAAATTTAAGCCCATTAACCCTTGTCCTATCACTACAGTCCCTGACAAAGAGTCCCTCCCCAGCACCCATATAGTCCCGCTTCAGATACCGGAAGGTTGCTATGAGGTCTCCACGCAGCCTTCTCTTCTCCAGACTGAACAGCCCCAACTTTCTCATCCTGTCTTCATACGGGAGGTGCTCCAATCCTGTGATCATCCTCGTGGCCCTCTTCTGGACTTGTTCCAATAGTTCCATGTCCTTCGTATGCCAAGGACACCAGAACTGTACACAGTGCTCCACTTTGTGCACAGCTTGGGCCTGGAGCAAGCAGTCCTGCTTCCTCGCAACTTCCCCAATATCTCTTAGTCTCCTTATAGCCTCTGGCAGCTCAGCCACCTGATGCAGGAGTACCTCCAGCAGGGCGTAATGAGCGCAGTCCTGCCCATTGTGCACCCCCGCCTCAGGAGATCAGTGAAGGCACTTTCTGCATCCTGAGCTCTGCGCTGCAGCTTCCCCTCTCATCGGCTCTGTCTGGGTGCCGACGCTACCTCCGCCGGGGCAACCAGAGCAGAGCTCCCAAACTGGGCCCTGGCTCCTGAGCTGAGGGATCACCACCCCGCTACAGCTGGAGCACAAACTGTTCTGTTTGCCGCCCTCCCTGGGGCGAGTTTTACCCGCTCAGGGCGGTGCCGTCCCTTCCTGGCACCGCCCCCTGTGAGTCGCGTCTCGCCTCAGCGAAGCTGCCGGCTCCTGAGCAAGACCTGGCAAGGTCTTGAAGCTCTCTCGGCGGCTCTTGCTGCTCAGAAATGAGGCTCCTGAGCGCGGTGTTTCTGCTTGCCCCAGTGTTGAAGGCTCCTGTCTGGAGATACTTACCTTGGAAAAAAAAAATAAAATAAATAAAATTAGCCATTTCAGAATATCTGACAGGGTTTCACCAAATCAATTTTGTGCTTTTTCCAGTTGGACCTACAATGGACCTAAGTGCATTCAAAGATGGGCTGGAAGTTATTGTTCCGGAGCCAATCAAGATCCGTGCTCCTATCACTGGCTACCCTGTGCCAACTGCCACATGGTCTTTTGGTGACCAAGTCTTAGAAGAGGGTGATCGTGTAACAATGAAAACAACTGCCTCCTTTGCAGAACTTGTAATTACTCCAAGTGAACGTCCAGACAAGGGAATTTATTCCTTAACGTTAGAAAACCCTGTGTCATCTGTTTCAGGAGAAATTAACGTTAATGTCATCGGTAAGTGGACATGTATATATTCTAGGAATAACATTTGCTATTTATATTGCTAAAACATATTTAGGTTAATAATGTGAAATCACACAACTTTCAGTAAACCACATATATTAAAATATAACTAAAACCTAGAAATCCATCATCAAAAAGACCCTCTTTTCTGGTTTTCAATATCCAAGTTTGCTGTTTAAGGAAGCACGACTAAGAAGAGTAAATCTTCTGGCAGACAGATTACATAGAGATCATCTGTCAAATTCTGATTACAAAATAATTAATACAATTTCTATGGTTTCTAGCTCGTCCAAGTGCACCAAGAGAACTCAAAGTTTTAGACGTAAGCAGGAACACAGTACAGTTGTCATGGGAACCTCCAGAGGATGATGGTGGAAGTCCAGTTACTGGCTATATAATTGAAAAACGTGAAGTAAGCCGGAAAACATGGAGCAAAGTAAGTTCATTCTTTCTTATTTCAATTTCTATTTGCCATATTGTTTCCACATGTGCTAGTGAATTTTATGTCTTATTTTGGTAATTGCCCTTTGGAAATAGATTTTAGAAACGCATTGGATCCTTCTTTCTCTCTAGGTTAGGGATCAGGTTGTTGACCAAGAGTTCACTGTACCTGACCTCATCCAAGGAAAAGAATATTTGTTCAGAGTTTCTGCATGCAATAAATGTGGCCCAGGAGAACCTGCATATATTGATGAACCAGTAAATATGTCAGCACCAGCAAGTAAGTCAACTGTTTCACAATGCTGCTGATTTTCTGTTTCTGAAATCTTGTTGATTTTCTTTAAAATAAAATGTAAAAAAAACAAAACAAAACAAAAAAGCAACCTTCCTTGAACTGGTTTCTAAGACCCCATTTGTTTTTAATTTTTAATAGCGGTGCCTGATCCACCAGAGAATGTTAAATGGAGGAACCCAACATCAAAAGGAATCTTCCTAACATGGGAGCCTCCTAAATATGATGGTGGTGCCCGCATTAAAGGTTATCTGGTAGAAAAATCTCAGCGTGGTACAGACAAGTGGGAGACTTGTGGGGAACCTGTTGTTGAAACAAAGTAAGTATATTAACATCAGAAGATATATCCTTTAAACTGTGTATCCTCACCATTTTAAATATCTGGATTTTTTTGTTTGTTTAACAAACAGGATGGAAGTAACAAAACTCAAGGAAGGAGAGTGGTATGCATATCGGGTTAAGGCTTTGAACAGAATAGGAGCGAGCAAGCCAAGTAAACCAACAGATGATATTCAAGCCATTGATGCAAAAGGTAATTACTTAATCACTGAATTACAATAGCTGCATTATTTTACTAATCTCTGAGATACCGTTTCTATAACAATGATTTTATTCTCTCCTAAATCAGAGGCTCCAGAAATTTTCTTAGATGTGAAGCTTCTTGCTGGACTTACAGTGAAAGCTGGAACTAAAATTGAGCTGCCAGCTAAAGTGGTTGGAAAGCCTGAGCCCCAGATTACTTGGACCAAGGCTGACAAAATTTTGAGGCCTGATGACAGAATCACCATTGAAACCAAACCTAATCATTCTACAGTCACAATTACAGACAGCAAGAGGAGTGACAGTGGAACCTATATTATAGAAGCTGTAAATACCAGTGGACGTGCTACTGCTGTTGTTGAAGTTAATGTTCTTGGTATGCATGTATTTTATGGTGTTTATAAAAATCATTAGTAATGTCCTGAGGTATGTAAGCAGAAGATTAACATTCATATCTTGTCCTCTACAGATAAACCTGGGCCACCAGCTGCATTTGATGTATCAGAAATCACAAATGAATCCTGTCTTCTGACATGGAATCCTCCACGAGATGATGGGGGTTCTAAAATTACCAACTATGTCCTTGAGAAAAGAGCTACAGACAGTGAAATATGGCACAAGTTGTCATCAACTATAAAGGATACAAATTTCAGAGCTACCAATTTAACTCCTCGTAAAGAATATGTGTTCCGAGTCAGTGCCGAGAACATGTATGGTATTGGGGAGCCAGTAGAGTGTAGCCCCATCATTGCAAAATATTCATTTGGTTAGTTGATTAAATTGTTAAATTTTTACTTTTTTTTTTCTTGGGGGGGGGGCGGGGAGTGGGGTGTGAGGAGCGGAAGAAAGCATATATTGATGACTTTGGGTTTTGTTTTTTATTAATTTGCACAGATCCACCAGGCCCTCCAACAGGTCTCAAGCCTACAGAAGTCACTAAAGACTCAGTCACCCTAACATGGAATGAACCAGATGAAGATGGTGGTAGCCCCATAACTGGCTACTGGGTTGAAAGATATGATCCTGAGCAGGATAAATGGATAAAATGCAATAAAATGCCAGTGAAAGATACAGCATTCAAGTAAGACTATAGTCAGTTTAGTCTGAAATAGGTCACAGAGACATAAAGATGTAACAGAAGCCTTTTAAACAAGTTTTATGCTGCCCTTGATCTTTTTTCCTTGCTTCCATGAGTTTAGAACAAACTAACACAGAATCATAGAATCATAGAATCACAGAATGGTTCAGGTTGGAAAGGCCCTTAAGATCATCTAGTTCCAATCCCCTGCCATGGGCAAGGACACCTCACCCTAGACCATGTCGCCCAAAGCTTTGTCCAGCCTGACCTTGGACACTGTCAGGGATGGGGCATTTACTAGTTCTTTGGGCAACCTGTTCCAGTGCCTCACCACCCTCACAGTAAAGAAGTTCTTCCTTCTATGTAACCTGAACTTCACCTGTTTCAGTCAAACCCATTACCCCTTTTCCTATCACTACAGTCCTTGATGAAGAGTCCCTCTGGGGCATCCTTTGTAGGCCCTCTTCAGGAATTGGAAGGCTGCTATGAGGTCTCCACACAGCCTTCTCTTCTCCAGGCTGAACAGCCCCAATTTTTTCAGCCTGTCTTCATACAGGAGGTGCTCCAGCCCCCTGATCATCCTCATGGCCCTCTTCTGGACTTCATCAGCTCCATGTCCTTCTTTTGTTAAGGACACCAGAACTGCACACAGTACTCCAAGTGGGGTCTCACAAGAGCATCTGGTGACATACTTGTTTTGATAATTAATTTTTAAGAAGAATGTCTTTGCAGAAGAGTAAATTATCTTTTTTTTTAATGTATGCGTAATAATTTCTGTCGTACATGATAATTCATAAAACATTCTAAAATAGCAAACATACCTGTTTCAAGTATCAATTTGCCAAAACCCTGGGATTTTTTTTCTCCTGATACTTGTATTAACTAACAACCATGGAAAAATGCAAAACTGAAAGATGGCTCTCAAACCATTTGTTTCTGTGTCATGGCGCACAATTTTACTGTTGACAATATACATATTTTGAATGTTCACAATTTCATAAAACAACATTAGCAGTAATTTGCGTATTTTCAGATTTTCCAGGTAAACTGTAGTACAAAGAGGAGAGAGAATAATGTCTTAGGCACAAGTTAATGTGTAGATTTGGTTTAATCAAACTTGATTTTTATTTCCAGGGTTAAAGGTCTTACGAATAAGAAGAAATATAAGTTCCGTGTCTTGGCAGAGAATCTTGCAGGACCTGGAAAACCAAGCAAGGAAACAGAGCCAATCTTAGTGAAAGACCCAATTGGTATAATAAATACATTTTTTATGGTTTAGTTTAACAAAAACAACTAAAAAGATCATTTCTATCATGTAATTAATATTGGACTTCTGTCTAGATCCACCATGGCCTCCTGGAAAGCCAACTGTGAAAGATGTTGGCAAGACATCATTATCCCTTAGCTGGACAAAACCAGAACATGATGGAGGGGCAAAGATCGAATCTTATGTCATTGAACTATTAAAGACTGGAACAGATGAGTGGGTGAGAGTGGCTGAAGGAGTTCCCACAACTGAACACTTCCTTAAAGGGCTTATGGAGAAACAAGAATATTCATTCCGTGTAAGAGCTGTGAATAAGGCTGGCGAGAGTGAGCCCAGTGAACCCAGTGACCCTGTGCTGTGCAAGGAGAGGCTCTGTAAGTATTGTTTCAGAACATGCTGCTGCTCCAAATACACTATAGAAGAGCCATGTCTGCTTGTCTCTGTAGATACCAAGTGAACTCCTGGAAGGCTTATGAAATATTAAAATCTGTTCTGCTTCACCTAAAAAAATACTAAGTTTTAATAGTATGTATTCCCTGTCTTACAAGACCTTTGATGGTAAATAGCTAACCGGTTTTATTTTCTTATTATATTTTACAGATCCTCCTTCACCACCTCGGTGGCTTGAGGTTATTAATATTACTAAAAACACAGCAGATCTTAAATGGACAGTACCAGAGAAGGATGGAGGTTCCCCAATTACCAACTACATTGTTGAAAAGAGAGATGTAAGACGTAAAGGCTGGCAGACAGTTGATACAACAGTGAAAGATACCAAGTACACAGTGAGCCCACTGACTGAAGGCTCATTGTATGTGTTCCGTGTGGCTGCTGAAAATGCCATTGGACAGAGTGACTATTGTGAAATAGAAGATTCAGTGCTTGCTAAAGATACTTTCAGTAAGTTTGAGATTTGCTTACCAAGTGATCTGAAGAAACAGCTCACATGTAATGGATTCTTATTCTGATCTGTGTATTTTATTCCTTAGCAACTCCTGGGCCTCCTTATGCACTTACAATAGTTGAAGTGACAAAAGGTCATGTGGATTTGAAATGGGAACCACCTAAGAATGATGGTGGCAGACCAATTCAAAGGTAAGTTTTAAGTTTGTGCAGTGTTTCCTATAGATTAAGATATTTTAATGAATCAATATGTTTCTTTCAAAATGTTTACATTTTAAATGGACATTTTTAATATGAAAAAGAGATGGATGAATGTAAAGAGAAGCCATATGGTCAAAGCAATTAAGGGCTTGATTTTAAAATGTGAAAATTATGTCAGTATAAATAACCTAATGTAAATGAACAATGAATGTTTGTCAACATCCTGAAAACATCTAATCAGATTAAATTGAACTATATGTAAAATATAAAAAAAATTAATGAAACTGTAGTCTCCAGTTCCTCCGGAGCTGTAACCACTTAAATCCACCTACCAAGTAATATTGTTACATTTTCCTTCTGCCTTAGTTTCTTATTCAACCTGTATACACTGGGCTAAGATGAAGCTTCATCACTTTTCTGTTCATTCTCCTCTTTATCACACTTTTCAAGCATTTAGACTGTTGAAAACAGTCTAAAACAAGACTGGTTTACTCCTTTGGGTTGCTTCTAACTTATTCTTTTTCTTTGGTTTCTAAACTATCTGTCCTCTGAAATTCACCTTGAACTACAGTTAGATTTTTCCTCTTTATTTTTCATTCTTCTTCTCCTTCACAGTCACAGTAAGCTTGTATTTTTCATTCTTCTTCTCCTTCACAGTCACAGTAAGCTTGTCTTAAACAGACAACTACAGAGATCTGCCTGAAACACTAGAAGTCACTTTATTTGCATTTCCTATAGTTTATCACAGGCAGAATGTTAACAACTGAGTAACTTACAGCTAAATAATATCTACAAATATTCTCAGTGAACTAATCACTGAGATCCAAACTAGCAAAGACACACGTATAGCTTGGAGATTCTTTTATATCTGCAGCTCTCTAAAACCTAAGAACACAGCAGAACTTCAAGAATTGTTTTTTACAATTGTATTTGTCAGTGATGTGAGCCCCATTACATCCAAGACCTACCAGGGCTTAAGGGGCTGAATTGTGAAGTAAAGTCCACCGTGACTCTCTCAACTTTTTTTTTCCATTGTCTAAACTATTCTAATCTCTATTTATCTCTCTTATTGAGCAAGAAGTCTGAAGTGTTCATATTGCAAGTGTCTCATAGTATTTTCCCCAATTTATTCAGATATATTATTGAAAAGAAAGAAAAACTAGCCACTCGCTGGGTAAAAGCTGGCAAGACAGCTGGTCCAGACTGCAATTTCAGAGTGACTGATGTCATCGAAGGTACAGATGTACAGTTCCAGGTTCGTGCAGAAAATGAAGCTGGCTGTGGTCATCCCAGTGAACCAACTGACCTCATTCATATTGAAGATCCAACAAGTAAGTAATAGTGTAATATGCAGTGTATTATAGAAGCAAAGTACTGTGTAGAACAGATATTATGGAAGAAAAATTACACAATTCTTTTCTGTATCTGCAGGTCCTCCTTCACCTCCTCAGGATTTACATGTCACAGATGCAGGTCGAAAGCATATTTGCATTGCATGGAAACCACCTGAGAAGAATGGTGGAAGCCCTATTATTGGGTATAATGTTGAGATGTGCGAAGCAGGAACAGAAAAATGGATGCGGATCAATTCTCGTCCAATAAAAGATCTAAAATGTAAAGTGGAGGAAGGTGTTGTTCCAGACAAAGAGTATGTGCTGAGAGTCAGAGCAGTCAATGCTGTTGGAGCTAGTGAGCCATCAGACGTCTCAGAAAAAGTTGTTGCCAAGGACCCAGACTGTAAGAATAGATTCTGTTTGTTGTTGGTTTTGGGTTGTTTTTTTTTTGTCAGATCTGCATAACTGAAAAAGTAAGGTGTTTGACAACTTTTTAGTAATATTATACTTACTTTTACAGGTAATCCCACCATTGATCTACAAACTCGTGACATTGTTGTTGTTAAAGGACAGAAATTAAGTATTCCTGTACCCTTTAGAGCTGTTCCATCACCAACTATTACATGGCACAAAGATGGCAAAGAGTTGAAAGCTGGTGACAGAACAACAATGAAGAGCGATTACACCTCTGCATTGCTTGAAGTCATAGACAGTGTTCATGCTGATGCTGGTGTTTATACCATCACATTGGAGAACAAGCTGGCATCAACGACTGGTTCAGTCAATGTCAAAGTCATAGGTAACTAGGCTTCTTATCCTCGCTTGAGCCCTGCAGGTGACAGAAAAAAGGACTAGAAAAAACCCTTTTCTGCCATGTGGAGAAGTCACTTCAACTCAGACACACATAGATTGCCGTAAAGGCAATAATGTTACAAAATCCCACAAAGAAACCCCAAGACTTTACACCAAATTGGTCTAACTACTCAGTGGCTGCTTAAAGCCAAATTATTATGAATAGTCATCTTACACATGTGAAAATGCCTATAAGAATTCTGAATACTTTTCTACCTCTAGGAGCATAAATTCATATATATACAGTGTGTAGCCAACATCTGTGGGTTTGGTCTTCTTTCTGCAAAACAAAGAAATGTAATGCAATTTCATATTTGTAGGAATACAGTTTCCCATCTATTTAGTTTTATTATTATTCTTTAAAACAGGACCACCTGGACAGTGTAAAGACATCAAGGCAAGTGAAGTAACTAAGAATTCTTGCAAAATATCCTGGGAACCTCCAGACTTTGATGGTGGCACTCCTATTCTGCATTATGTTCTGGAGCGCAGAGAAGCTGGTCGTAGAACATATATCCCAGTTATGTCTGGTGAAAATAAGCTTTCATGGCAAGTCAAAGATCTTATCCCAAACAGTGAATATTATTTCCGTGTTAAAGCTGTCAATAAGATTGGAGGAGGTGAATATCTTGAACTAAGAAACCCAATCATTGCAGAAGACCCGAAACGTAAGATTTTTTTTACCAAATCACCAAATTGAATTTTAACTAAAATCTTTAAACTTTCTTTTCTCATATAATCCCTCTTTTGCTACTCTTCCACAGAGCCCCCAGATCCTCCTGTTGACCTTGAAGTCCATAATCCAACATCAAAATCAGTAACACTTACATGGAAACCACCCCTGTTTGATGGCGGAAGCAAGATTATGGGCTACATAATAGAAAAGCTCGCTAAGGGCAAGGAGAGGTGGGAGAGGTGCAATGACTATCTGGTACCTCTCTTAACTTATCCAGTGAAAGGTCTTGAGGAAGGAAAGGAATATCAGTTTCGTGTTCGTGCTGAGAATGCTGCTGGCATTAGTGAGCCTTCTCGGATTACTCCTTTTGTGAAAGCCGTGGATCCTATTGGTATGAATCGCTCATTTGATTGTTTGTAGTAATTGCTATACATCCTCAAATATATTGGAATATTCTACTCTCCATTTATTATTCTGTGTTATTACAGAGGCTCCAAAAGTCTTCCTAGCTGCAAACCTACAGTCTGGCCTTGAGGTGAAAAGAGGTGATGAGATCATACTTGAGGCACATATTTCAGGGTCACCTTATCCATCTATCACTTGGCTGAGGAATGATGAAGTTGTCACACCAGAGGAAATCAAAAAGAGAGTACCAACATATACAAGGAAGAAGAAGGATGAAGCTGAAGAAGAGAAACCTTTCCAGCTTTCACTGCCAGAACGTATGAGTATTGACAACCATAAAGAAGGAGAGTCTATACTATCAATTCGTGACTCCATCAGAGCTGACCATGGCACATTTACAATTAAAGTGGAAAATGATCACGGTGTTGCAAAAGCCTCATGTGAAGTCAATGTTTTAGGTATATTGTGAATGTCCTTAAAATCACTAAGTTGTTCAGCGTATTGGGTAAGAATTGCATAAGATGATTACTCATAATTTTTATTGCTTTACCAACAGATACACCTGGGCCTCCAATCAACTTTGTATTTGAAGATGTCAGGAAAGATTCTGTCATTTGCAAGTGGGAGCCTCCCATTGATGATGGCGGAAGTGAAATCCTAAACTATGTACTGGAAAAGAAAGACAATACCAAAGCTGAAATGGGCTGGGTCACTGTCAGTTCAACACTCAGGCATTGCAAATTCCATGTAACAAAACTGATTGAAGGAAAAGAATATCTCTTCCGTGTATTTGCTGAAAATAGAGTTGGATCAGGGCCACCATGTGTTTCAAAACCAATGACAGCAAAAGATCCTTTCTGTAAGTTTTAATTTTGAAATACAACCTTTTCAGAAAACCAGTGTAAAACTACGCAGACTCTTAGAATACTCAGCTTCATCTATGTGAATGTTTCCCACATGAAGTTTTAGCAATATAATTATTATTTATTGCATATTTTAAACCATTGAAATAAAGGGAAATATTGAAAACAATCTAATTTCAATGGTAAGGGAATAAGTGGCAATCACGTTCTTAAAACTTAAAACCCTGACATTTGAATAGTGACATTCTCTATGTTCAGTAAACTAATATTCTTACAAAAAGAGAGAACTATTGATCACTGATTGCAGTTAGAAATCAAAGTTCCTGAGAAAGAGAGTAGAAGAACTATGAATTACTTAAAATTAGTAATTTCTCATATCTTAGTTCTCTCTTAGCTTTGAGTAAGCTCTGAGAAAGACAAGAATGGTGACAAAATTACAATTCTTTTTTTTCAGCTCCACCAGACCCACCTAATAAGCCTGATGTGGAGGATGTTACCAGCAACAGTATGTTGGTTAAATGGAATGAACCAAAAGACAATGGCAGCCCAATCATAGGATATTGGATTGAAAAACGTGAAATTAATAGTACTCATTGGGCTCGGGTCAACAGGAGCCTTGTGAACGCTCTGGAAATAAAAGTTGACGGACTGTTGGAAGGTTTAACCTACATCTTTAGAGTATGTGCTGAAAATGCAGCTGGTCCTGGGAAATTTAGTCCCCCGTCAGATCCAAAAACTGCACAGGACCCAATAAGTAAGTAGCTTAGCAGAAGCTAATAGCAGACAGGAGACAGAGCAGGACCCACCTTAAACCTTTAACTTTGATTTGCACCTATTTATTTATAGTGCCACCTGGTCCACCAGTTCCAAGGGTTGCTGATACAAGCTCAACTTCTATTGAGTTAGAATGGGAGCCTCCTGCGTATAATGGTGGTGGAGATATCACCGGTTACCATGTATATAAACAACTGGTGGGAGTAAACGAGTGGTCACGTTGCACAGAGAAACCCATTAAGGTCCGACAGTATACTGTTAAAGAAGTCAGAGAAGGTGCAGACTATAAACTTCGTGTTACTGCACTTAATGCAGCTGGTGAAGGACCCCCTGGTGAAACCGAACCCACAACAGTTGCAGAACCTAAAGGTATTGCAATTGTACTAGTTTCAAGAAATATCCAACTGCTTAAAAAGTCTTTTTGAATCTCTCCTTTGAACTAATGAACTGTTTCTCTCTTTTCTGCAGAGCCTCCCACAGTTGAGCTGGATGTTTCTGTCAAAGCAGGTATTCAGGTCATGGCTGGACAAACTATTAAAATTCCTGCTACTGTGACAGGACGTCCTACTCCCACCATTGTATGGGCTATGGAAGAGGGTGAATTAGACAAAGATCGAGTTGTTATTGAAAATGTCGGCACAAAATCTGAATTAACCATTAAGAATGCATTAAGAAAAGACCATGGAAGATACGTAATTACTGCTACCAATAGCAGTGGCTCCAAATCTGCAGGAACCAGAGTAGAAGTATTTGGTAAGAAAAAAAAAAATTGATCAACTGAGCATTTCTCCGGGTGAGACAACCTTTGGGCTTTATCCTACTTGTTTGATTTTGTTTTTCAGATGTTCCTGGGCCAGTCCTTGACCTAAAGCCAGTGGTCACAAACAGAAAGATGTGTTTGCTGAACTGGTCTGATCCTGAAGATGATGGTGGCAGTGATATCACTGGCTTTATTGTTGAGCGGAAGGATGCCAAAATGCATACATGGAGACTAGCTGTAGACACAGAGAGATCTAAATGTGATATAACAGGTTTAGTTGAAGGGCAAGAATATAAATTCCGTGTTAGTGCCAAGAATAAGTTTGGTACTGGTCCACCTGTTGAAATAGGACCTATTCTCGCAGTTGATCCATTAGGTAAGATGACTAATTTTATGGGGGTTTTTAAACAATTTTTAATTGTAGGTTAAAAAACCATTATTATTTTGTGGATTCCTTTCTATCTAGAAAGTGTATTTACTTTTCTACTGGTTGAAGCATCTGCCTTAGATTAATGACTTCAGTCCAATCCCTGAGTCGGTTCTGTGAAACTACTATGGTTCTTTATGTAACAAAATACTGATATCTACTGAGACAGTATTTGTTACCTTTTTATCCACATACATGAGAAACTTTACCCCTAACCATACTCACATATTTTGCGTACAAAAGCTATGGCTTTAAAAAGCCAGAGATACTGTATTTGTGTGATTATAAATTCTCTGATTTTTAAATGTTTCTTTCATTATAATTTTTCCATGTTAATAGGTCCTCCAACAGCACCTGAGAGGTTTATGTACACAGAGAGAACAAAGTCAAGCATTACACTTGATTGGAAACCTCCACGTAGTGATGGTGGCAGTCCAGTCTTAGGATATATTGTTGAAAAGAGGAGACATGATTCTAAAGACTATGAAAGAGTTAATGCAAGGCTCTGTCCAACAACATCTCTTCTTGTTGATAAACTTGACGAACTTCATATGTATGAATTCCGTGTCAAAGCTGTCAATGCTATTGGAGAAAGTGAACCATCATTGCCTCTCAATGTAGTTATACAAGATGATGAAGGTATACCTGCTTTAAAGAAATCCATACAAATACCTCCAGAACACTGCAAGGCAATTTCTCTGTTTTATCTCGACCTTTAATCTGCCATTTTTCTTCTTGTTTTCAGTACCTCCAAGTGTTACATTACGCTTGGCTGTGAGAGGAGATACTATCAAAGTGAAGGCAGGAGAACCAGTTAATATTCCTGCTGATGTGACAGGTCTGCCAATGCCAAAGATTGAATGGGACAAGAATGAAGTTTTAATTGACCAGACATCTGATGCACTTAAGATAACCAAGGAAGAAGTATCTAGAAGTGAGGCAAAAACTGAACTTATCCTGCCTGCAGCAGTGAGGGCTGATAAAGGCACTTACACTGTGAGAGCTTCCAATCGTCTTGGCACTGCATTTCGCAATGTGCATGTTGAAGTGTATGGTAAGGATGCAACATTATTTAAAAAATGACAGCTAATAGAATTCTTTTGTCTTTTTCTTAATGTGATTCTATGCTCTGTTACTTTCATACAGATCGTCCTTCTCCACCAAGAAATCTTGCTGTTTCTGATATTAAAGCAGACTCATGCTATTTAACATGGGATGCACCTCTTGATAATGGTGGTAGTGAAATTACTCATTACATTATTGAGAAACGTGATGCTAGTAGGAAGAAAGCCGAGTGGGAAGAAGTCTCCAAAAGTGTTGTTGACAGAAGATTTGGGGTAATTTATAAAATATCTTTATTACATACTTTAGTATGCATAAAAAATAACAGTAATGCACTCATGCTCCATTTAGACTCCAGAATCATTGGATGAATGTTGTGCATCTATGTCTGTGTGTTTTCCTCATGTGACAAAAAAAAAAAAAAGTTCTCTTTTGCTACTTAATCTCAGGTTAATTCAGAAGACATCTTCCTCTCCATTTTTCAGCATTATCTGTAGCTTTACCAACTGCAAAACCAAAATACTTTTAAAGTTTGGTCTCATGCGTGTGAAATAGTAATATCCCTAGGGCATTATATACAGCTGTGTAGTACAGAAGCGTAGGTATGTCACTAAGATTCCAAGACATAATTTAAAGTGAAAACTGCTGTGTAACATCAAATTTATTTAAGTTTATTCTGAAAGTAGCCAAGTATTGATTTAAATCTTACTTTCAGGTATGGAATCTTGCAACAAATGAAAAATATCAATTTAGAGTCCAGGCTGTAAACAAATACGGAATAAGTGATGAATGCCTCTCAGAAAAAGTTGTTATTAAGGATCCCTATGGCCTTCCTGGACCCCCTGGCAAGCCAAAAATTTTAGATCGCACCAGATCATCAATGCTGGTGACTTGGGAGCCTCCTTTGAATGATGGTGGCAGCCCAATAACTGGCTATTGGTTGGAGAAAAGAGAGGTGGGAGGTGTCTACTGGTCACGTGTTAACAGGGCTCCAGTAACAAAGCCATCAGTAAAAGGTCTACAGTACAATGTGCTTCGTTTGGCTGAAGGTGTTGAATACCAGTTTAGAGTTATGGCTGAAAATCTTGCTGGAATTGGTCCTCCCAGTGAACCATCAGATCCTGCTTTAGCAGCAGATCCCATATGTAAGTACATAATTTGTGTGACTGTTTTAAAAGACTATATCACACTGGAACCATAATGTGCTGCTATAATTTCTATTGAATTTAATACAATTAATCCAATGCTTTGTTTTCATTAAGCCAAAAAGAATATATTGACTCAAAAAGTAGTTTTCTGATTTGCTGTTTGTCAGCATTTTGAAAATAATTAGCTTTAATTTATTTTTTTACCTCTTTTAAGAACCTTAAATTGTGATTACACCAGTGCAAACACTACCAAATGAACCTGAGTTCAGAATCAGATTTTTATATTATTGTTTTTCTTTATTCCTGAAGAGTTCAATTTTTATGCCTTGTAACCTTAAGTATCCCTTAATAATGTATTATATGTAATTAGTGTGCATGTTCTGTGATTATACACTATGCATGGCAAAAGAAAGTGAAAATATTTGCATTCTTCTAGAAAATACTCAGAAAAAATGTATGCAGACACTAACTCTCAGGTAATATTTACTTGCTCTTGTTTTACAAGTTGTTCCTGGTCCACCATCTTGCCCAGAGATCAAAGATAAAACCAAATCATCTGTAGCTCTTGCATGGAAGCCTCCACAAAAGGATGGTGGCAGTCCTATAAAAGGATATATTGTTGAAATGCAAGATGAAGGTAGTTCTGACTGGAAGAAGGTGAATGAAGGAGACAAACTCTTTCCTACTTGTGAATGTGTTATTCCCAACTTGAAAGAGCTCAGAAAATATCGATTTAGGGTGAAAGCTGTAAATGCTGCTGGAGAATCAGAACCAAGTCCTGCAACATCAGAAATACCTGTCCAAGATATTCTAGGTATGTGTTCTGGGAATTAATTTACGTATTTACACCTAAATGCCACCTACTGCTGTGAATGTCCAAGCAGGTTACCAACCAAGCTAAAGTCAAAACAGAGCAATTATGCAAAAATGTAACAAAAGATTGACAAACATTTTTGAAAGTGTCATGATGACCATTACCAGGGCAGGATCCATTAGAAAACTGATGAGCACCTCGGTCATACTGAGGAAATAATGTGTATTTTATGAAGAAATGACTACAACAAATTTTTCTATTCATCCATTTCCCAGATTCCTTTTCACACACTGAACTTTTCTTTCCTAGTCCTGCATTCTGCATATTTATGTGGGGTTTTAGATCAGTGCTGACAAAAACTTACTTTCAGTACCTCTTAAAATTTGTATATTTAAATATTTTTGCAGAGGAACCAGAAATCTTCCTTGATATTGGAGCACAGGATTTTCTCTCTTGTCGTGCTGGCACAACAATTAAAATCCCAGCTGTTATCAAGGGTCGTCCAGTTCCAAAAACATTTTGGGAGTTTGAAGGAAAAGCAAAGACAATAGCAAAGGTTAGTAAAAGAAAAAGCTTCTTTCTACATGTGTTTCTAGACATTTAAACCTATCACCTTTCATATTTACATCATTTTGTTTTGTTTATAGGAGGGTGGTCATAATATACCTGAAGAAGCTCAGGTAAAGCAAATATTTTTTGTAATATCGTTGCATTTTATAACATAGTGTTGCATTTTTTGAACAGAAGTATTTAAAGTGGATCTGTTACTTCTTTTTCTATAATGCACAGGTGGAAGCAACTGAAACACGTTCAGCGATTATCATCCCTGAGTGCAACAGAAGTCATTCTGGACGATACAGTATTACAGCAAAGAACAAAGCAGGACAAAAAACTGTGCATGTCAGAGTCAATGTGCTTGGTACGTCTTACAGACATTGAAGTATTTGGATACTAGATTTTAGTCTTTATTTTTCTATGTGCTTATGTAAAATTGTTGTGCTTTTGTCTTAACAGATGTCCCAGGCCCACCAAAAGACCTAAAAGTAAGTGATATCACAAGAGGTAGTTGTAAACTTTCATGGAAGATGCCAGATGATGATGGTGGAGATAGAATCAGAGGCTATGTTATAGAGAAAAGAACTATTGATGGGAAGGCCTGGACTAAAGTCAATGCAAACTGTGGAAGTACTTCCTTTGTTGTACCTGATCTCATATCTGGCCAAGAGTATTTCTTCCGGGTGCGTGCAGAAAACCGTTTTGGTGTTGGCCCTCCTGCAGAAACCATTCAACGGACCACAGCCAGGGATCCAATCCGTAAGTAAAATCAAAGTCAAACAAATTCTTTAAAGTCAGATGGTACTGTACGGTGGATTTATTCACATTTCTGTTTTGTTTGTGCAGATCCTCCTGATCCACCTATTAAACTAAAGATTGGCCTTGTAACCAAGAACACAGTGAGTTTGACATGGAAACCACCAAAGAATGATGGTGGGGCTCCTGTTACACATTATAATGTTGAATGTCTCCGCTGGGATCGTACGGGAGAAGTGAAGGAGACTTGGAAGCAATGCAACAGACGTGACGTGGAAGAAACAAAATTTACTGTTGAGGATCTTGTCGAAGGTGGAGAATATGAATTCAGAGTCAAAGCTGTAAATATAGCAGGTCCTAGTAGGCCTTCAGCCACTGTTGGCCCACTTGTTGTCAAAGACCAGACTTGTAAGTACTAACTGATACCACCAAATATGAATTCCATTTTAAAATTAAGAAGTATTTTTGTATGTTAATTTTTTCAATATTTTCTGTAGGCCCACCATCTATTGAACTCAAAGAATTCATGGAGGTTGAAGAAGGAACAGATGTCAACATTGTGGCCAAGATAAAGGGTGTACCCTTCCCCACATTAACATGGCTAAAAGCTTCTCCAAAGAAACCAGATGACAAAACACCAGTGATGTATGATCAACATGTCAACAAGATTGTTGGTGAAGATAGCTGCACTTTATTAATTCAACAGTCTCGCAGGAATGATACAGGCTTATATACTATAACAGCTGTAAATAATCTGGGAACTGCTTCAAAGGAGATGAGACTAAACGTTCTGGGTAGGTATCAAGAACTCTAATGTACTGCATCAATTTATACCATTCATGTGTTACTTAATAGCATTTTAATTAATTCTTCTTTATAAATTGTGTCTTTTAGGCCGTCCTGGACCTCCAGTGGGACCTATTAAATTTGAATCAATTTTGGCTGATAAAATGACAATATCATGGCTTCCTCCATTAGATGATGGTGGTTCTAAGATTACAAACTATGTTATAGAGAAAAAAGAAGCAAATAGGAAGACATGGGTACCTGTTACTAATGAGCCTAAGGAATGCATATTCACTGTTCCCAAGTTGATGGAAGGCCATGAATATGTGTTCCGCATTATGGCGCAAAACAAATATGGTATTGGAGAACCTTTGGATAGTGAACCAGAAACAGCACGAAACCTTTTCAGTAAGTACAAATACACGTCCGAATTATGTCAGTGTTTTTTTTGCTGGTATGTGTACAGCATCTGTTAAATATCACTACTACTTTTCTCTCTTCATGTAAATAGGTTTTCTAGACTATCTTGAAGAGTTTTAGCATCAGTAGTTAGTTCTTAAAGGCACATGTAGTACTTAAAACCAATTTTTTCCCTCAGTGTTATATATTAAAATGCAAACTCAAGCTTTTTTAAGGTTTTAATGTATGAATAAGGATTTATCTGATAAGATTCAGGTCATTCTGTTTTGTTTGAGACATTTTTGACATGTTAGGTCAGGAAAAGTCAATTTCCTGCCTTCAGTTTTGAAAGATAATTTAGGCAGAATAGCTCTGATGTAGGAGAAATACTAGGTTTTCACTAGAAAATCATTCTTAAAACATCCAAGGTTAGGCTGGGCAGTGAAATTAGATAGATCCAGTAAGGCGAAATAAACAAGTTTTTTACAATTGTAATTTGAAGGGAAGGTATTTTACGTTTCACAGAAGTATATGCACCTGAACAGGGATGGGAAGGTGGGAGGGCTGGTGTCTCATGCAGATAGGTAACTGCCTAATGCAACTGTGACCATGTAAGTGCATAGCTCTTCTTTGCATTCTAGCTATCTCTGTGTTTCTTTAGTGGTTTTTTACAAGCTGTGTGTCATTTTTTTCACCCAGCTGTTCCTGGACCTTGTGACAAGCCAACAGTAAGCAGTATAACACGTGACTCAATGACTGTAAACTGGGAAGAACCAGAACACGATGGTGGCTCTCCTATTACTGGTTACTGGTTGGAGCGCAAAGAGACTAGTGGAAAGAGATGGACCAGGGTTAATCGTGATCCTATCAAACCTATGACACTAGGAGTTTCATACAAAGTTACAGGTCTTATTGAAGGCTCAGAATATCAGTTCCGTGTTTCAGCTATCAATGCAGCTGGTGTTGGTCCACCAAGCATGCCGTCTGATCCAGCAGTTGCTAGAGATCCTATTGGTAAGTATTCTAGATTCCTATTTTTGAATGTGAAAATATTCAGATAAGGGCATAGAACATATTGTTATGCTGTAATGATGATGTATGATGATATTTTTCAGCCCCGCCTGGCCCTCCTATTCCAAAAGTTACTGATTGGACAAAGTCTTCTGTGGATTTGGAATGGTCTCCACCACTAAAGGATGGTGGTTCCAGGGTCACTGGCTACATTGTTGAGTATAAAGAGGAAGGAAAGGAAGAATGGGAACGGGTAGGTAGAAGAATATTGTGGTATCTGCATTTATTTTCTCTGTGAGTCTATCAAAATAAATCTCTCAAAAATATATTTTTTACATATGTTCACTATGCAAGTTATTTTTTAAAAATTCATATTTTTGCACCATAATTATCTTCATATGTTTAAAACATAAGACCAACTGTAAAAGTCAGTAAATCCCCCTCCACAACATCAAGTTAATTTTGCAGTTCCCTAAACTGCAAAAAAAAAAAAAAAGAAAAAAATTAAATTTCTATGTAAAGATGTAGGTAATTGTGGTAGAAGAACAGAAGACAAGACCAAGTGAGAACTGACACAAAAGTAAGTCTCACTGGTATCAGACTGTACCAAATCATTTGCAATTACTATGTCCCTATATTTTCAGTGAAAGTAGAATCATAGAATGGTTGGGTTAGAAGGGATCTTAAAGATCATCTAGTAACAAATCCCCCACCATGGTCAGGAACTGATATTTTTTTTTTTTTTTAAATAGTTCATTACTGAAATATTTTTTCAATAATGTACTACTGTTTGGGTTTTTTTTTTTAATAATCATAGAATCACAGAATGGTCTGGGTTGGAAGGGACATTAAAGATCATCTAGTTCCAATCCCCCTGCCACAGACAGGGTCATCTTCCACTAGACCAGGTAGCTCAAAACCTCATCCAACTTGGCCTTAAACACAACCAGTTTTCCAGCTTCTCTGGGCAACCTGTTCCACTGCCTTACCACCCTCATAGTAAAGAATTTTTTCTTAGTGTCTAATCTAAATCTACCCTCTTTCAGTTTAAAGGCATTATCCCTTGTCCTATCACTACATGCCCTTGTAAAATGTCCCTCTTCAGATTTCTTGTAGGCCTCCTTTAGGTATTGTATGGCTGTTTTAAGGTCTCCTTGGGGCCTTCTCTTCTCCAGGCTGAACAAGCCCAACTCTCAGCCTGTCTTCATAAGAGAGGTGCTCCAGCCCTCTGATCATCTTCATGGTCCTCCTCTGGACTTGTTTGAGCAGATCCATAGTCCCCTTGTGTTGGGGGCCCCAGAGCTGAACACAGTACTGCAAGTTGGGTCTCACCAGAGCAGAGTAAAGGGGGAGAATCCTCTCCCTTGACCTGCTGGCCATACTCCTTTTAATGCATCCCAGCCTACAGCTGGCTTTCTGGGCTTCCAAGCACACACTGCTGGCTCATGATGACCTCATCAATCAACACCCCCAAATCCTCCTGAGGGCTGCTCTCAATCTAACCTCCACGCACCCTGTAGTTGTGCTTGCGGTTGCTCCAACCCAGGTGTAGGACCTTGCCCTTGGCCTTGTTGAACTTCATGAGGTTTGTGCTGGCCCACCTCTCAAGCCCACCTGAGCTTGGAGGATGTGATCCTTGAATATTATGCAGTTTTCCTGGCCTCCTCTTCCCTCCAGGGTTTTATCCCATGGAAGTCCACCAAGCAGAACCCTAAAGAGGCCAAAGTCCACTCTCCTGAAGTCCATCTTACTGTGCACCCTCCTTGCCACCCTAAGAATCTCAAACTGTATGGTCACTGCAGCCAAGGATGCCCTTCAGCTTCACATTCTCCACCAGCCCCTCCAGCAAAGCCCCCCTCCTTGTTGATTCCTCTGCATTACTTAAAATTTAACTGATTCGTACCTTGGCTACTTTTTTATTGCCATAAACATTTGGGTGCATCTTAAGTAATACCTAAATTTGCTGCACTATTTCCAGGTAAACAGACTTTTTATTGGGTTTAAAAGGATTAAAGATTTATTTTTTTCCACTGCCATCTACATGACTTTATTTGTCCAAAATTACATGTAATTATTCTGAGTCCATGGACTATTGTGTTATAACATCCTTGTCTGTTAGAATTATCAGGAAGGTGGATCTTCAGATTAGCTTGTGTGCCTATGTCCTGCATTTCTGTACACAGATTCTGAAGAACTCTGTGTGAGCTAGATCTACATATGCTTAAGACTGTGTTGTGCTTGTAAATCTGAACCAACTTCTGGTCTAAGATTTGCTTCAAACATCACAAAGAAATTGATGATACCTTGATTTTAGCTGATAGTATAATATTTTTTTTCCAGGTAAAAGATAAAGAAATTAGAGGAACAAAGTTCGTTGTGGCAGGATTAAAAGAAGGATGTTTTTACAAATTTAGAGTTAGAGCAGTGAATGCTGCTGGCATTGGAGAGCCTGGAGAAGTTACAGACATTATCGAAATGAAGGACAGAATTGGTATTTATCATTTACATTTATATTTTCAGTACCTCTAAGTGAAAGTGGGGAAAAAAAAATTCATTAAATTTTCTTTGTTCACCTCCCACAGTGGCTCCTGATATTAATTTGGATGCAAGTGTCAGGGACAGAATTGTTGTTCATGCTGGAGGAGTAATTCGAATCATAGCATATGTCTCAGGAAAACCAACTCCAACAGTGACCTGGAGTAGGGATGACCAAGCTTTACCAGAAGAAGCCAAAATTGAAGAGACAGCTATTAGTTCTTCTTTGGTTATCAAGAACTGCAAGAGGAGCCATCAGGGTCTATACACTTTACTTGCTAAAAATGCCGGTGGTGAGCGGAAGAAGACTATTATTGTTGATGTGCTAGGTAAATAGCAACTTCATCCTTGTGAGCAAGTAAACTTTCATGACATTCAGCACCTGTGCTTATATACTTCTTTACTTTCAGATGTGCCAGGCCCAGTTGGAATGCCATTCCTTACTGAGAACCTGACCAATGACTCTTGCAAATTGACATGGTTTACTCCAGAAGATGATGGTGGTTCTCCTATTACCAACTATATAATTGAAAAACGTGAATCTGACCATAGAGCTTGGACTCCAGTAAGCTACACAGTTACAAGACAAAATGCTACTGTTCAGGGACTCACTGAAGGGAAAGCTTACTTTTTCCGAATTGCAGCAGAGAATATAATTGGCATGGGTCCATTCACAGAGACTACCAAAGAAATTGTTATTAGATCTCCTATAAGTAAGTATATTTTCAGATTTGGATTACTGTCATATGAAATGAATATGCAGAAAAATGTATTTACTGTATTTTCCTGTTGTCCACAGCTGTTCCTGACCGTCCAGAAGACCTGGAAGTAAAAGCAGTTACCAAGAACTCTGTTACATTAACTTGGAATCCTCCAAAATATGATGGAGGCTCAGAAATCACCATGTATGTTCTAGAGAGCCGTCTCATTGGAAAAGAGAAATTCCACAAAGTTACAAAGGAGAAAATGCTTGATAGGAAATACACTGTAGAAGGCTTGAAAGAGGGTGACACCTATGAGTATCGTGTGAGTGCTTGCAATATTGTGGGGCAAGGCAAACCATCATTTTGCACAAAACCAATCACCTGCAAGGATGAAATTGGTATGTATCATCGTCACATTTCTTTCTAAAACAGTGATTACCGATTCCTTAATTTTTCTTACTAATATTGCTGACATTTGTGGTCATTGTGTTTTTAATATCATCTTTCAGCTCCTCCATCACTTGACCTTGACTTCAGAGACAAGCTTATTGTTAGGGTTGGTGAAGCTTTCAGCCTGACTGGACGTTACTCAGGCAAGCCCACACCAAAGGTTACTTGGCTAAAGGATGATATTGTTGTAAAAGAAGATGACCGTACAAAGATCAAGACAACTCCTACAACTCTTTGCCTGGGGATAGTAAAATCTGTCCGTGAAGACTCAGGCAAATACTGTGTTACTGTGGAGAACAGCACAGGATCAAGAAAAGGATTTTGTCAAGTTAATGTTGTTGGTAGGTTTTACTGAACAATGGTAATGTCCATGATTTGTAGTAGTGATTAGAATTCACTGAACTATATAAAATATGAATATTAAAATGTGTTCTTTATTACAATAATATTATTTACTACATTCTCATTTATACTGAAATACTATTTATTAATTTAGAGTACATAATTAACTCTGAATTAAGTTATTCAGCATGAACAGTTTAATGTCTTTACAAGCATTTACAGAATGTCAACACTGTAGAAAATGTGAATCACCAAATACTTCATAAGCATTACGGAATTAAGTCCAGTAAGTCAAACACGTATTAAAGAGGAATAGTTTTGAGGTGTTGATTCCTTATTAAAACTGTGATGCCATGTTTCTACTTTCATAATATATTTACTATATCAACACTGTTTAATCTATGTCTCATGTGAAGTTCATATAATAGCACGTGTATGCTTTTTTTTTTTACTTAAACAGATCGTCCATCACCTCCAGTAGGCCCAGTTATATTCAATGAAGTTCATAAAGATCACATGATAGTTTCCTGGAAACCTCCATTAGATGATGGAGGCAGTGAAATTACAAATTACATTATTGAGAAGAAGGATACACACAGAGATTTGTGGATGCCAGTTACCTCAGCCACAGTAAAGACCACATGCAAAATTCCGAAGCTGCTTGAAGGAAGAGAATATCAAATAAGAATTTATGCTGAAAATCTTTACGGCATAAGTGATCCTCTCATCTCTGATGAGATGAAAGCCAAGGACCGTTTCCGTATGTTATTCATTTGCATTCTTACTTTGATACTTTAATCTGTACTCTTTTTGTAGAGCTCATAAAATACTTTTTTTCCTTTTTTTTTTCTCCAGGTGTTCCTGATGCACCTGAGCAACCAATCATTAAGGATGTTACCAAAGACTCTGCAGTAGTGGTTTGGAATAAACCGTATGATGGAGGCAAGCCAATAACAAACTATATTGTAGAAAAGAAGGAAACAATGGCTCCAAGATGGGTTAGAGTTACCAAAGACCCAATTTTCCCCGGTACTCAGTTCAAAGTACCTGACCTCCTTGAAGGCTGTCAGTATGAATTCCGTGTTTCAGCAGAAAATGAAATTGGTGTTGGTGATCCTAGTCCACCATCAAAACCAATTTTTGCTAGAGATCCAATCGGTAAAGTATTACACATAATTTCTCATTGAAATTTTAATGCACTCTTTAGCAAGAAAATAATTTTATTTCTTTTCCTTATTTTGTTTTTTCTTTTTGTAACAGCAAAGCCAAGTCCACCCATTAATCCGGAAGCAGTAGATAAAACTAAAAATTCAGTTGATTTATCTTGGCAACCTCCACGTCATGATGGTAATGGCAAGATAATTGGCTACCTTGTTGAATATCAGAAGGTTGGAGATGAGGAATGGAAAAAGGCTAATCTTACAGCAGATTCTTGTCCTGAAACAAAATACAAAGTCACTGGCCTTACTGAGGGTTTGACCTATAAATTCAGGGTCAAGGCAGTCAATGCAGCAGGTGAATCTGAACCAGCCTATGTTCCTGATCCAGTAGAAGTAAAGGACAGACTTGGTGAGTTTAATAAATTCAGATAAGTTTACCTAAGAAGAGATTTTTTCTTCATTTTCTAAAACCATATCATTTTGATTCCAGAACCTCCTGAGCTGATACTTGATGCTAACATGGCCCGAGAACAGCATGTAAAAGCTGGAGATACCCTGAGGCTTAGTGCTGTTATTAAAGGTGTTCCATTCCCAAAAGTCACATGGAAGAAAGAGGATCATGAGGTCTCACCCAAAGCTGATATTGAGGTTACAGGAGTTGGCAGTAAGCTTGAAATTCGTAACACTGTCCATGAAGATGGTGGAATTTACTCCTTGACAGTTGAAAATCCAGCTGGTTCAAAGACAGTTTCAGTAAAAGTTGTGGTCTTAGGTAATCTTTTTGATATTCCTTTTATAATGCATGTTTTCATTCTATAATTAGAGATTCAGAAATAAATTAGTTTCTGGAAAATATCAATAAACTGAGTTATAAAAATACACAGTAGAAAAAGGACTAAAAATTGCATGATATATATTAATTTCTCTTGACATTTACTAAGTTTTGTAAAAAAATGTTTTGGTTATCAAATAAATAATGAATTCGATTTTTGTCAATATTAGATAAGCCTGGTCCACCCAGAAATCTGCAAGTCAGTGAAGTTAGAAGCGATTCTTGCTATCTCACATGGATGGAACCAGAAGATGATGGTGGCTCTGTCATTACCAACTATGTGGTGGAAAGGAAAGATGTAGCTTCTGCACAATGGGTAGCCATCTCATCATCCTCCAAGAAACGTAGTCACTTGGCTAAATATCTGATGGAAGGCACTCAGTATGTCTTCCGAGTTGCAGCTGAGAATCAGTATGGTAGAGGTCCATATGTGGAAACGCTCAAGCCTATTAAAGCTATAGATCCACTGCGTAAGTGTTCTTCAATTATATGATTTGGTTTGTTCATATTATTCTTGGTAATTTTTGAGATTATCTTGTTGGTACTAATGTGAATGTAGCACACTGCTATCATAGATTAGCCATCCTAGTAACCATTTCTTTTTTGCCATTTAAAAGATCCTCCAGGGCCACCAAAGAATCTGCATCATGTAGATGTTGACAAAACTGAAGTTTCCCTTGTTTGGAATAAACCAGATCGTGATGGTGGTGCTGAGATAACTGGATATTTGGTGGAATATCAAGAAGATGGTGCAGATGAGTGGACAAAGTTCCAGACAGTCCCTATGCTAGACTGTGTTGTTACAGGCCTACAAAAAGGAAAAATATACAAATTCCGTGTGAAAGCTCAGAATATTGTTGGTCTTAGCCTTCCAGATACAACTATACCAATAGAGTGTCAAGAAAAATTGGGTAATTTTTAGTTATGCATGTTGTTTCACTGATTATTTCTCTCTTTAAGCATTTCCCCTGAAAAGGTAATTTCTATTTTTCTCCAATTTCAGTACCTCCATCTGTGGACCTAGATGTGAAATTAATTGAAGGTCTTGTTGTTAAAGCTGGCACCACAGTAAGACTTCCTGCGATTATGAGAGGTGTGCCAGTTCCCACTGCAAAATGGGTTACTGATGGCATTGAAATTAAACCAGATGGCAGATACAGGATTGAGACTGACAATTATTCGACTGTACTTACCATCAAAGACTGTATAAGGAAAGATACAGGAGAGTATCTACTCACAGTATCTAATGCAGCTGGCAGCAAAACTGTTGCTCTACATCTTACAGTTTTGGATGTTCCTGGCCCACCAACTGGTCCTGTTAATATTCTTGAAGTAACACCAGAACATATGGTTATTTCTTGGCGCCCTCCTAAAGATGATGGTGGGAGTCCTATAATAAATTATATTGTTGAGAAGCGTCAATCAAAGAAAGAAACTTGGGGAGTGGTTAGCTCTGGAACAAGTCACACAAAAATTAAGATTCCACGACTGCAGAAAGGCTGTGAATATATTTTCCGTGTCCGGGCAGAAAATAAGATAGGCATTGGTGCACCCCTTGATTCAGAACCAACAGTTGCTAAACATATGTTTGATCCACCATCCCCACCTGGTAAACCAACTGTTTATGATATTACAGAAAATGCTGCAACAGTGTCTTGGACCCTACCAAAATCCGATGGTGGAACTCCAATAACTGGTTATATACTTGAACGTCGGGAAGCATCTGGTAAATGGGTGCGTGTCAATAAGGCACCAATACTTGATATGAAATACAGAGTCACTGGTCTTTTTGAAGGCAACACGTATGAATTCAGAGTTTTTGCAGAAAATATGGTGGGCTTAAGCAAACCATCTCCAAGCTCTGATCCAATAAAAGCCTCACGTCCTATCACTCCTCCTGGACCACCTATTAATCCAAAACTAAAAGACAAAACCAAAGAAACAGCTGATCTTGTGTGGACAAAGCCCCTCAAAGATGGTGGCAGCCCGATCCTGGGATACATTGTGGAATGTCAGAAGACTGGAACTACTCAGTGGAATAGGATCAATAAAGATGAACTCATTAGACAATGTGCTTTCAGAGTACCTGGGTTAATAGAAGGAAATGAATATAAATTCCGAATAAAAGCTGTCAACATTGTGGGAGAGGGAGAACCAAGAGAACTGGCAGAAACTGTACTTGCAAAGGATATTCTTTCTCCTCCAGAAGTAAGCCTAGATGTGACCTGTCGAGATATAATTACTGTTCGAGTAGGCCAAACAATCCGTATTACTGGTAAAGTAAAAGGCAGGCCAGATCCTGACATAACATGGTCTAAAGATGGCAAAATATTAGTTCAAGAAAAACGTGTTGAGATACTCCAAGATCTACCTAATGTTGAACTACAAGTGAAAGAAGCCAAAAGATCTGATCATGGCAAATATATAATAGCAGCTAAGAACAGCTGTGGACATGCTCAAGCTTTTGCTGTTGTTAATGTGCTTGACAGACCTGGACCATGTCAGAACCTGAAAATAAGCTATGTCACAAAAGATTCTTGTATGATCGCTTGGGAGAGTCCAGTGGATAATGGTGGCTCTGAAATTACAAATTACATAGTAGAGTGCCGTCAACCAAACCAGAGGGGGTGGTCAATTGTATCCTCTGATATCACTAAGCGATTAATAAAGGCAAACCTGATAGAGAACCGTGAATACTTCTTTAGGGTTTGTGCAGAAAACAAAATAGGTCCAGGTCCTTCCATTGAGACCAAGACTCCTATCCTTGCCATCAATCCTATTGACAAGCCTGGAGAACCAGAAAATCTTCACATTGCAGAGAAAGGAAAGACATTTGTTTATCTGAAATGGAGAAGGCCAGATTATGATGGTGGCAGTCCCAATTTAAGTTATCATGTTGAGAGAAAACTGAAAGATTCAGATGAATGGGAAAGGGTTCACAAAGGCAGCATTAAGGAAACACACTACATGGTAGATAAATGTATTGAAAATAAGATTTACGAATTCAGAGTTCAAACCAAGAACGAGGCAGGTGAAAGTAACTGGGTAAAAACAGGTGAAGTTGTTGTGAAAGAAGATCTGCAGAAACCAGTTCTAGACTTAAAGTTAAGCGGTGTGCTAACTGTAAAAGCAGGTGACACAATTAGAATTGAGGCTGGAGTCAGAGGAAAACCACAGCCTGAAGTTGTATGGACAAAAGACAAAGATGCCACAGATCTAACTAGATCTCCAAGAGTCAGCATTGAAACAACTTCTGACACATCTAAATTTGTTCTCACAAAATCAAGGCGTAGTGATGGTGGGAAATATGTGATCACTGCAACTAACACAGCTGGTAGTTTCGTAGCATACGCTACTGTTATTGTCTTGGATAAACCAGGTCCTGTAAGAAACTTGAAAGTCACTGACATTTCAAGTGATAGATGTACTGTTACTTGGGACCCTCCAGAAGATGATGGTGGTTGTGAAATACAGAACTATATCCTGGAAAAATGTGAAAGCAAGCGTATGGTTTGGTCTACATACTCTTCCTCTGTTTTAACAAACTATGCGAATGTGACACGGCTTATTGAAGGTAATGAATATATATTTAGAGTTCGTGCAGAGAATAAAATGGGCACTGGTCCACCAACAGAAACAAACCCAATTATTGCAAAAACAAAATATGATAGACCTGGTCGCCCTGACCCTCCAGACGTCACAAGAGTTAGCAAAGAAGAGATGACTGTAGTTTGGAATCCACCAGAGTATGATGGTGGCAAATCAATTACAGGATACATTTTAGAGAAGAAAGAGAAACGATCACTGAGATGGGTTCCTGTTACTAAGACTGCAATCCCAGAGAGACGCAAGAAGGTTACTAATCTCATCCCTGGTCATGAATATCAATTCCGTGTCAGTGCCGAAAATGAAGTTGGACTTGGAGAACCAAGCTTGCCATCAAGACCTGTAGTAGCAAAAGACCCAATAGGTATCATACTATTGTATTCTACTGTATTTTGTTTTAATGTTAACATAACAGATTGCTAAATTGCACAACTGTGTTATTACTTGTAATTTTTATTGTCTTTCAGAACCACCTGGTCCTCCCACAAACCTGAGAGTGGTTGATAGCACAAAGAGTTCAATAACTCTTGGCTGGGGAAAACCAGTGTATGATGGTGGTGCTCCAATTATTGGATATGTTGTAGAAATTAGACCAAAAGTTGAGGGTGCTGATCCTGAAGCAGGATGGAAACGATGCAATGTTGCTGCCCAAGTTATTCACACAGAATTTACAGCCACCAGCCTGGATGAAAACCAATTGTACGAGTTCAGAGTTTCTGCTCAAAACCAGGTTGGTCTTGGCCGACCAGCTGAACTGAAAGAAGCTGTGTCTCCCAAAGAAATACTTGGTGAGTTTTCCCGTTCTCTTTATGAGTATTGACGTACAAACTTTATTTGCTCTGATTTTATTTTATTTCATGTGATAAACTTTGCATTTTTATTCCTTTAATTTTTTCTTTCAGAACCTCCTGAGATTGAGTTGGATGCAAGCATGAGAAAGTTAGTCACAGTCAGGGCAGGATGCCCTATTAGACTTTTTGCCATTGTTAGGGGTCGCCCAGCACCAAAAGTCACCTGGAGGAGAATGGGTATCGATAACGTTATCAGAAAAGGACAAGTTGATCTGGTTGACACTATGGCCTTCTGTGTCATTCCTAATTCAACACGTGATGACTCAGGCAAATATTCATTGACACTTGTTAATGCAGCTGGAGAAAAGGCTGTATTTGTGAATGTCAGAGTCCTGGGTAAGTAATGAAAGAAATATTGCTAGACAATTTTTTAACTATATTAAATATTTATTGCAAGAATTTTTATGACCCCAGTCAGCTAACACTAACTGCCGTGTATAGGAAGCTGTTAGTCCCCTTTAATTATAGCTTATTAAAGAAAAGACTAGCATAAATTGAAATTTCTTTACAGATACTCCTGGACCTGTGTTGGACTTCAAGGTTTCAGATGTCACAAAGATGTCATGTCATCTTTCATGGGCACCTCCAGAGAATGACGGTGGTAGCCCAGTGACTCATTACATCCTGCAGAAACGTGAGGCTGACAGGAAGACCTGGGGAACAGTCACTGCAGAACTGAAGAAAACTAGTTTCCAAATAGCTAACCTTGTACCTGGAAATGAATATTACTTTAGAGTAACAGCAGTAAATGAATATGGGGAAGGTGTTCCAAGTGACATACCAAAACCAGTTCTAGCATCAGATCCGCTAAGTAAGTATGCCTTTATGCACATTTTGTATTTTCTTTCTAATTTTAGTAAGATTTTGTAATTTTTTGAAAGTTGGTGTTTCTAAATTGGACAATGCCACTAACTACTCAGTGATAAACATGAATATTTCTGTGTCAGTTTCTTTCAAGTAATAAAATCTATGAATATAATACCTTTCTAATTATTAAGAATTTTGTTCTTTGCCATATTGTCCTTGTTGAGTTAGCACAGGTAATGTCCAATAATTCAACAAATATTCAAGAGTCAGAAAATCTCAGAAATTCAATGTTTAATGTGTTTCATTTTTTGTTTTTGTTTGTTGTTGTTTTTTCCCCTTAAAGGTGAACCTGATCCACCACGAAAACTTGAAGTTACTGAAGTCACGAGGAATAGTGCTACTTTAGGCTGGCTGCCACCACTGCGTGATGGAGGCTCTAAAGTTGATGGGTACATTGTTAGCTACAAAGAAGATGACCAACCAGCAGATCGCTGGACGGAATATTCAGTTGTTAAAGATCTCTCCATTGTTGTAGCTGGTCTGAAAGAGGGAAAGAAATACAAGTTTAGAGTGGCGGCTAGAAATGCAGTAGGAGTAGGTTTGCCTAGAGAAACTGAAGGAATATTTGAAATCAAAGAACAACTCAGTAAGTAACAATCTAAATACTATCTGTGTTGCAATATTCTGCTTTACTAATGAAATGAGGAAGAATTCTAGTTCATTGAATGAGTCCCAGAAAGACACATGCTCTATGAACTCATCTGGAGTATTATGTTTAACTGTATTGAATATTTTAACAAATTAGAAAGGATGAGAGTTGAGCACTAATTGAGAATTATTAGAGAATTTTATAGGTATTGTTTCAGTTGGAACCAGAAGACAGAAACTAAGGACAAATAAAAAAGGTCTTTAATAAACTTAAAATGAAGGAGGAAAAGTGTCCAAATGGTAGCTTGAGACATAAATGGGGCCAAAAGTGGGACCTGTTTTAAGAGAAAACAAGTAGTTTATATTGTAGAGTTGGTTGAGAATGTAAAGCAAAAGGCAGGGACGACAAGTTGGCCTAATTAAGGTGTCAGGGTATCTGAAGCAGAGAAAGATGTAGGGGTAAGGGGCAGATAAGAAGAACCTACTTTATTTGTGACAATGAAAGAGGAAAGTACAGGAGCAAAAGACAATGAAAACTAGCCAGTAGCAGGAAGAAAAGTATATACTGCCAAGTCTCTTTTGGAAGAAATCTGAAAGATTTTGTACAAAAGAAGAAGAATTCAAGAGTATAAAAGGACTGAATGTGGAAATGGGTTTCGTTCAGCGAGAACTTCAGTTTTTCTTCTCCTTCTTGTTTGTCTTGTAGAAAGTGCAATGAGTTAGCAACAAGTTCCGGATGAGGTATTTTATGTCATGCATTAGTAGTGCAATAGCCTCTACGTAAACATGTGAGAAGGCAATCCAAACTTAAAAATGTTCTCTTACAAAATGTGTAAGACTGTAAAAGACTGAAATAGATATTGCCTACTGCAGAATCTCTACTTGTCCATAAGTGGAAGCTAAATTAAAAATTATGAAGTCATTCCTACTGGTGCAGGAAGTCTTTCTCACTAAAGAGGGAAGCAGAGAATCTTCACATGAAAACACAAGAAAAAATCAATATATCACAGAAGTTGAATTTATATATCTCTATGTGATTTTCTTTCAGTCCCACCTAAGATTCTGATGCCTGATCATGTTCACATCAAAGCTGGAAAGAAACTGAGAATTGAAGCTCATGTATATGGGAAGCCTCAGCCAGTCTGTAAATGGTTGAAAGGAGATGAAGATGTACTTACATCCAGTCGCCTTGCTGTACATAAAGCAGAAAAGTCTTCTGTTCTTATCATTAAAGATGTGACTAGAAAAGATTCTGACTTTTACACTCTTACTGCAGAAAATAGCTCTGGTACTGATAGTCAGAAAATCAGAGTGATAGTCATGGGTATGTTTCATTTGATTATTTTTATACAAAAATAATAGCTTTATACAAATCTAGTTTTAGCATATTCCAGTTGTTGCCATGTTCTTTCATCCCTTTTTTCTTAATATGTTTTTTCACAGATAAACCAGGTCCACCACAGCCTCCATTTGATATTTCTGAAATAGATGCAGATGCATGCACTCTTGCATGGCATATACCTCTTGAAGATGGTGGCAGTAACATTACGAACTATGTAGTTGAAAAATGTGATGTAAGCCGAGGAGACTGGGTAACAGCTTTAGCTTCTGTCACAAAGACAAGCTGCAGAATTGGAAAACTGATTCCTGGAGAAGAGTATATGTTCCGCGTTCGTGCTGAAAATCGTTTTGGGATTTCTGAACCACTTACTTCTGGAAAGATGATAGCAAGGTTCCCATTTGGTATGTGAATCGTTGATAGCAGCATTTCTCTTTTTAATCCTCCCAGTAAGAAAACATGTAATTGATATCTATATTTGTATTTCTTTCTAGATGTTCCTAGTGAACCAAAGAATGCACGTATTACCAAGGTCAATAAGGACTGCATTTTTGTTGCTTGGGATAAACCAGATAGTGATGGAGGCAGTCCAATCACAGGTTATCTCATTGAGCGCAAAGAAAGGAACAGTTTACTATGGGTGAAAGCTAATGACACAGCTGTGCGCACCACAGAATACCCTTGTGTGGGGCTCATCGAAGGCCTTGAGTATACCTTCAGAATTTACGCACTGAATAGAGCTGGAGCAAGTAAACCTAGTAAACCAACTGAGTTTGTCACAGCAAGAGCACCAGTTGGTAAGCAAAACACACCAATAAATTGCAAGAGACTACTGTTTTTATGGTCATTTTTAATATACCTTCAACTCTATGATCTTCAGTTTGCCCTTACATTTATATTTTCGTGTTTACCATGAGTGCAGTGTGTGGGTATCCAGTATTATTAAAGCCATTGTTTAATATGTTAGCTTTTTTTGTAATACAGATTATAACATGATCTTATTTGCCTTAGATCCCCCTGGAAAACCTGAAGTTATTGATGTCACTAAGAGTACTGCATCACTGGTATGGACAAGACCAAAGCATGATGGTGGTAGCAAACTTATTGGCTACTTTGTTGAAGCTTGCAAATTACCTGGTGATAAGTGGGTCCGGTGCAATACAACTCCACATCAAATACCCTTAGAAGAGTATACAGCTGCCGATTTAGAAGAAAATGCTCAGTATCAATTTAGAGCAATTGCTAAAACAGCAGTTAACATTAGCAGACCTTCTGAACCTTCTGATCCAGTGACCATTCATCCAGAAAATGGTAAGAAATACAGAAGCATTTGAGAACTCTGATAAAAGTCTGTATATATTGAACTAACCCTCATGTGAAGAATGAAATGTTTATATATTACTGGATTGATTAACTGTTGGGCTTTTACCTTTCAGTTCCCCCCAGAATAGAATTGGATCTGTCTATGCAATCACAGCTTACAGTAAAAGCTGGAACGAATGTGCGTCTGGAGGCAAATGTATATGGCAAGCCAATGCCATCAATTACCTGGAAGAAAGACGGGGAAGTTTTAAAGCCATCTGAAGGTGTTAAGATCACCACTAAGAGAAATCTTGCTACAGTTGAGTTGTTCAGTGTTAACAGGAAGCAAACAGGAGACTATACTATTACTGCTGAAAATGCAAGTGGAACAAAGTCAGCAACCATTAAACTTAAAGTACTTGGTAAGCTAAAGACTGTCTGTTAATAAATTCGGTTTTAGTTAAATGATATAGCAAGAGACAGAGCTATAACAATGTGATGTTATTTTTTCTAGATAAGCCTGGTCCTCCAGCCTCTGTTAAAATCAAACATATGTATGCAGATCGTGCAATGCTTTTGTGGGAGCCTCCTCTGGAAGACGGAGGTTCAGAAATTACTAACTACATTGTAGACAAACGTGAAACAAGCAGACCAAACTGGGCCCAAGTCAGTGCCAATGTACCCATTACAAGCTGCACAGTGGAGAAACTTATTGAAGGACACGAGTATCAGTTCCGCATATGTGCTGAAAACAAATATGGTGTTGGAGACCCTATCTTCACTGAACCAGCGGTTGCTAAGAATCCATATGGTAAGTCCTTTGTGAGATAGCTTAATTGGTCATTTTTTTTGTATATACTTATGAATGAAAACGTAACTTCCAAATAAATCTTCACAGATGTACCTGGACCTTGCGATCCACCAGTAATTAGCAATGTAACGAAAGACTTCATGACTGTTAGCTGGAAGCCACCAGCTAATGATGGTGGATCACCAATAACTGGTTATATGCTTGAGAAACGTGAAACTAAGGCTCTTAACTGGACAAAGGTAACCAGAAAGCCTGTAATTGAAAGAACTGTTAAAGCTACTGGACTCCAAGAAGGAACAGAATATGAGTTCCGGGTGATAGCGTTGAATAAAGCTGGACCTGGCAAGCCTAGCGCACCATCTAAAGCAGTGTATGCTCGTGATCCTCAATGTAAGCTAAAAGCCTCAGGTATTTTCCGTGGTTATTTCTAAATATATTTGCACAGCATTTGGTACAATAACTTTGTTATTTTAATTCTCAGATCCTCCTGGCCCACCAGCTTTCCCGAAAGTGGTTGATACTACTCGTAATTCAATAAGCCTGTCATGGAGTAAACCAGCATATGACGGAGGAAGTCCTATTATTGGTTATCTAGTGGAAGCAAAAAGAGCTGACACAGACAACTGGGTCAGATGCAATCTACCCAAGAACTTACAGGCTACACGATTTGTGGTAACAGGGCTGATAGAAGATACAGAGTACCAGTTCCGTGTTTATGCTGTCAATAAGATTGGATACAGTGATCCAAGTGATGTTCCTGATAAACACACTGCCAAAGACATTTTAAGTATGTTTACTGGAAACAAATTACCTTATTAGCTTCTGCTTGAATTCATGGGCTGAGTTCCAAAGACAGGGTTTGTCACAGATCACAGAAGCAGATTAATCTGGAATTTTCTCAAACAGTGTAGGCTAAAAGTGGCTAATTTGGAAAAGAATTAGGGCGGTTAGGAACTGAGTAGAATCTGACTGGTGTCTGCTTTTTTTCTTTTGTATGCTAGATACATTTCCGACTCCTATTTTGGATCCTCAAGAATTTTTTCTTTCTCTAATCCTAAAATTAGACTTTTCAGATCTCACTTCTGTTCTTAAAACTTACATTCTTATTCACGTCTTCTAAATAATTTGAAGCAAAAATTACTATTCTAAGAATCTGTGTGGCACTATTTAATTTTTTGACACTTACTCCATAAGAGCCATGCTGGCTTCTGTATGCATTTTGCTGTATGTACAAAAACATTGCTTCACAGAACTGTATTGGTTCAGCATAAGCAGCACAGAGTACAGTCCAGGAGGCTTTGAAACTTCTTTGAATTCTAGAGAAACTATAAGACTTCTTCATATGATAGGCAATATAAATGGTGGAAAAGGTAGGAAAAAAAAAAAAACAGTAGTGAAAACAGTGCAAAAAAATTGCTGAGTTTGACAATGATCTTGAAACGGGAGTCAGGACACTGACTCTTTAGCATCATCACAGGCATGAGAACAAGTTGGTTAATACAGTGAAATGCCAGTGAAGAGGGACTTTTTGTTTTGTGATGGTTTTAAAGAATATGTTTTAATTGCGTGTTTTTTTGTTAAATACACAGCTCCTCCTGAAGGAGAACTTGATGCAGAACTAAGGAAAGTCCTTGTATTGCGTGCTGGAGTCACAATGAGACTTTATGTGCCGGTAAGAGGACGTCCACCTCCAAAGATTACATGGTCTAAAGTGGGTGCCAACCTAAGAGACAGACAAGGATTAGATATCAAATCAACTGATTTTGATACCTTCCTGCGCTGTGAAAATGTAAACAAATATGATGCTGGAAAATACATCCTCAGTCTGGAGAACAGCTGTGGCAAAAAGGCATACACTATTGTTGTAAAAGTCCTTGGTAAGTGTCAGGGGTTTCCCCATTGTAGTATATTTGTTAACTTTTAATCATGTTTTTGGTTGGTTGGTTTTGTTGTTTACTAAATCAAATGTGGGGTTGTTGTGTTTATCTAGATACTCCAGGCCCTCCAGTTAACCTGATTGTAAAGGAAGCATCTAAGGATTCTGCCCTGATTACATGGGAACCTCCGCTAATAGATGGTGGCAGTCCAATCACAAATTATGTGGTTGAAAAACGCGATGCAGAAAGAAAGTCATGGTCCACAGTAACAACAGAATGTCCAAAGACAAGCTGCAGGATAACTAACTTAGAAGAAGGCAAATCCTACTTCTTCAGGGTTTTTGCTGAAAACGAATATGGCATTGGTGACCCCTGTGAAACTCGTGATGCTGTTAAAGCTTCTGGTAAGAAAACTTAATCCATTTTGCCTAATTTGGTATTCAGATAATTTTTAGTTTTAGCTCAAATGGACACTTACTATGCTTTTCTTCCTTCTAGAAACACCTGGACCAGTTGTGGATCTAAAAGCTTCAGCTGTAACAAAATCATCATGCAATTTAGTATGGAAAAAACCTATCAGTGATGGTGGAAGCCGTATTTTTGCATATGTTGTTGAGGTCCTCATTGGTGAAGATAAATGGCAAGAAGTCATGCGGGCAAAGAACCTCCATTTTTCAATGAGAGACCTAAAAGAAGGACAAGAATACACTTTCAGAGTGAGAGCCCAAAATGACGCTGGATATGGAACTCCAAGAGAGCTTACAATTGTGGCAAGAGATGATGTTGGTAAGAAGCAAGATCATTAATTCAGTGCTTCACTTAGCCAAATTATATTTCTTTATGCAGTGGGTTGACTGTGGCTGGATACCACATGCCCAGCAAGCCATTTTACCACTCCCCTTCCGCAACTAGACAAGGGAGAGAAAATGTAACAAAAAGCTTGTGGGTCAAGATAAGGACAGCAAGAGATCACTCACGAATTACCATCATGGGAAAAACAGACTTGACTTAGGGAAAAAAGTTCAATTTATTACTCATCAAATCAGGGTAAGATAATGAGAAATAAAACCAAACCTTAAAAACACCTTCCCTGCACCCCTCTCTTCTTCCTGGGCTTAACTTTACTCCTGAATTCTCTAACTCCTCCCCCCAGGTGGTGTAGGGGGAGGGGAATAAGGGTTGTAGTCAGTTCATCACACATTTCTGCTGCTCCTTTCTTCTCAGAGGGAAGACTCCTCATACTCTTCCTCCACTGCTCCAACAGGGGTTCTCTCTCAGGGGTTACAGTTCACCACTAACTTTTCCAATGAGAGTCATTCCCATGGTCAGTAGTTCTTCACGAACTGCTCCAGTGTGGGTCTCTGCCACAGGGTACAGTCCTTCAGGAACAGTCTGCTCCTGCGTAGGTCCCCTGCGGGGTCACAACTCCTTCAGCAAACCTGCTCCACCATGGGTTCCTCTCTCCACGGGGCCACAGGTCCTGCCAGGAGCCTGCTCCAGTGCAGGCTTCTCACGAGGTTGTAGTCTCCTTTGGGCATTTGCCTGTTGGGTCCTCCATGGTTGGCTGCAGGTGGATATCTTGGTGTCTGCATAGCTGTTTCTCTTTTATCTTCTCACTCCTCCCTCTCCAGCTGCAAGTTACTTAGACAGTAACTTATTTCCCCCTTCCTAAATACATTCTAGGGGTGCTCCCACCGTTGCTGATGGCACTTAGCCTTGGCCAGTGGTGGGTCCATCTTGGAGATGGCTGGCATTGGCTCTATCAGACATAGAGGAAGCTTCTAGCAACTTCCCACAGAGCCCACCCCTGTAGCCCCATATACTACCAAAACCTTACCATGCTAAACAAATACCATTTTATGCGTACCGTCATTACTGTGCATACATACAAATCAGATGCCTTTTAAATAGCATCTTAATTTTATTACAGAGTTTATACATAGTTGAATAATCATTGTTTCTTTTTTTTTATTTTTACAGTGGCACCTGATCTTGATTTAAGAGATCTACCTGATTTGTGCTATACAGCTAAAGAGGGTAGCAATTTCCGTCTTAAAATCCCAATTAAAGGCAAGCCTGTCCCATCTGTAACTTGGAAGAAAGGTGAAGACCAGGCACTTACTGAGAGTGGAAGAGTTGCATTTGAGTCTACAGCAGTTAACACCACACTTGTAGTACATGACTGCCAGAAAGCTGATGCTGGAAAATACACCATAACTCTGAAGAATGTTGCTGGCAGCAAGGAAGGCACTATTTCTGTGAAAGTTGTTGGCAAACCTGGCATACCAACAGGTCCAGTGAAATTTGAAGAAGTCACAGCTGATGCCATAACCTTAAAGTGGGGCCCTCCAAAAGATGATGGTGGTTCAGAAATCACCAACTATGTCCTAGAGAAGAGAGATAATGTAAACAATAAATGGGTGACTTGTGCCTCCGCAGTGCAGAAAACCACATTTAGAGTTACAAGACTTCATGAAGGAAATGAATATACATTCAGGATCAGGGCTGAAAACAAATATGGAGTAGGTGAAGGTCTTAAATCTGACCCTGTCATTGCAAAACATCCATTTGGTAAGTATCTAATTTTAAAAATTGAAAAACCCCATGTGGTTTAGGGGTGATGTTTAATGTTTCTTCATTTTTTAAAATGCTGTTTAGATGTTCCAGATGCTCCTCCACCTCCCAACATTGTTGCTGTGCGGCATGACTCTGTAGCTTTAACTTGGACTGATCCAAGAAGAACTGGAGGCTCACCAATCACAGGTATATACCCAAAAGCCTCCTCATATTTCAGTCCTTAATAGGTCTTTCTCTCTGTCAAAGGGTAAGATAAAACTACCAGGTGTTTATGCTTTAAATTGATTGATTGATTGTTTTACTGTTTTACTACCTATTTTTTATCCATGATGAATTTTTAAAACTTTAAATTTAAAGTTAGGACTGAGAAACAACATTTTTTTCACAGAGCCAAAAAGTCTAAAGAAACAAAACCAAACTCACCTATATCTTACATTACTTGGGTCCTTAAAATTAGCAATTTGCATTTACAAACATCTCATTGTTGCTATTAGATGCATCTGTAGTGTATGGCCACATCCATTTCTTAATCTGTTTTTCAATGTTCCTCTTGCACAATGCCTATGTGACATGCCATACAGGCAGTATGATGTGTCACAATGCTGTGAGAAATGAAGATTTCTAGAAAACCCCTCATATTTTAATCACACTATTTTTCTTCTAGGTTATCACATTGAAGTCAAAGAAAGAAACAGTCTTCTGTGGAAGAGAGCAAATAAAACACCAATTAGAATGAAAGATTTCAGAGTGACAGGATTAACTGAAGGTCTGGAATATGAATTCAGAGTAATGGCAATCAACATGGCTGGAGTAGGTAAACCAAGTCTGCCATCTGAACCAGTTGTGGCACTTGATCCTATTGGTAAGTCATCAGGAAAGTAAAAAGGCAAATTCTGAAATTTGAAATAAGTTTTGTTTGACAACTATTTATTTTCTTTTTCTTTTAGATCCCCCTGGGAAACCTGAAGTTATCAATGTAACCAGGAGCTCAGTAACACTCATTTGGACAGAACCAAAATATGATGGTGGACACAAATTAACTGGTTATATTGTTGAAAAGCGTGATTTACCTTCAAAGAATTGGACAAAAGCTAATCATGTGAATGTTCCAGACTGTGCATTTACTGTAACTGACCTCACTGAAGGCTCCAAATATGAGTTCAGAATTAGAGCAAAGAACACTGCTGGAGCTATCAGTGCTCCATCTGAATCCACAGAAACCATAATATGCAAGGATGAGTATGGTATGTAGATGACATTAAAAATTTAGAATTTTATTTGAATAATTAATACAATTTTTTTTTTTTTCCTGTTTTCTCATTATAACGTTTGGGGTTTTCTGTTTGTTTGACAGAGGCACCAAGCATTGTTATTGATCCTACTTTGAAGGAAGGTTTAACAGTAAAAGCAGGGGACACCATTACAGTGTCTGCTATTAGTATCCGTGGCAAACCACCTCCAACTTCAGCATGGTCAAAAGCTGGAAAAGATTTTAGACCTTCAGAGCTCGTGCACATTGAAACCACACCAACTTCTTCTACTCTGTCTGTCAAATACGCAGCCAGAAAAGATTCTGGAGAATACACAATTACTGCAACCAATCCTTTTGGCACTAAGCAGGAGAGCATACATGTGAAAGTTTTAGATGTTCCAGGACCTCCAGGACCTATTGAGATCAGCAATGTTTCAGCAGAAAAAGCAACTCTTACATGGTCACCTCCTGCAGAAGATGGTGGATCACCAGTCAAATCATATGTTCTTGAAAAGAGAGAAACTAGCAGACTGCTCTGGACATTGGTTGCTGAAAATATTGAAAGCTGCAGGCATGTTGTTAGCAAGCTCATTCAAGGAAATGAATATGTTTTCCGTGTCTCAGCAGTAAATCAATATGGCAAGGGTGAACCAGTACAATCAGAACCAGTTAAAATGGTGGATAGATTTGGTATGTAGAACAAGCTAAGAGGTTCTGGTGTGCTTTCATTAATCTCTGAAGACTTGATATTTGTTTTAACTACATTTTTCTTCCTTAAAAGGTCCCCCAGGCCCTCCTGGAAAACCAGAAGTAACAAATGTGACGAAAAATACTGTCACAGTTACCTGGAAAAGGCCAGTAGATGATGGTGGAAGTGAAATCACAGGTTACTATGTGGAGAGAAGAGAAAAGAAAGGTTTAAGATGGGTCAGAGCAACAAAGAAACCAGTTTCAGATCTTAGATGCAAAGTAACTGGTCTCCTGGAAGGAAATGAATACGAATTCCGTGTCAGTGCAGAAAACAGAGCAGGAGTTGGACCACCAAGTGATGCTTCAAAATCAATCATGTGCAAGGATATTGCATGTTAGTATCATGTCTTTTCTTTTTTGTGGGTGGGTAGCATGGTTAGAGAGGACATTCAGACAGTGTAAGAGTGAATTCCTGGGTAATGCAATGTTTTATCTTTTGCTCACTTTTCAGACCCACCAGGTCCACCTGCAAACCCAAGAGTGACTGATACTACAAAGACAAGTGCATCTTTAGCCTGGAGCAAGCCCCACTATGACGGTGGTCTTGACATCACTGGCTATATAGTGGAGCATCAAAAGGAAGGAGAAGAAGAATGGGTAAAAGACACAACAGGGACTGCTTTAAGAATCACTCAGTTTGTTGTTGCTCATCTGCAAACAGGAGCCAAATACAATTTCAGAATCTCTGCCATGAATGCTGCAGGTGTGGGTGAACCAGCAATAATTCCAAGCGTGGAAATCAAAGACCGTGAAGAAATTCCTGACTTTGAATTAGATGCTGAACTAAGAAGAACACTTGTTGTTAGAGCTGGATTAACTATTCGTATTTTTGTGCCAATTAAAGGGCGTCCAACTCCAGAAGTTACATGGACAAAAGATGATGTTTCTCTCAAAGGACGTGCCAGTATTGAAAATACAGATTCTTTTACGCTCTTGATTGTCACAGAGTGCACCAGATATGATGCAGGGAAATACGTAATGACTCTTGAAAATGCTGCTGGTAAGAAAACTGGCTTTGTAAATGTAAAGGTCTTGGATACACCAGGTCCACCAATAAACCTTAAGCCTAGGGAAATAACGAAAGACAACATCACTCTCCAATGGGATATGCCTCTAATAGACGGTGGTTCACGTATAACAAACTATATTGTTGAGAAACGTGAATCGACTAGAAAAGCATATTCAACAGTCACTACCAACTGCCAGAAGTGCTCCTTCAGGATTACTAATTTGGCTGAGGGGTGTGAATACTATTTTAGAGTGCTGGCTGAAAATGAGTATGGTATTGGTGAACCAGCTGAAACCACGGAGCCCATAAGAGCTTCTGAGGCACCATCCCCACCTGAGAGTCTTAATATTATGGATATAACACGGAACTCAGTTAGCCTGGCTTGGCCAAAACCAGAACATGACGGTGGCAGCAAGATCACTGGGTATGTAATTGAAGCACAGAGGAAAGGAACAAACCAGTGGGCACACGTCACCACTGTAAAAACACTGGACTGTGTAGTAAAGAATCTAACTGAAAATGAAGAGTATACTTTCCAGGTTATGGCAGTTAACAGTGCTGGAAGAAGTGCCCCAAGAGAAAGCAGGCCAGTTATTATCAAAGAGCAAACAATGCTACCAGAGTTTGATCTCCGGGGTATCTACCAGAAAACAGTCATTGCCAAAGCTGGTGATAATATAAAGATTGAAATCCCTGTGCTTGGTCGTCCAAGGCCTACTGTGACTTGGAAGAAAGAAGATGAGATACTTAAGCAAACACAAAGAATAAATTATGAAAATACTGCAACTGCTACTATACTAACCATCAATGAATGTAAACGAAGTGATAGTGGTCGATACCCATTATCAGCTAAAAATATTGTTGGAGAAGTTAGTGAAGTAATCACAGTTCAGGTTCATGACATACCTGGACCACCTACTGGACCAATAAAATTCGATGAAATTTCATGTGACTCTCTATCATTCTCATGGGAGCCTCCTTTGAATGACGGTGGTGTACCAATAAGCAACTATGTTGTGGAAATGCGTCAAACTGACAGTACTACATGGACTGAACTGGCAACCACAGTGATACGTACTACATTTAAAGCCATTCGTCTCACTACTGGAGTTGAGTATCAGTTCCGTGTTAAAGCTCAAAACAGATATGGAATTGGTCCAGCCATTACTTCAGAGTCTGTAGTTGCCAACTACCCATTTAAGGTACCTGGGCCTCCTGGAACTCCTCAGGTGATAGCAGTCACCAAAGAAACCATGACCATTAGCTGGAATGAGCCAGTTACTGATGGTGGAAGCCCAATTTTGGGGTATCACATTGAAAGAAAAGAACGAAATAGCATTCTTTGGCAGACTGTAAATAAAATGCTGGTATCAGGCAATATCTTTAAATCAACTGGACTTACTGATGGCATTGCATATGAATTCCGTGTTATAGCAGAAAATCTGGCTGGGAAGAGTAAGCCAAGCAAGCCATCTGAGCCTATGTTTGCCCTAGACCCAATAGATCCACCTGGTAAGCCAATACCTCTGAACATTACAAGACATGCAATTACACTGAAGTGGACTAAACCAGAATATAATGGTGGGTTTAAGATAACTGGCTATACTGTTGAAAAAAGAGACCTTCCTAATGGCCGTTGGCTAAAAGCTAATTTCAGCAATATATTAGAGACTGAATTCACTGTAAGTGGCTTGACAGAAGATGCTGCCTATGAATTCCGTGTGATTGCTAGGAATGCTGGGGGTGCTGTTAGTCAGCCCTCTGAGCCATCAGATGCAATTACTTGTAGAGATGACATTGAAGCACCAAAGATAAAGGTAGATGCTAAATATAAAGACACATTAGTGCTGAAAGCAGGTGAAGTTTTCAGACTTGAGGCTGATGTTTCAGGCCGCCCTCCACCAACTATGACATGGACAAAAGGAGAAAAAGAACTTGAAGACACAGCAAAATTAGAAATTAAAATAGCAGATTTCTCTACTGCTCTCACCAATAGAGACTCTTCAAGAAGAGATGGCGGTGCCTACACACTTACTGCAACAAATCCTGGTGGCTTTGCTAAGCATATCTTCAATGTTAAAGTTCTTGATAGACCTGGTCCCCCAGAAGGACCTTTGGCTGTGTCTGAAGTCACTGCAGAAAAATGTGTGCTGTCATGGCTACCTCCACTGGATGATGGAGGAGCAAAGATTGACCATTATGTGGTTGAAAAACGTGAAACCAGTAGACTGGCATGGACAGCTGTAGCCACAGAAGTTCCAGTAACTAAACTGAAGGTTACTAAGCTGTTGAAGGGCAACGAGTATGTGTTCCGTGTTATGGCCGTTAACAAATATGGAGTTGGTGAGCCTCTGGAATCAGAGCCCATTCTTGCAGTAAATCCATATGTGCCACCTGATCCACCTAAAACACCTGAAGTTACAGCAATTACAAAAGATTCTATGGTTGTCTGTTGGGGCCATCCTGATTCTGATGGTGGGAGCCCAATAATTAACTATATCGTGGAACGTCGAGACAGGGCTGGTCTACGGTGGGTGAAGTGTAATAAACGGGTTGTTACTGACTTACGTTATAAAGTGTCTGGACTGACAGAAGGTCATGAATATGAATACAGAGTCATGGCTGAAAATGCTGCTGGCATCAGTGAGCCAAGCCCAACCAGTCCATTTTATAAAGCTTGTGATACTGTATTTAAGCCTGGTCCCCCAGGTAATCCTCGTGTTTTGGACAGCAGCAAGTCTTCAATTACAATAGCATGGAACAAACCAGTATATGATGGTGGATCAGAGATCACAGGTTACATGGTTGAGATAGCACTACCTGAAGAAGACGAGTGGAAGATTGTAACTCCACCAACAGGTCTAAAGGCCACTTCTTTCACCATCACTAACCTAAAAGAAAATCAAGAGTATAAAATACGAATATATGCTATGAACTCTGAAGGTCTTGGAGAACCTGCTCTTGTTCCTGGTACTCCAAAAGCTGAAGAGAGAATGCTACCTCCAGAAATTGAACTTGATGCAGAGCTGCGTAAAGTTGTCACTATTAGAGCCTGCTGTACTCTACGGCTCTTTGTCCCAATTAAAGGAAGACCAGCGCCTGAAGTAAAATGGACAAGAGAACATGGAGAATCTTTGGATAGAGCAAGCATTGAATCAACAAGTTCTTATACTCTACTTATTGTTGAAAATGTAAATAGATTTGATAGTGGCAAATACATACTGACAATTGAAAACAGCTCAGGTAGTAAGTCAGCATTTGTGAACGTCAGAGTTCTTGATACCCCAGGGGCACCTCAAGATTTGAAAATAAAAGAAGTTACAAAGTCATCAGTTACACTCACATGGGAGCCTCCTCTCATAGATGGTGGCTCTAAAATAAAAAATTACATTGTTGAAAAGCGTGAATCAACAAGAAAAGCTTATTCAACTGTTAATGCAAATTGCCACAAGACCAGCTGGAAAGTCGATTCACTGCAAGAAGGCTGCAACTACTACTTCAGAGTCCTAGCTGAAAATGAGTATGGAATAGGCCTTCCAGTTGAAACTTCAGAATCTGTAAAAGTATCAGAAAGACCACTTCCACCCGGGAAAATAACTTTGCTGGATGTGACAAGCAATAGTGTATCTTTATCTTGGGAAAAACCTGAACATGATGGTGGTAGCAGAATTCTGGGCTACATTGTAGAAATGCAAAGCAAAGGCAGTGAAAAGTGGTCAACTTGTGCTACAGTAAAAGTTACTGAAGCCACTATCACAGGATTGATCCAAGGTGAAGAATACACCTTCCGTGTTTCAGCTCAGAATGAGAAAGGTATCAGTGATCCTCGTCAGCTGGGTATACCAGTTGTTGCAAAAGACCTTGTGATTCCACCAGCTTTCAAATTACTGTTTACCACTTTCAGTGTTCTAGCAGGAGAGGACTTAAAGGTTGATGTTCCTTTTGTTGGTCGACCCAAACCAGCAGTGTTTTGGCATAAAGATGATATTGCATTGAAGCAGACTACAAGAGTAAATGCAGAAAGTTCAGAAAATAACACAGTGTTAACAATAAAAGAAGCATGCAGAGATGATGTGGGGACATACTTAGTTAAACTTACAAACTCTGCAGGTGAGGCAACTGAGACCCTAAATATTGTTGTCCTTGACAAACCAGGACCTCCAACTGGACCAGTAAAAGTAGATGAAGTAACAGCAGATAGTATCACCATTTCCTGGGAACCACCTAAGTATGATGGTGGTAGCTCTATCAATAATTACATTGTAGAAAAAAGAGACACCTCGACCACAACTTGGCAGATGGTGTCAGCTACTGTTGCAAGAACAACTATAAAAGCATGTCGATTAAAGACTGGATGTGAGTATCAATTCAGAATCGCAGCCGAGAATAGATATGGAAAGAGTACCTATCTTACTTCAGAGTCAATTGTAGCCCAGTATCCATTTAAAGTTCCTGGTCCACCTGGAACACCTTTTGTAACAAACGTCTCAAAAGACAGCATGATGGTACAGTGGAATGAACCAGTCAATGATGGTGGCAGCAAGATCATTGGGTATCACTTGGAGCGCAAAGAAAGAAACAGTATTCTCTGGGCTAAACTGAATAAAACACCTATTCCAGATACCAAATTTAAGACAACAGGACTTGAGGAAGGTCTCGAATATGAGTTCAGAGTTTATGCAGAAAACATAGTGGGCATTGGAAAGGCAAGTAGAGCATCTGAATGCTATACTGCACATGACCCATGTGACCCTCCGGGTCGTCCAGAACCTATAATTGTCACAAGAAGCTCAGTAACACTTCAATGGAAGAAACCTGTATATGACGGTGGAAGTAAGATCACAGGTTATGTTGTTGAAAAGAAGGAGCTACCTGATGGTCGTTGGATGAAAGCAAGCTTTACAAATGTCATTGATACCCAATTTGTAGTAACTGGTCTAGTTGAAAACCAGAGGTATGAGTTCCGTATTATAGCACGAAATGCTGCAGGTGTTTTCAGTGAACCATCTGAGAGCTCAGGGGCAATTACAGCAAGAGATGAAGTAGAACCACCTCAGATAAGTATGGATCCAAAATACAAAGACACAATTGTAGTGAACGCTGGTGAGTCATTCAAGCTTGAAGCTGATGTTCATGGCAAACCAATACCTTCCATTCAGTGGTTAAAAGGCGATCGTGAGCTGGCAAACACTGCTCGTATGGAAATAAAAAGTACTGATTTTGCAACAAGCCTTAGTGTGAAGGAAGCCATTAGAGTTGACAGTGGTCAGTATGTATTACTGGCAAAGAATGTTGCAGGTGAAAAGAAAGTTCCTGTTAATGTTAAAGTTCTTGATAGACCTGGACCACCAGAAGGACCTGTTGAGATTACAGGCGTTACTGCTGAAAAATGCATGTTGTCATGGAAACCTCCACTACAAGACGGTGGTAGCGATATTTCACACTATGTTGTAGAAAAAAGAGAAACCAGTCGCTTAGTGTGGACGGTCATTGATTCAAATGTGCAAACCCTAAATTGCAAAGTTACAAAACTTTTAGAAGGAAATGAGTATGTTTTCCGCATCATGGCAGTCAATAAATATGGTGTTGGTGAGCCTCTCGAGTCTGAACCAATACTCGCGAAGAACCCATTTGTAGTGCCACTTCCACCAAAGGCACCAGAAGTAACCGCCATTACCAAGGATTCTATGATAGTCGTATGGGAAAGGCCAGCCTCAGATGGTGGTAGTGAAATCCTAGGTTATGTCCTTGAAAAACGAGATAAGGAAGGTATTCGCTGGACAAGATGTAACAAACGCCTGATAAGTGAACTGCGATACAGAGTGACTGGGCTTATAGAAAATCATGATTACGAGTATAGAGTTTCAGCTGAAAATGCTGCAGGTCTTAGTGAGCCAAGCCCACCTTCAATTTACTACAAAGCATGTGATCCTATTTACAAGCCAGGTCCACCCAATAATCCTAAAGTTGTGGATGTTACAAGATCTTCAGTTTTCCTTTCATGGGGTAAGCCCATCTATGATGGTGGCTCTGAAATTCAGGGATACATTGTGGAAAAATGTGATGTAAGTGACAGTGAATGGGCAATTTGTACCCCTCCAACTGGAATTAAGAATACTCACATGGAAGTAGAAAAATTGGTGGAAAAACATGAATACAAATTCCGCATATGTGCAGTTAATAAAGCAGGAGTTGGAGAGCATGCAGATGTTCCTGGTACTGTTGTTGTGGAAGAAAAGATGGAAGCGCCAGACCTTGACCTTGACATGGAATTAAGGAAGATTGTAAATGTGAGGGCAGGAGGTTCCTTAAGACTGTTTGTTCCCATCAGAGGTCGTCCAACACCTGAAGTAAAATGGGGTAAAATGGATGGTGACATCAGAGAGGCAGCTATTATTGATACCACTAGCAGCTTTACTTCCCTTGTTCTAGACAACGTTAACAGATTTGATACTGGAAAGTATACTCTGACTTTAGAAAACAGCAGTGGAACAAAGTCTGCATTTGTCAGTGTAAGGGTACTGGATACCCCAAGTGCACCTGTTAATTTAAAAATCAGAGAAATTACTAAAGACTCTGTTTCACTTTCGTGGGAGCCTCCTCTCTTGGATGGTGGAGCAAAAATAAAGAATTACATTATTGAAAAGCGTGAAGCAACAAGAAAGGCATATGCAGCTGTTGTAACAAACTGCCATAAGACTTCATGGAAAGTAGATCAACTTCAGGAGGGCTGCTATTACTTCTTTAGAATCTCTGCTGAGAATGAGTATGGAATTGGCCTCCCTGCAGAAACCAGTGACCCAATCAAAGTTGCTGAAGTTCCACAGCCTCCTGGGAAAATAACAGTGGATGATGTCACAAGAAGCAGTGTCTCACTAAGCTGGGAAAAACCTGAACATGATGGTGGCAGCAAAATCATACAATACATTGTTGAAATGCAAGCAAAGGGTAGTGAGAAGTGGTCAGAGTGTGCTCGTGTGAAAACTCTTGAAGCAGTCATTACTAACCTAACTCAAGGGGAAGAATATCTTTTTAGAGTAATGGCTGTGAATGAAAAGGGTAAGAGTGATCCTAGAGCACTTGCAGTTCCAATAGTTGCCAAAGACCTGGTGATTGAACCTGATGTAAGACCTGCTTTTCATAGTTATAGTATCCAAGTGGGACAAGATCTGAAAGTAGAAGTACCAATTGCAGGTCGACCTAAACCAACTGTAACCTGGGTAAAAGATGACCAGCCATTAAGGCAGACAACAAGAGTCAATGTTAGTGATTTGACTGACCTCACTATACTGAATATTAAAGAAACTAGCAAAGAGGACAGTGGCACTTATGAAATCACTGTGGCTAATGTTGTTGGGCAGAAGTCTGCTTCTGTTGAAATTATAACTCTAGATAAACCTGACCCTCCAGTAGGACCTGTGAAGTTTGATGAAATAAGTGCAGAAAGTATTACCCTATCGTGGAATCCCCCAGCTTACACAGGCGGCTGCCAGATCACCAACTATATTGTTCACAAGAGAGATACAACAACCACTGTCTGGGAAACTGTTTCAGCTACCGTCGCAAGAACTACACTGAAGGTGACTAAACTGAAAACTGGTTCAGAATACCAGTTCAGAATATTTGCTGAGAACAGGTACGGGCAGAGCTTTGCACTGGATTCTGCACCAGTTGTAGCACAGTACCCCTACAAGGAACCAGGACCTCCTGGCACACCATTTGTGACAATTGTTACAAAAGACTCCATGGTTGTACAGTGGCATGAACCAATAAATGATGGTGGCAGTAGAGTGTTGGGCTACCATCTTGAGAGAAAGGAGAAAAACAGCATTTTATGGGCTAAAGTGAACAAGACTATTATTCAGGACACAAGCTTTAAGACAACTAACCTTGAAGAAGGAATCGAATACGAGTTTCGAGTTTCTGCAGAAAATATTGTTGGTGTAGGCAAAACAAGTAAAGTGTCTGAGTGCTATGCAGCTCGTGACCCATGTGATCCTCCAGGTCGCCCAGAAGCTATAATAATAAAAAGAAGTTCTATTACTCTACAGTGGACCAAACCAGAATATGATGGTGGAAGTAAGATTACTGGTTATATTGTAGAAAAACGTGACTTACCAGATGGTCGCTGGATGAAAGCTAGCTTCACAAATATCATTGAAACTCACTTCACTGTAACAGGGCTTACTGAAGACCAAAGATATGAGTTTAGAGTAATTGCAAAGAATGCTGCAGGTGCCATAAGCAAACCTTCTGACAGTACAGGACCAATAACAGCAAGGGATGAAGTTGAACTTCCACGAATTTCAATGGATCCAAAGTACAAAGACACAATTGTTGTAAATGCTGGTGAAACATTCAGACTTGAGGCTGATGTTCATGGAAAACCACTGCCAACTATTAAGTGGTACAAAGGAGATAAAGAGCTTGAGGAAACTGCTAGGTATGAAATCAAGAACACAGATTTCAGTGCATTAATAATTGTAAAAGATGCTATTAGAGTTGATGGTGGACAGTACATTTTAGAAGCCTCTAATGTTGCAGGAACAAAGACAGCAACACTAAATGTAAAAGTCTTGGACAGGCCAGGACCTCCAGAGGGCCCAGTCCAAGTGACAGGAGTCACAGCTGAAAAATGTTCATTAGCATGGGCTCCTCCTCTTCATGATGGTGGCAGTGATATTTCTCACTACATTGTAGAGAAGAGAGAAACTAGTCGCCTAGCATGGACTGTTGTTGCTTCAGAGGTTTTACCTACAATGCTGAAAGTAACAAAACTCTTGGAAGGAAATGAGTATGTTTTCCGTATTATGGCAGTTAACAAATACGGGGTTGGTGAGCCATTAGAATCTGTGCCAGTAATGATGAAAAATCCATTTGTGGCTCCTGGACCACCAAAGGCCTTGGAAATTACTAACATTACAAAGGATTCTATGACTGTCTGCTGGACCCGGCCAGACAGTGATGGAGGTAGTGAAATCATAGGTTACATTGTAGAAAAAAGAGACCGAGCAGGCATCAGATGGATAAAATGCAATAAACGCAGGATTACAGATTTGCGATTAAGAGTTACAGGCTTAACAGAAGATCATGAATATGAATTCAGAGTTTCTGCTGAAAATGCTGCTGGAGTGGGTGAACCAAGTCAAGTGTCTCCTTACTTTAAAGCTTGTGACCCCATGTTCAAGCCTGGCCCACCTACAAATGCCCATGTTGTGGATACAACCAAAAGTTCAGTTACACTTGGCTGGAGTAAACCTATTTATGATGGTGGTTGTGAAATCCAGGGGTACCTTGTAGAAATCTGTAAAGCTGATGAAGATGAATGGTCACTTGTTACTCCACAGACAGGTATACGTGCCACTCGGTTTGAAATCAAAAAGCTTACTGAACATCAAGAATATAACCTACGAGTGTGTGCCCTCAACAAGATTGGTGTAGGAGAGGCTGCATCAGTTCCTGGTACTATTAAGCCTGAAGATAAACTTGAAGCTCCAGAACTTGATATTGATTCAGAGCTAAGGAAAGGGATAGTGGTTAGAGCTGGTGGGTCTGCTAGAATTCACATACCATTCAGGGGACGACCAACACCTGACATCATGTGGTCTCGAGAAGAAAGTGAATTCACAGAAAAAGTTCAGATTGACAAAGGCATAAATTACACACAACTTTCAATTGACAACTGTGATAGAAATGATGCTGGCAAGTACATTCTTAAGCTGGAGAACAGCAGTGGTTCTAAATCTGCATTTGTTACGGTGAAAGTCTTGGACACACCAGGAAGACCTCAAAACTTAGTGGTAAAGGATATAAAGAAGGATTCTGCTGTATTATCTTGGGAACCACCCATTATTGATGGTGGTTCAAAGATAAAGAACTATGTAATAGACAAGCGTGAGTCAACCAGGAAGGCATTTGCAAATGTAAGTGCTAAGTGTGGCAAGACAAGTTTCAAAGTTGAAAATCTTACAGAAGGAGCAATTTATTACTTCAGAGTTATGGCTGAAAATGAATTTGGAATTGGTGTTCCAGCTGAAACCAAAGATGCTGTCAAAGCCTCAGAGCCACCTCTGCCCCCTGGGAAAGTAACACTCACTGATGTGACTCAGAGAAGTGCATCTCTTACATGGGAAAAACCTGAACATGATGGAGGTAGCAGAATTTTGGGATATATTGTTGAAATGCTGCCTAAAGGAACAGAAAAATGGAGTGTTGTTAGTGAGACCAAAACATGCAATGCGGTTGTGTCTGGTTTGAGTCCAGAACAGGAATATCAATTCCGTGTGATTGCCTACAATGAAAAAGGCAAAAGCGATCCCAGAGCCCTTGGAATTCCTGTGATAGCTAAAGACTTGACAATTGAGCCAAGTTTCAAACTGATGTTTAATACCTACAGTGTACAGGCTGGAGAAGATCTGAAGGTAGAAGTACCATTTATAGGTAGACCTAAACCAACTATTACTTGGACAAAAGATGAGCAGCCACTGAAACAGACAACCAGATTACATATTCAGGACACATCAACATCAACTATCTTAAATATTAAAGAAAGCAACAAGGAAGACTTTGGTAAATATACAGTAACAGCAACAAACACAGCAGGTACAGCAACAGAGCAGCTGAGCATAATTGTACTGGAAAAGCCTGGCCCACCACAAGGACCTGTGCGCTTTGATGAAGTTAGCGCGGATTTTGTTGTTTTATCATGGGATCCACCTGATTATACTGGTGGCTGTCAGATAAGCAACTACATAGTAGAAAAGCGTGACACAACCACTACCACGTGGAGCATTGTGTCAGCAACTGTTGCCAGAACAACTATCAAAGCAACAAAGCTTAAAACAGGTTCTGAATACCAGTTCAGGATTTCTGCTGAAAACAGATATGGGAAGAGCGCTCCTTTGGATTCTAAACCAGTTGTTGTGCAATACCCTTACAAGGTGCCTGGGCCACCTGGAACCCCATTTGTAACAGCAGCTTCCAAGGACCATATGATCGTAGAATGGCATGAACCAGTTAATGATGGAGGAAGCAAAGTTCTAGGCTACCATCTTGAACGTAAAGATAAGAATAGCATTCTTTGGACAAAACAAAACAAGTCACTCATTGCAGATACCAAATATAAAACAGATGGCCTTGAAGAAGGTCTTGAATATGAATTCAGAGTTTCTGCTGAAAATATTGTTGGCATTGGCAAAGTCAGCAAAGTATCAGAATTGTATGTTGCCCGAGATCCTTGTGACCCACCTGGCTGCCCAGAGGCTATTGTTGTTACAAGAAATAATATCACACTGAAATGGAAAAAACCAGAGTATGATGGTGGAAGCAAAATAACAGGATATATTGTAGAAAAGAAAGAGCTACCAGATGGTCGCTGGATGAAAGCCAGCTTTACAAATGTGTTGGAAACAGAATTTACAGTAAGTGGTCTTGTTGAAGACCAACGATATGAATTTAGAGTAATTGCAAGAAATGCAGCAGGTTGCTTGAGTGAACCATCTGAAAGTACAGGGCCCATTACTGCCAGAGATGAAATTGAGGCACCAGGGGCTTCACTGGATCCTAAATACAAAGATGTCATTGTTGTTCATGCTGGAGAAACCTTTGTTCTTGAAGCTGATATCCATGGCAAACCTATTCCTGACATTACATGGTCAAAAGATGGTAAAGACCTTGAAGAAGCAACCGCAAGAATGGAAATCAAATCTACCATTCAGAAAACAATTCTTACCGTCAAAGACTGTATAAGAGTAGATGGAGGTCACTATACTCTTAACCTCAAAAACGTTGGTGGCACAAAATCCATACCAATCACTGTTAAAGTGCTTGACAGACCAGGACCTCCAGAAGGACCTTTGAAGGTTACAGGTGTCACTGCAGAAAAATGCTACTTGGCATGGGCACCACCTTTACATGATGGCGGTTCTAGTATCTCACATTATATCATTGAGAAGAGAGAGACAAGCAGGCTTTCATGGACACAAGTAGCAACAGAAGTGCAGGCTCTTAACCACAAAGTAACCAGACTCCTTGCTGGCAATGAGTACATTTTCCGTGTAATGGCAGTGAACAAATACGGAATTGGAGAACCCTTGGAATCTGAGCCAATTGTGGCTCGTAATCCATACAAACCCCCTGGTCCTCCTTCAACACCTGAAGTTTCAGCAATCACAAAAGATTCAATGGTGGTAACGTGGGGTCGTCCAGAAGACAATGGGGGAGCTGAAATTGAAGGTTACATACTTGAAAAACGAGACAAAGATGGTATCCGGTGGACCAAATGCAATAAGAAAAGGCTGACGGACTTGCGATTCAGAGTAACAGGTCTTACTGATGGGCATTTCTATGAATTTAGAGTTTCTGCTGAAAATGCTGCAGGGGTAGGGGAACCCAGTGAGCCATCCATTTTCTATCGAGCTTGTGATGTATTATATCCACCAGGTCCACCAAGCAATCCGAAGGTTACAGACACTTCCAGGTCATCAGTTTCCCTTGCCTGGAGTAAGCCTATATATGACGGTGGTGCTCCAGTTAAGGGATATGTAGTAGAAGTAAAAGAAGCTGCCGCTGATGAATGGACTACCTGCACCCCACCAACAGGCCTACAAGCAAAACAGTTCACTGTAACAAAACTTAAAGAGAACCAGGAGTATAACGTCCGCATCTGTGCCATCAACTCAGAAGGAGTAGGAGAACCTGCTACTATACCTGGTACAGTCATAGCAGCAGACAAGATTGAACCTCCTGAAATTGAACTTGATGCAGATCTCAGAAAAGTAGTCACTGTACGTGCTAGTGGTACATTACGCCTGTTTGTCACCATCAAAGGAAGACCAGAACCTGAAGTTAAATGGGAGAAAGCAGAAGGAAGAATTAGCGAGCGAGCTCAGATTGAAGTCACCAGTTCCTATACAATGCTGATCATTGACAATGTGAATAGGTTTGATAGTGGTAGGTACAATCTTACTTTAGAGAACAACAGTGGAAAAAAATCAGCTTTCGTTAATGTCAGGGTGCTTGATACACCTAGTGCTCCTATAAACCTGACAATCAGAGAAGTGAAGAAAGATTTTGTAACATTAGCCTGGGAACCACCACTTATTGATGGTGGAGCTAAAATTACCAACTATGTAGTTGAAAAGCGAGAATCCACAAGAAAGGCATATGCCACTGTTACAAACAACTGCATTAAGAATTCCTTCAAAGTTACCCAACTACAAGAAGGATGTAGTTATTACTTCCGTGTTCTAGCAGTAAATGAATATGGGGTTGGTCTACCAGCAGAAACACCGGACCCAGTTAAGGTTTCTGAACCACCTTCGCCACCTGCGAAGGTCATTCTTGTTGATGTGACTCGCAATTCTGCTTCAATTAAATGGGAAAAACCAGAGAGCGATGGTGGTAGTAAAATCACTGGTTATATAGTAGAAATGCAAACTAAAGGAAGTATAAAATGGAGTGCATGTACACAGGTGAAAACCTTAGAAGCAACAATAACAGGCTTAAGTATGGGAGAAGAGTACAGTTTCAGAGTGATTGCTGTTAATGAAAAAGGAAAAAGTGATCCAAGAGAGCTTGGTGTCCCAGTCATTGCAAAAGATATTGAAATCCAGCCATCTGCTGAGCTCCTTTTCAATACATTCACTGTGAAAGCTGGAGATGATCTTAAGATTGATGTGCCATTCAGAGGGCGACCTCTTCCAACTGTTAGCTGGAAGAAGGATGGGAATCCCTTGAAAGAGACAACCAGAGTAAATATTCATACTTCAAAGACTTCAACTTCACTGTCCATCAAGGAAGCTTCAAATGAAGATTTGGGACATTATGAATTACATCTTTCAAATACTGCTGGATCAACAACAGCTTCTTTAACTGTAGTTGTCCTTGACAGACCAGGACCACCAACTGACGTGCATATTGACGAAGTTAGTGCTGATAGTGTAACTCTGTCTTGGAAAGCTCCAGTATATGATGGTGGGTGCCATATTAGCAATTATGTTGTGGAGAAGCGAGAAACCACCACAACGACGTGGAGTGTAGTATCTGCAGCAGTTGCAAGAACATCAATTAAAGTATCTCAACTCACCACTGGGTCTGAATATCAGTTCCGTATTTGTGCAGAAAACCGCTATGGGAAAAGCACTTACACGAATTCTTCTTCTGTTGTGGCAGAGTATCCATTTAAGCCTCCAGGACCACCAGGAACTCCTCATGTGGCACATGCAACTAAAGCTTTCATGATTGTAACTTGGCAGGTACCAGTTAATGATGGAGGTAGCAGAGTACTAGGATATCACTTGGAGCGTAAAGAAAGAAGCAGCATTCTTTGGACAAAAGTCAACAAAAGCCTTATATCTGATACACAAATGAAAGTTACAGGACTTGATGAAGGGCTGCTGTATGAATATCGTGTTTACGCTGAAAACATTGCTGGAATAGGCAAATGCAGTAAGTCATGTGAGCCAGTTGCTGCAAGAGATCCATGTGATCCTCCTGGTCAACCAGAAGTTACTAATATTACAAGAACATCTGTCTCACTGAAATGGACTAAACCAGAATATGATGGTGGGGCTAAAGTAACAGGTTATATTATTGAACGCAGAGAGATACCAGACGGTCGGTGGCTGAAATGTAATTTTACTAATGTACAAGAAACATATTTTGATGTAGGTGGACTTTCAGAAGACCAGAGATACGAATTCCATGTGATTGCAAAGAATGCTGCTGGACTTTTCAGTCAGCCATCTGAATCAACTGGACCTGTGACTGTAAAAGATGATGTGGAGGCTCCAAGAATTATGATGGATGCCAAATTCAGGGATGTTGTAGTTGTGAAAGCTGGAGAAGTGTTTAAGGTCAATGCTGATGTTGCAGGAAGGCCAATACCGGTGATTTCGTGGACAAAAGATGGCAAGGAGCTTGAAGGAAAAGCTAGAGTTGAAATAGCCTCAACAGATTACACTACTGCAATAACCATTAAGGACTGTATCCGAGGTGATTCAGGACAGTATTTACTAACATTACAAAATGTTGCAGGAACAAAATCTTTGGCAATTAACTGCAAAGTGCTTGATAGACCTGGCCCACCTGCAGGCCCATTAGAAACACATGGCCTTACTGCTGAAAAGTGCCACTTATCATGGGGACCCCCTCAAGAAAATGGTGGTGCAGATATTGATTATTATATTGTAGAAAAACGTGAGACCAGCAGACTTGCATGGACCCTTTGTGAAGGAGAGCTTAGAACAACATCCTGTAAAGTGACGAAACTACTGAAGGGTAATGAGTATATTTTCAGAGTGATGGGAGTTAACAAATATGGTGTTGGTGAGCCTCTGGAAAGTGTTGCTGTCAAAGCCCTAGACCCATTTACAGTTCCAAGTCCACCTACATCTCTAGAGATCACCAGTGTGAGCAAAGATTCAATAACTCTGTGTTGGGCAAGACCTGAGTCTGATGGAGGAAATGAGATCTCTGGCTATGTAATTGAAAGACGTGAGAAAACTAGCTTAAGATGGATTCGTGTAAACAAAAAGCCAGTTTATGATTTAAGAGTGAAATCATCTGGTCTCCGCGAAGGATGTGAATATGAATTCCGGGTTTATGCAGAAAATGCTGCTGGCCTCAGTCTTCCAAGTGAAACCACACCATTGATTAAGGCAGAAGATCCAATCTTCTTGCCGTCTCCCCCATCTAAGCCTAAGATTATGGATTCTACAAGGTCAAATATCACAATCGGGTGGACAAAGCCGCTGTTTGATGGAGGTGCTCCAGTAACAGGATACACAGTTGAATACAAGAAAACTGATGAAACTGATTGGACCACTGCTGTTCAGAACTTAAGAGGCACAGAATACACTGTATCTGGATTAGTGTCAGGCTCTGAGTACGTCTTTAGAGTGAAATCCAGTAACAAAATTGGTGTCAGTGAACCAAGTGATGTCTCAGAACCTCAGCTGGCAAAAGAAAGAGAAGAAGAACCTGCCTTTGATATTGACAGTGAAATGCGGAAGACTTTGATTGTAAAGGCTGGTGGATCATTCACAATGACTGTTCCTTTCAGAGGCAAACCAGTCCCAAATGTAACATGGAACAAACCGGACACTGATCTCCGTATACGAGCAAGCATTGATACTTCAGATAGTTGCACATCTCTTACTATTGAAAAAGCAACAAGAAATGATTCTGGAAAATACACCTTAACATTGCAAAACATCCTGAACACTGCTACCTTGACTTTAATTGTCAAAGTTCTTGATACTCCTGGCCCACCATCTAATATTGCAGTAAAAGAAGTAACTAAAGAATCTGCTGTGTTATCTTGGGATGTTCCTGAAAATGATGGTGGAGCACCTGTGAGGAACTATGTTATTGAAAAACGAGAAGCTAGCAAAAAAGCGTGGGTCACTGTGACAAACAATTGTCATCGCCTGTCCTACAAAGTGACTGGCTTGCAAGAAGGTGCCATTTACTACTTCCGGGTTTCTGGAGAAAATGAGTATGGTGTTGGAGCGCCTTCTGAGACCAAGGAAGGCACAAAAATAACAGGTGAGTGTTTCTAAGAAAAATATTTTTTAATAGTTAAAGCAAAATGTGTCTCAAAATGTTTACTTCAAAATAATAGAAGCAGCTTTAAATCTATTCACAGTAAAAAGATATTTTTGTGCTAGGTATGTTTGTGGTTTTACATATGAAAAAGAGCTAAGAAATGCTTAAATTTTAATTTTGCTTGCATTTTACTTAAAATGTCTCTAATGTACAAATTATTTCAACACACATTTTCTCAATCCAGATGGTACACCTGTGTAATTGCTAATATAAAATGTAAATACTTGCTATATTATTTAATCTGTTGCACATTTTTTTCTCTCAGAAAAACCCAGCCCACCAGAAAAACTTGGAGTAACAAATGTCACAAAGGACAGTGTTTCTCTTTCATGGCTAAAACCAGAACATGATGGTGGAAGCAGAATTGTGAGCTATCTTGTTGAAGGTCTTGAGAAAGGACAGCAAAAATGGGTTAAGTTTGCAGTTGTAAAGACAAATCATCATGTTGTTCGTGGTCTTAAGGAGAATGTTGACTATTTCTTCAGAGTGTCTGCAGAAAACCAAGCTGGTTTAAGTGATCCTAAGGAACTATTGGTCCCTGTTACAGTTAAAGAACAATTAGGTATGTTTCCTGACATAAAACAAGGGTTGATACACATGAAATTGGATTCATATTTAAAAAGAATGAAATTTCTTAATGGTTTGAAAATGTTTTCTTTTTCAGAATCCCCTGAGATTGACATGAAGGGCTTCCCTCATAACACTGTATATATTCGAGCAGGATCAAACCTGAAAGTTGAAATTCCAGTTTCTGGAAAACCAGTGCCAAAGGTGACATTGTCTAGAGATGGTGCTCCACTGAAACCTACCATGAGATTTCACACAGAAACCACTGCAGAAAGTCTCATCATTAACCTTAAAGAAAGTGTGGCTGCTGATGCTGGAAGATATGACATTACTGCTGCCAACTCAAGTGGCACCACAAAATCATTTGTTAATATTGTTGTGTTGGATAGACCAGGTCCTCCTGTTGGTCCTGTTGTCCTTAGCGATATCACTGAAGAGAGCGTAATACTCAGATGGCAGCCTCCAGCTTATGATGGTGGTAGTCAAGTTACCAACTATATTGTACTGAAAAGAGAAACAAGTACTGCTGCTTGGTCTGAGGTGTCTGCAACTGTTGCTAGAACTGTTATTAAAGTTATGAAGCTCACAACAGGAGAAGAATACCAATTCCGCATCAAAGCTGAGAACCGCTTTGGCATCAGTGATCACATAGACTCAAAATGTGTGGTTGTTAAGCTTCCTTACAGTGAGTAATATGCTTCTCATGCTATAGGCCAATGTTTAAATGCTCTGATGTTGAAAATATTATTGTTAATAATTAAACACTTCTTTTTACTTCATCAGCTACCCCTGGACCTCCTTCCACACCATGGGTCACAAACGTAACCCGAGAGAGTATTACTGTTGGATGGCATGAACCAGTCACTAATGGTGGCAGTGCAGTCACTGGATACCACCTGGAAATGAAAGACAGGAATAGCATATTATGGCAGAAGGCTAATAAGACTCTCATTCGCACAACCCACTTCAAAGTCACCACAATCAGTGCTGGCCTTATCTATGAATTTAGGGTTTATGCAGAAAATGCAGCTGGCATTGGAAAAGCAAGCCATGCTTCTGATCCAGTCCTTGCAATTGATGCTTGTGGTATGTATGTCCTAGAAAATAAAGAAGCCCAACCATTTAAGTAGTGCTTTGTTTTTGTTTGGTTGGGGTTTCAGCTCCCCCCAATCCCCCCCGTGATATACTGTCATGTACAGTAAGCCAATATCCAAAACAGCTGTTATTCATTGGCAATACTGTGATGTTTCCTACTGCAGAACCACCAAGAAATGTTCGTGTCTCAGATATTTCGAAGACTGCTATCACTCTAACATGGCAGAAGCCAGCATTTGATGGTGGTAGCAAGATCACTGGATACATCGTAGAAAAACGTGATCTTCCAGATGGCAGATGGACAAAAGCTAGCTTCACCAATGTTATTGAGACTCATTTCACAATATCTGGTCTGACACAGAATTCCCGGTATGAATTCCGGATCTTTGCTAAGAATGCGATTGGTTCCATTAGTAACCCCTCAGATGTTGTGGGTCCTATCACATGTGTGGATACATACGGTAAGTGTTTTTGCAATGCTGTAACAGTACTATTTTGTGGTAGTAGCAGTAGGAAGCTTAAAGGCAGCGCTGTTTTGTGGAACCATAGTTTTTTAAATATGGAAGGCTACTTTACAGTGATTGATTCAATAAGCTTGAATCTATTTGGACATGATTGTAATGAACACCTTTGGCTGTATCTGTGCTCCTAAAGTCTCATCATAGAATAGAATCATAGAATCATAGACTCAACTAGGTTGGAAAAGACTTTTAAGATCAAGTCCAACCACTACCCCAGGACTGCCAAGACCACAACTAAACTATGTTGTTGAGGACCTCATCTATACTTTTTTTGAACACTTGCAGGGATGGTGATTCCACCACTTCCTTGAGAAAATCTTTATTTTTCAAGCAACAGAAGTCTACCCATGCCCCATGGCCAAAGGGGTTATACTTACATACGTGGTTGCCTTTTCTTGTTAGAATTAGTTCTAACTTGTTCTAGATTTACGATTTAAGTTATACATGCTATCTTTACTTCAGTCTGTATTTCTAAAATGCCTGTAATTAAATTGCTTAAGTAAATTTGCTTAAGTACAATTATTTTTGGCTTTGTTAAATACAAGTCTAAAATATGTATGTTTTAAACTTATTCTTATGTTTTTTAAGGTGCACCTGAAATCGATGTGCCACCAGAATATACAGAAGTGGTGAAATATAAAGCAGGAACTTCAGTTAAGTTAAAACTAGGCATCTCAGGCAAGCCTATACCCACAATTGAATGGTTCAAAAATAACAATGAGGTACAAACCAGTGCACTAGTGTCTATTGAAAACACAACAGAATTTGCTTCTATACTTATCAAGGATGCAACTCGGCTGAACAGTGGCACCTATGAATTAAAATTGAAGAATGCCATGGGTTCGGCATCAGCCCATGTTAGACTACAGATACTTGGTATGTCTTCAGATACAACTGTATTATACTGTTAAACAATAACTCAGTAATAAATACTTAACAGCTTTCTTCTGCCTACCACAGACAAGCCAGGACCCCCAAGTGGACCTATACAGTTTAAGACAGTCACTGCTGAAAAGATTACAATAATATGGAACCCGCCAGTGGATGATGGTGGTGCACCTGTAACACACTATGTTGTTGAAAAACGAGAGACAAGTCGGGTTGTATGGTCTTTAATTTCTGAAAAACTGGAGGGGTGTATCATAACTACAACAAAACTTATCAAAGGAAATGAATATGTGTTCCGTGTCCGTGGTGTAAACAAGTTTGGAGTTGGTGATCCACTGGAGTCTGAGCCTGTTATAGCTAAAAATTCATTTGGTAAGAAACATATAACTTATGCAACAGAATCATCTTGTGTATTATTTGTAAGTGGTATTTATCTACTCATGTATTTTTTTTACTCAGTTACACCTGGACCACCTAGTGTGCCAGAAGTCACAATGATAACCAAAAATTCTATGACCGTTGTCTGGAATAGGCCTACCGTTGATGGAGGCAGTGAAATATCAGGATATTTTCTTGAGAAGCGTGACAAGAAGAGTCTGAGTTGGTTCAAGGTTACTAAAGAAACCATTCGGGACACCAGACAAAAAGTAACAGGCCTGACTGAAAACAGTGAATATCATTTCCGAGTTTGTGCTGTCAATGCTGCTGGACAAGGGCCGTTCTCTGAAGCTTCTGACTTCTACAAAGCTGCAGATCCTGTTGGTAAGATACAACATGCAGTATTCCTAATTGGTTAGAAACCAATGGACGAGCAATTAGGATGGGATTGCACCAATGGAACTGAGGGCAGATTTTATTCCTCTTTGTGTTTAATTGTAAATATGGTTTCTATTTTGTCTCCCCCCATTCCCCATAAACTATCACTTACAGATAAGCCAGGCTCACCAACAAAGCTGAAGGTTGTGGATACAACCAAGACATCTGTCACCCTTGGCTGGGTTAAACCTGCTTATGATGGAGGAAGTCCAATTACCAGCTATGTGGTGGAGAAAAGAGAAGGTGAAGAGCAAGAATGGACTGTAGTCAGTACTAAGGGAGAAGTGAGAACAACTGAGTACGTTGTATCCCACCTTCAGCCAAGTGTTAATTATTATTTCCGCGTGTCTGCTATAAATTGTGCTGGACAAGGAGAGCCTATTGAAATGATGGAACCTGTTCAAGCTAAAGATATTCTCGGTACTGTACTTTTCAGTATTTGTTGTTTTTCTCTTTTGGTTTTTTGAGTTGTTTGTGGGGTTTTTTTTATTTTTTTGGTTTTTTTTCAAAGCATTTCTTATTTTACATTCCAAGAATGGATTATTAATTTTTACTTATTTCCACAGTGGCATCAGAGATTGATCTGGATGTTGCTCTCCAGACCTCTATTATTGCTAAAGCAGGTGAAGATGTGCAAACAATGATTCCATTCAAAGGCAGACCTCCTCCAACAGTCACATGGAGAAAGGGTGACAAGAATCTTGGGATCGATGAAAGATATATCATCCAGAACACAGAATCATCTACGCTACTTACTATTCCTCAAGTTACCCGAAATGATACAGGAAAATATGTTCTTACAATAGAAAATGGAGTTGGAGAAGCAAAATCCACATTTGTTAATGTAAAAGTACTTGACACGCCATCAGCCTGCCAGAAGCTGCAGCTTAAGCATGTTTCTCGTGGCACAGTTACACTGGTATGGGAACCACCTCTCATCAATGGTGGTTCTGAAATAACAAATTATGTTGTTGAAAAAAGAGATGCTACAAAGAGGGCCTGGTCAACTGTAACAACAAAGTGTTCTCATACTACCTTTAAGCTAACTAACCTGTCAGAGAAGACTGCATTCTTCTTCCGTGTTCTTGCTGAAAATGAAATTGGACTGGGTGAACCTTGTGAGACATCTGAACCAGTGAAAGCTGCAGACATACCTGGACCAGTAAAAGACCTAGCCATGAAAGATTCTACAAAGACTTCTGTTAAATTGCAGTGGAGCAAACCTGACTATGATGGTGGTAGCATTATATCAGACTATGTTATTGAAAAGAAACTGCAGGAAGAAAAAGAATGGACATATGCAGGCACAAGCAAAAGCTGTGAATTTGAAGTTGAAAAACTTAAGGAGCTCTCTGTCATGGAATTCAAGGTCTTTGCTAGAAATGAAAAAGGCAAAAGTGACGGTGTTACTGTTGGACCCATTACAGTGAAAGAACATATAATACCACCTGAAGCTGATCTTTCTGATATTCCTGGAGGTCAAGTTTCAGTGAGAATTGGACATAACCTGCTTATTGAATTGTCCTATAAAGGTAAACCTAAGCCATCAATGAGCTGGCTGAAAGACAACCTCCCTCTTAAAGAAACTGAACATCTTCGTTTCAAGAAAACTGAAAACAAAATAAGCTTAAGCATCAAGAATGCGAAAAAGGAGCATGGTGGCAAATATACTTTAATTCTTGACAATGTAGTCTGCAGAAAAACATTCACAATCACTGTCATTACTCTTGGGCCTCCATCTAAGCCAAAAGCACCTTTAAGACTAGATGAAATCAAAGCAGATAGTGTAGTTTTGTCATGGGAAGCTCCTGATGATGATGGTGGAGGAGAAATTACTGGCTACAGTATTGAGAAGAGAGAAACTTCACAAATGAACTGGAAATTGGTGTGTTCAAGTGCTGCAAGAACAACCTTCAAAGTACCAAACCTTGTTAAAGACACTGAATATCAGTTTAGAGTTCGTGCAGAAAACAGATATGGAGTGAGTCCACCTCTTGTCTCAGCAGATGTTGTGGCAAAGCATCAGTTTAGACCACCAGGTGCCCCAGGCAAGCCTGTTGTATACAACATAACCGCTGATGGAATGACCATATCTTGGGATGCTCCTGTTTATGATGGTGGCTCAGAGATTATTGGATACCATGTTGAAAAGAAGGAAAGAAACAGTATTTTGTGGCAAAAGGTTAATGTTGCATTAATATCTAGCAGAGAATACAGGATTACTGGACTGCTTGAGGGCCTGGATTACCAGTTCCAAGTATATGCTGAAAATGCTGCAGGTCTAAGCCGAGCTAGTGAGCCAAGCAAATTTACTTTGGCAGTCTCTCCAGTGGGTGAGTGAAAGATCAGTCCAAGAAAATGCTATCCTTGTAGAATATGGTGTGAGCAGTAATAAAATGAATTTTACTTATTTTCCTTTCAGACCCACCTGGTACTCCTGATTACATTGACGTCACCAGGGAAACAGTCACCCTTAAATGGACCCCACCGCTACGCGATGGAGGCAGTAAGATTGTGGCTTACAGCATTGAGAAACGGCAAGGAAGTGAAGACCGTTGGCTCAGATGTAACTTTACTGATGTCAGTGAATGCCAATATACAGTTACAGGACTCAGTTCAGGTGACCGATATGAATTCAGAGTGCTTGCAAGAAACGCTGTTGGTACAATCAGCCCGCCTTCACAGTCTTCAGGCTATATCATGACCAGAGATGAAAACAGTAAGCACCATTTCTTAATATACTTGTATTTGGGTACTGAAGCCAGCTAGAGTTTCTGGCTGTAGTGATGGGAAATGGGAGGTCAAGGGAGGTGGAATGTGTGACTGAGGTCCTTCCAGTCAACTCAGAACATTTCTGTTTGTACTCCAAGGTGGGAGTGTCTAAATTAAAGACACAAATCTGGCAGACATAGGTAATCAATTGCTGAAAGGCATGGCACTCTTTTTGTTGAATAAGCAGCAGTAGGAAAGTTGGAAAGAAATCATAAACTGTGCATCATATTCTGATGCACTGAATAATTTAGACATGAAAATGTGCCTCAGGTAACTTAGCATACTGTAACAGCATATATTAATGGTGTCTTTCAGCTTAATATGATGCACTTTGTGCATTAGGGGAAAAATAAGTTTACAGTTCATATAAAAACTGCTTTTTAGAGAATACCAGAAAGAATCCTATATATAACAATTTTTTATGATTAGTTGTCATGGTTTAAGCCCAGCCATAAATCAGAACCATGCAGTCTCTCTCTCACTCCCCCGCTTCCCCCCCGCCCCACTCCCAGAGGGATGGGGAGGAGAATCGAAAGAATGTAACTCCCACAGGTTGAGATAAGAACAGTCTAGTAAGGTATAACACAAACCACTACTGCTACCACCAATAATAATAATGATAAGGGAAATAGCAACGGAAGAGAATATAACCGCTCACCACCCACCGACCAATACCCCGCCCGACAGAGCAGTGATCTAACCCTGCCAGGTAACTGCCCCCAGTTTATACAGTGGGTATGATGTGCTGTGGTATGGAATACCTCTTTGGTCAGTTTGGGTCAGGTGCCCTGTCTCTGCTTCCTCCCGGCTTCCCCTCCTCCCTGGCAGAGCATGAGACTCACAAAGTCCTTCGTCAGAGTAAATGTTACTGAGCAACAACTAAAAACATCGGTGTTATCAGCGCTGTTTCCAGGCTGAAATTCAAAACCACAGCACTGCACCAGCTACTAAGAAGGAGAAAAATGACTGCTACTGCTGAACCCAGGACATTAGTACATTAAAAATATTATCAGGAAAAAGTACTTAGCTATATAGGAACTAAATTATATTTTCCTTTTTTAGTTGCTCCAACAATTGAATTTGGCCCTGAGCACTTTGAAGGCCTTACTGTTAAAGCTGGAGAGAGCATTAGACTTAAAGCTCTAATCAAAGGACGTCCAGTACCTAAAGTGACATGGTTTAAAGATGGTAAGGAGATTGAGAAAATAATGAATATAGAAATAACTACAGCTATTGGATATAGCACAATCTTCATCAGAGATGCTATCCGGGAACATCGTGGAGTGTACACAGTAGAAGCCAAAAATGCATCAGGCACTAAACGAGAAGATATTACCATCAGAGTACAAGGTACTGCACCAAACACTTTCAGCATGCTCTTTTAAAATAGTATCTTATTCTAAGTGTTAACAAATTGTAATTCTGAACCTTTAAAATTGCAGACACACCAGGAAAAGTTGGTGGACCAATACGATTCACAAACATTACTGGAGAGAAAGTCACGTTATGGTGGGAGCCTCCAGCTAATGATGGTTGCGCTTCTATCTCCCACTACATAATTGAAAAACGTGAAACTAGCAGGATTGCTTGGGCATTAGTTGAAGATAAATGTGAAGCTTGCAGCTACACAGCACTTAAATTAATTAAAGGAAATGAGTACCAGTTCCGTGTCTCTGCAGTGAACAAATTTGGAGTTGGCAGACCATTGGAGTCTGATCCAGTTACTGCACAAATACCTTATAGTAAGTCTCCACCTCATCTTCTAGAAATAACTGTGGAGTTGCCATTTTGTCTTTCTAATGACATTTTTCTCTCTTTAGCTATCCCTGATGCACCAGGAACTCCAGAGCCTACCAACGTAACAGGAGATAGTATCACACTCACTTGGACAAGACCAGCATCAGATGGCGGAAGCGAGATAAATGAGTATATTCTAGAAAGGAGAGAAAAGAAGAGCATGCGCTGGGTTAAAGTATCCAGTAAGAGGCCTATTACTGAGAACAGATACAGAGTAACAGGCCTAATGGAAGGCAATGAGTACGAGTTCCATGTCATGGCTGAAAACGCTGCAGGAGTTGGACCTCCAAGTGATGTTTCAAAACTGGTTAAATGTAGAGAACCAGTCAGCCCACCAAGTGCTCCTAATGTTGTCAAGGTGACAGATACATCAAAGACTAGTATAAGCTTGGAGTGGACCAAGCCAGTATTTGATGGAGGCATGGAAATAATTGGATATATCATTGAGATGTGCAAAGCTGATCTCGAATCATGGCAGAAGGTCAATGCAGAGACTGTTCTTGCTACTAAATATACTGTCATTGATTTGGAGGCAGGAGAACACTATAAATTCAGAGTTAGTGCTGTCAATGGTGCTGGCAAAGGAGAAAGTTGTGAAATTCCTGCTTCGGTCCAAACTGTGGACAGGCTTTCTGCACCTGAAATTGATATTGATGCAAACTTCAAGCAGACTCATATTGTAAGAGCAGGTGCAAGCATTCGTCTATTTATTGCCTTCTCTGGAAGACCTGTTCCTACTGCTGTGTGGTCCAAAGCAGATGCTAATCTCAGCTTGCGTGCTGACATTCAAACAACTGATTCATTCAGTACATTGACTGTGGAGGAATGCAATAGAAATGATTCTGGCAAGTATGTCTTTACTGTGGAAAACAACAGTGGAAGTAAGTCTATTACATTTACTGTCAAGGTTTTGGACACACCTGGTCCACCTGGTCCTATTACGTTTAAAGATGTGACTCGAGGATCTATAACTTTAATGTGGGATGCTCCTGTTCTGGATGGAGGTTCACGTATCCATCACTACATTGTGGAAAAACGAGAAGCAAGCCGTCGTAGCTGGCAAGTGGTGAGTTCAAAATGCACTCGACAAATCTTTAAGGTCACCGATCTGTCAGAAGGCGTGCCATATTTCTACCGAGTGTCAGCAGAAAATGAATACGGTGTAGGTGAACCCTGTGAATTAACAGAACCAGTTGTAGCCACAGAAGAACCTGCTCCACCTAAGAGACTAGATATTGTTGATACAACCAAATCTTCTGTAGTTTTAGCTTGGCTTAAACCTGATCATGATGGTGGTAGCCGTGTTACTGGATACCTTCTCGAAATGAAACAAAAAGGATCTGACTCATGGATTGCAGCTGGGCAAACTAAACAACTTACTTTCACTGTTGAAGGCCTTGTGGAGAACACTGAATATGAGTTCCGGGTCAAGGCAAGAAATGATGCTGGCTACAGTGCACCGAGAGAAGCTTTCTCTTCTGTTATTATTAAGGAGCCACAGATTGAACCAACAGCAGATCTCAGTGAAATAAGCAGACAGCTCATAACATGCAAGGCTGGAAGCACCTTTACTATTGACATACCCATCAGTGGGCGCCCAGCTCCAAAAGTGACATGGAAACTTGAGGAGATGCGGCTGAAGGAAACTGAGAGAGTGACTATCAAGACAACAAAAGACAGAACCACACTGACTGTAAAGGACAGTATGAGAGGTGACTCTGGTAAATACTACCTCACACTTGAAAACACTGCTGGTGTGAAAACATTCGCTGTCACAGTGGTAGTCATAGGAAGGCCAGGTCCCGTCACTGGCCCAATTGAAATATCATCTGTCTCTGCTGAATCCTGTGTGTTGACCTGGAAAGAACCTGAAGATGATGGTGGCAGTGAGATTACAAACTACATTGTAGAAAAACGTGAATCTGGCACAACAGCATGGCAGCTGGTAAATTCCAGTGTGAAGCGTACACAAGTCAAAGTCGCTCATCTCACAAAATACCAGGAGTACAGTTTTCGAGTAAGCTCAGAAAACAGATTTGGTGTTAGCAAACCCCTTGAATCAAAAACGATAGTTGCTGAGCATCCATTCGGTAAGTGAAACATTTCAAAATCTGTCCTTTTCCTCTGACTGAAGTATTTGTAACAACTAACATTTTCCTCCCCTCTCCATCATTTTTTTTTTTTTTTTTTAGTCCCACCAAGCCCACCTTCTAGGCCAGAAGTCTATTCTGTGTCTGCAACTGCCATGGCCATTCGCTGGGAGGAGCCCTATCATGATGGTGGCAGCAAAGTCATTGGATATTGGGTTGAAAAGAAGGAACGCAACACTATCCTTTGGGTGAAGGAGAACAAAGTGCCATGCTGTGAATGCAACTACAAAGTCATGGGATTGGTGGAAGGCCTAGAATATCAATTCAGAACATATGCTTTAAATGCTGCAGGTGTTAGCAAAGCTAGTGAAGCTTCTAGACCTGTAGTGGCTCAAAATCCAGTTGGTAAGTATTACTTTTAGGGTTATGTTGTTATTTAAGCTAAAATAGAATTCCATTTCTCACTTTTCTGTTTTGCTCCTCCAGATCCACCAGGGAGACCAGAAGTAACAGACGTCACCAGATCTACAGTGTCACTGAGCTGGTCAGCACCCCTTTATGATGGTGGAAGCAAAATTATCGGATATATTATAGAGCGCAAACCATATAATGAATCTGGTGATGGACGCTGGCTGAAATGCAATTATACCATTGTCTCAGAAAACTCTTTTACGGTGACAGCTCTTAGTGAAGATGAAGCATACGAATTCCGTGTACTAGCAAAGAATGCTGCTGGTGTGATTAGCAAAGGATCTGAATCGACTGGTGCTGTCATTTGCAGAGATGAATACTGTAAGATATATTCACTTGGGACAATTAAAACGATAATGTTCTATTTTTAGTACTGTCATGTAATTTGTTTTAATCTCCTTTTCCTTATGACAGCACCACCAAAGGCTGAACTTGATGCCAGACTGCAGGGAGAAGTTGTGACCATCAGGGCTGGATCAGATCTTGTTCTCGATGCAGCCATTGGTGGGAAACCAGAACCAAAAGTCTTCTGGTCCAAAGGTGATAGGGAATTGGATCTATGTGAAAAGATATCTCTGCAATATACCAGCAAACGAGCCATCGCAATTATCAAGTTCTGTGACAGAAGTGACAGTGGAAAATATACTCTAACAGTTAAAAATGCCAGTGGGATGAAACAAATTTCTGTAATTGTTAAAGTGCTTGGTATGTATCCCATAATTAATATTTATACTTAGTATACTAAAAGCCCACGTTCTTTTAAATAAAAGTGAGATGCTTTTCCTTAGCTGTTAACAGCAATACTTACTTTCATCTCTACCCAGATTCACCAGGGCCATGCGCAGGCAAAATCACAGTTAGCAGAGTAACAGAAGAGAAATGTACTCTGGCATGGAACATTCCTGAGGAAGACGGAGGAGCACAAATCACTCACTATATTGTAGAAAGGCGTGAAACCAGCAGACTTCATTGGGTTATTGTTGAGGCTGAATGCCAGACTTTATCATATGTGGTAACAAAACTTATTAAAAATAATGAATACATCTTCCGTGTGAGAGCTGTCAATAAATATGGACCAGGTGTTCCACTTGAAACAGAACCTGTGATTGCCAGGAATGCTTTCAGTGAGTATTAGTACCTTCCATTCTATGTGAGAATTTGTGGAATATTTCTCACAGTTAAAAAATTTGTTAAATAATAATTATTTTTTCAACCTCTTTTTTTTAAAAAAAAAACAAAACAGCTATCCCATCACAGCCTGGTGCTCCTGAAGAAGTGAGTGTTGGCAAAGAACATATCATTATTCAGTGGACAAAACCAGAATCTGATGGTGGCAATGAGATTAAGGACTATCTTGTCGACAAACGTGAAAGGAAAAGTCTGCGCTGGACACGGGTGAACAGAGATTACACAGTTTATGATACCAGACTGAAAGTCACGGGTCTTATGGAAGGCAGCCAGTACCAGTTCCGTGTCACTGCAGTGAATGCTGCTGGGAACAGTGAGCCTAGTGAAGCTTCGCAATACATGCTATGTAAAGAACCATCGTGTAAGTTACCACATTTAAAACATATTTACTTATAATAATGGAACATAAAACCACATTGACTCTTTGACTAGATATCCAAAACCACATATGATCTCACTGAACTAGTTAGAATTAAACTAATAAACTTAAAAGCAGTTATAGCTAATTTTAAATGCATTTAGCTGTTTAGAAATTGATTTTTACTGTAACATGTTTCCTGCACCAATGTAAAATGCATTTTCTTTTTTTTCACAGATACTCCTGCACAACCTTCAGCTCCAAGAGTCGTGGATACTACTAAGCACAGCATAAGTTTAGCATGGTCAAAGCCCACATATGACGGTGGTGCTGACATCTTAGGCTATGTTCTTGAAATGAAAGAAGAAGGTACTGAACAGTGGTATCGACCACATACAACTGCCACTCTGAGGAATGCTGAGTTCACTGTGACTGGTCTTAAAACAAGCCAGAAATACCAATTTAGAGTTGCTGCTACAAATGTGAATGGTATGAGTGAATTCAGTGAATCATCAGCAGAAATAGAACCTGTGGAAAGAATAGGTAATTTGAAAACAATGTATATTTTAAGAAATAATTATATTTTCCTTTAGAACTTCTAAAAGATTAATTAATTCCATATTTCTTACACTCTTCATCAGAAATACCTGAACTTGAACTTGCTGAGGACCTGAAGAAGACAGTCACAGTCAGAGCTGGTGGTTCCCTGCGCCTAATGGTCTCTGTATCTGGCAGACCTGCTCCTGTAATCACATGGAGCAAGCAGGGTGTTGACCTTGTAAGTCGAGCTATTATTGATACTACAGACAGCTACACTCTTCTTGTTGTGGATAAAGTTAATCGGTATGATGCTGGAAAGTACGTCATTGAGGCTGAAAATCAATCAGGAAAAAAATCTGCAACTATTTCTGTAAGAGTGTATGGTAAGTACTGTTACAATTGTATATGGGCATTTCATCACTCATAGTGCACATTGCTCAAGAATCATTCATTTCCAAAAGAAGTTTAAATATCATGAAAATGCTTGGGAAGTCAGAGAAACAATCTAATCCAAAGGGAAATGCATAGTTTCTAAAGCTGTGCTAGTTTATAAATCAAATGCCAGAGCTGGGTTTCTTTTTATGCAGAAGCAGTGACTGTAAAAGGAAAGAATCCAAAAGGAAGAAAAAAATCTGTTTTTTTTTTGTTGTTTGTTTGTTTTAGATACACCTGGTCCGCCAGCTTCAGTGAGAATTAAAGAAGTATCAAAAGATTCTGTGACACTTACTTGGGATATTCCAACCATTGATGGTGGAGCCCCAGTCAACAATTACATAATTGAGAAACGTGAAGCTTCCATGAGAGCTTACAAGACTGTCACTACCAAATGCAGCAAGACATTTTATAGAGTTACTGGACTTCTAGAAGGAGCTTTGTATTATTTCAGAGTACTACCAGAAAATATTTATGGCATTGGTGAACCTTGTGAAACATCTGATGCAGTACTAGTATCCGATGTCCCCATGGTACCACAAAAACTTGAAGTGATTGACACCACTAAATCAACTGTTACTCTTGCATGGGAGAAACCATCCCATGATGGTGGCAGCAGGTTGACTGGCTATGTTATTGAGGCCAGCAAAGCTGGAACAGAAAGATGGTTGAAGGTAGTGACACTGAAGCCTACTGTCTACGAGCATACAATTATCTCTCTCAATGAAGGTGAACAGTATTTGTTCAGGGTCAGAGCACAGAATCAGAAGGGAGTGTCAGAACCACGAGAGATTGTCACAGCAGTGACAGTACAAGACCAAAAAGGTAGGTATCTACTGTTAAAAAAAACCACCAAAAAACCAGGGTGAAGCTTATATGAAATAAATGTAATATTTATAAAATGGATGTTTAAATTCTCATTATTTTCTTTTCTAAGTTCTACCAACAATTGACTTCTCTGGAATACCTCAGAAGACAATTCATGTACCTGCTGGCAAGCCCATTGAATTAGCTATTCCAATTGAAGGACGACCACCTCCAGCTGCATCTTGGTTCTTTGCTGGTTCTAAATTAAAAGAATCAGAACGCATCAAAGTGGAGACTGCTGCAAAAATGACTAAATTAACTGTGCGTGAGACCACCATACATGACACTGGAGAGTATACACTTGAACTAAAGAACACAACTGGAACAGTTACAGATACGATAAAGGTTATAATCCTCGGTAAGGGTTTATGAAAATAATTGTCCATGCTCTTACTCCATCTGAACTTTGTTACATCAGCAATATGATTCCTTTTCTCCACTTTTCTAGACAAACCTGGACCACCTGTTGGACCTATCCGAATTGATGAAGTTGATGCAAATTATGTAACCATTTCCTGGGAGCCACCTGAACTAGATGGGGGAGCTACCCTGAGTGGCTATGTGGTAGAGCAGCGTGATGCTCACCGTCCTGGATGGCTGCCAGTTTCAGAGTCAGTAACCAGGACAACGTTTAAGTTCACAAGACTTGTTGAAGGTGCAGAATACGTGTTCCGCGTGGCTGCTACAAACCGCTTTGGAATTGGATCTTACCTGCAGTCTGAAATTATAGAATGCAAGAGCAGAATCCGTAAGTCTGACTTCGCTTATTTTCTATCTTTAAAAATAAAAATATGTATTTAAATGGGCTTCTATATCCATGCATAGATATTTTTTTTCTAGATGTTACTGTTTCTTTTGCCAGATAGATAAAATGGTACATTATGATGAACAGTATTCTTCTTATCTTTCCTGGGAAGAAAAAAAAGATATCCGTAAATCTATATAGATTTTATAAATGCACAGAACCTGGATGATAAACTTGAATTTTCTGCCCAGGTCTACCATTAGCCTTGAAAAATTTCTTTACCCTGTTACAGAAAACAATACTTCACTGACCTATTTTGTAAAGTACTTTGATATCTGCTGATAAAATGATTTTGATAGGACATCAATATTACACTGTCATTCACAGTATGTTGCATATCGTTAATGTGTAGAATCATTTGATGCTTTCTTCAGTAATCCTGTGTTATGTTTTTACAGGTATTCCTGGTCCTCCTGGCACTCCAGAAGTGTTTGATATCTCTAGAGATGGCATGACATTAACTTGGTATCCTCCAGAAGATGATGGTGACTCACAGATTACTGGCTATATTGTGGAACGCAAAGAAGTTAGAGCAGATAGATGGATCCGTGTAAATAAAGTTCCAGTCACTATGACTCGTTACCGCTCCACTGGCTTGGTTGAAGGATTAGAATACGAACACCGAGTCACTGCAATCAATGCCAGAGGCACTGGGAAACCCAGCCGTCCTTCTAAGTCTGCTGTTGCCAGAGATCCAATTGGTAAGTGATTTTCTACATAGATTAAGCACACTCTGGCAGAAGGGAATGATACTAGTAAAAGTTACTCTTTTTTTTTTTTCCCCCTAATTTGGAAATTTATCTGTATTAACAAATCAGATTCTGACTGGAGAAGACCAAGAAAATATTAGTAAAAAACTTTCATTCTAAGTTTTCCTGCATAAATCCAATAGATGTAATACAGATCGTATGTTGCAAGTTAGCATTTGTTGCATCTTTTAAACATTCATTAACAAGATCCCACTCTCCCATCTGATCTTCTCTTATAGCTCCTCCAGGTAAACCACAGAATCCAAGAGTAACTGATACTACAAGAACATCTGTCTCCCTGGCTTGGAGTCCACCAGAAGATGAAGGTGGTTCTAAAGTTACTGGCTACTTAATTGAGATGCAGAAGGTTGATCAATTTGAATGGACCAAATGCAATACCACACCAACCAAGATTCGTGAATACACCTTAACACATTTACCTCAGGGTGCAGAGTACAGATTCCGTGTACTAGCCTGTAATGCTGGTGGACCAGGAGAACCTGCTGATGTGCCAGGAACTGTCAAAATAACAGAAATGCTTGGTAAGACACTTCAAGTCTTAACTCTCATTGAAATTTGTCCTAAAAAAATCTTTGCCTAAGCAGGCATGATTTCATCTGGAAAACAGACGTAGCATGAGATGTTATTTTTGTTTGGTTTTTTTTATAGAATATCCTGACTATGAACTTGATGAAAAATACCAGGAAGGTCTCATGGTGAGACAAGGTGGAGTTATCAGGCTTACAATACCCATTAAAGGTAAACCCATCCCAATATGCAAATGGACTAAAGAAGGACATGACATCAGCAAGAGGGCCATGATTGCGACTTCTGACACTCACACAGAACTTGTGATCAAAGATGCAGAAAGAGAAGACTCAGGCACCTATGATTTGGCACTTGAAAACAAGTGTGGCAAAAAAGCTGTGTATATTAAAGTCAGAGTGATTGGCATTCCAAATCCACCAGAAGGGCCACTTGAGTATGATGATATACAAGCTCGTTCCGTCAGAGTTAGCTGGAGACCTCCCACAGATGATGGTGGTGCTGATATCCTAGGTTACATTGTTGAGAGACGAGAAGTACCGAAGACTGCCTGGTACACTGTTGACTCTAGAGTGAAAGGGACATCACTAGTGGTGAAAGGGCTAAAAGAAAATGTGGAATATCACTTCCGTGTTTCTGCTGAAAACCATTTTGGTATTAGCAAATCTCTCAAATCTGAAGAACCAGCAGTGCCAAAGACACCTCTAAGTAAGTCCCCTTTTATATACTTTTAAAAATGATTTTTAATTACTACATTGTGGTTCTAAAAGTGAAATAGTATATGCAAATGCTTTTTATTCTATGGCATTATTATTTCTATTATTTTTGTTACAATTACAAACAGATCCTCCAGAGCCTCCAAACAACCCACCTGAAGTGCTTGATGTTACAAAGAGTTCTGTCAACTTGTCCTGGGCCAGACCTAAAGATGATGGTGGTTCCCGTGTAACTGGCTACTACATTGAACGTAAAGAGACATCTACAGAAAAATGGGTCCGGCATAATAAAACACAGATTACCACTACAATGTACACAGTCACAGGACTTGTTCCAGATGCTGAATATCAATTCCGTATCATTGCTCAAAATGACATTGGTGAAAGTGAAGCAAGTCCTCCTTCTGAACCAGTTGTATGCAAGGATCCATTTGGTAAGAAAATGTTTGCATTAACAGATCTTCTGAAGAGCAGCTTAGTGACCTTTAAAGAGGAATTTATTTTCTGTATCTTACTTTTTAGACAAACCAAGCCAGCCTGGAGAAATTGAGATCACTTCTATATTAAAGGACAGCATTACATTAGAATGGGAAAGACCTGAAAGTGATGGTGGCAAAGAGATCCTTGGCTATTGGGTTGAATATCGCCAGTCTGGAGAAAGCACCTGGAAAAAATGCAATAAAGAACGCATCAAGGACAGGCAGTTTACAGTAGGAGGTTTACTCGAGGCTACAGAATATGAGTTCCGTGTTTTTGCAGAAAATCAGACTGGCCTCAGCAGACCTCGAAGGACTGCTATGGCAGTGAAAACTAAATTAACATGTAAGCAAAACCATATTGTCTTATTTCCTGTGATGTTGTGATTTGCTGTGTCATAAACCACAGTGCTGCTGCACTTAACAAGCTGCCTATTTATTTTACATGCTATTTGCCCACAAAGCACAGTCTTTCTAGTATATGACACACAAGTGTAAATGAAAAGTAATTCCCAGTAATACAGTAATAGAGGAAAATTTCATAGTAATCTTAATTATTTTAAAATTTTCTTTGTTGTAGCTGGAGAAGCACCCGCCATCAAAAAAGAAATGCAGGATGTTACAACTAAACTGGGTGAAGCAGCTCAGCTGACATGCCAGATTGTTGGGAGACCTTTGCCTGATATTAAATGGTATCGCTTTGGCAAAGAACTGGTGCAAAGCCGAAAATACAAAATGTCATCTGATGGTCGCAATCATACTCTGACAGTAATGACAGATGAACAGGAGGATGAAGGTCTCTACACCTGTATGGCTACTAATGATGTTGGGGAAATTGAAACTAGTGGCAAGCTATTATTGCAGGCTCCTCCTCAGTTCCACCCTGGCTTCCCGTTGAAAGAGAAGTACTATGCAGGTGCAGGTGGCACCCTCCGCCTTCATGTTGTGTATATTGGCCGACCAGTACCAGCAATAACTTGGTTCCACGGCAACAAACCTTTGAGAGGATCAGAAACAGTTACTATTGAGAACACAGAGCATTATACTCATCTTGCGATTAAGAATGTCCAGCACAAGGCTCATGCTGGGAAATACAAAGTGCAACTCAGTAACACATTTGGAACTGTTGACACAGTACTTAATGTGGAAATACAAGGTAATTAATTTTATTTTCAGTATTTTTGTGGAGTATTTTCTCAAATATTTACTGGCAAAATAACTGAAAATTACATGCTTTTTCTTTTACAGATAAGCCAGATAAACCAGTAGGGCCAATTGTTATAGAGTCTATACTGAAGAATTCTGTGGTGATAAGCTGGCAACCACCGGAGGATGATGGAGGTGCTATGATAACCAGTTATATCATAGAGAAACGTGAAGCCAAGGAAGGAGCAGAATGGCAACTTGTATCTTCAAGCATTTCAGGCACAACCTGTAGAATTATTAACCTAACTGAAAATGCAGGCTATTATTTCCGTGTTTCTGCTCAGAACACATATGGCATTAGTGAAGCACTGGAGGTTTCATCAGTTGTTGTTATGAAGCCTCCATTTGGTAAGTAGATGACAAAATATCAGTTTCTGTGTGCCCCTCTAATTACAAAGGTAAGCTCACTTTTGTTTTTGCACTTTTTCATTCTTTACAGAAAAACCAGGACCACCAGGTCAGCCAGCAGTAAGTGCTGTCACAAAGGATTCTTGTGTTGTCTCATGGAAGCCACCTGCAAGTGATGGCGGTGCAAAGATTAGAACTTACTATCTCGAGAAGCGTGAGAAAAAACAGAACAAGTGGATTTCTGTTACAACAGATGAAATTCGTGAAACAGTCTATTCTGTGAAAGACCTTATTGAAGGTCTGGAATACGAGTTCCGCGTCAAATGTGAAAATCTTGGCGGTGAAAGTGAGTGGAGTGAGGTATCACAACCAGTCACTCCAAAATCTGATGTACCAATTAAAGCTCCACATTTCAAGGAAGAACTAAGGAATTTAAATGTGAAATTCCAAGCTAATGCCACATTTGTCTGCAAAGTCACTGGTCATCCTAAACCAATTGTCAAGTGGTACAGACAGGGCAAAGAAATCATGCCAGATGGTGAAAAGATCAAGATACAGGAATTCAAGGGTGGATATCACCAGCTAGTTATCACAAATGTAACAGATGATGATGCCACAGTATATCAAGTTAGAGCTACCAACCAAGGAGGATCTGTGTCTGGGACTGCCTCTTTGGATGTTGAAGGTGAATGAAGGGTCTCTATTCCTAAGTGAAAACTTTATTAAGCTTTGAATATTTAGACTGCTGGTGCTCTTCTCATGTGCTTTTGGTCATGTGTTGTTTTTTCTTTCTCTTTCTATTCCAGTTCCTGCAAAGATTCACTTGCCCAAAAATCTGGAAGGCATGGGAGCTGTTCATGCCCTCCGAGGGGAAGTAGTGAGCATCAAGATTCCATTCAGTGGCAAGCCAACCCCTGTGATCACATGGCAGAAGGGACAAGACCTCATTGATACTAATGGACACTACCAAGTCATTGTTACGCGATCATTCACATCTCTTGTTTTCCCAAATGGTGTTGACAGAAAAGATGCAGGGTTTTACATTGTTTGTGCCAAAAATAGATTTGGAATCGACCAAAAAACAGTTGAATTAGATGTAGCTGATGTGCCTGATCCACCAAGAGGTTTGAAGGTAACTGACATTTCAAGGGACTCGGTTAATTTAACCTGGAATGAACCAGCTACTGATGGTGGAAGCAGAATCATAAACTACATTATTGAGAAACGTGCTACAACAGCAGAGCAATGGATTCGTGTTGCACAGGCTCGTGATACACGGTACACAGTGGTGAACCTGTTTGGCAAAACCACCTACCAGTTCCGTGTAATTGCAGAAAACAAGTTTGGCCAAAGCCAGCCTTCTGAACCTACTGATCCAATTATAACAAAAGAAGATAAGACCAGGGTAACGAACTATGATGAAGAAGTTGATGAGACCAGGGAAGTCACCACAGATAAAGCAGCTCACTATTCTACAAAGGAACTCTATAACAGATACATGATTGCAGAAGAGCTTGGACGTGGGCAGTTTGGCATTGTACACCGCTGTGTTGAAGCGGTTTCAAAGAAGACTTACCTGGCTAAGTTTGTCAAAGTAAAGGGTGCTGACCAAGTTTTGGTAAAGAAAGAAATTTCCATTCTTAACATTGCTAGGCACCGAAATATCCTGTATCTTCATGAATCATTTGAGAGCCTAGAAGAATTGGTCATGATCTTTGAATTCATTTCTGGAGTTGACATCTTTGAAAGAATCAGCACAGCTTCATTTGAACTTAATGAAAGAGAAATAGTAAGTTATGTACGCCAGGTCTGCGATGCACTAGAATTTTTGCATCGCCATACCATTGGACATTTTGATATTAAGCCAGACAACATTATTTATGTCACAAGAAGAAGCTCTGCAGTTAAAATTGTTGAATTTGGTCAAGCCAGACAACTGAAGCCTGGAGACAGCTTTAGGCTCCAGTTCACCTCTCCTGAATATTATGCACCTGAAGTACATCATCATGATTTAGTCAGTACAGCCACTGACATGTGGTCAGTTGGTGCTCTAACATACATACTTCTCAGTGGCATCAATCCTTTCATTGCTGAAACAAACCAACAAGTTATTGAAAATATTCTGAATGCTGAATACAACTTTGATGATGAAGCATTCAAAGACATAAGCATTGAGGCCATGGACTTTATCGATCGCCTACTAGTAAAGGAAAGAAAAGCTCGGATGACAGCTGCTGAAGCGCTTAATCATGTATGGCTAAAACAGCAAACAGAAAAGACCAGCACTAAAGTCATCAAGACCTTGAGGCACAGGCGTTACTACCAAACTCTAGTAAAGAAGGAGTGGAATACAGTTGTTTCAGTAGCCCGTATTTCCTGTGGAGGTGCAATTAGATCTCAGAAAGGCATAACAGTGGCTAAAGTTAAAGTTGCACCAATAGACATTGGTCCCAGCACTGGGCAGATAAAGCATGCTGTTGTGGAAGAAGGAGGGCATGCCAAATATGTATGTAGGATTGAAAATTATGATCAGTCCACACAAGTCACATGGTACTTTGGTATGAGGCAATTAGAAAGCAATGAGAAATATGAAATCAAATATGAAGAAGGTGTGGCAACTATGTATGTCAAAGATGTCTCTAAATCTGATGATGGTACCTACAGATGCAAGGTAGTAAATGACTATGGAGAAGACAGCTCTTACGCAGAACTTTTTGTTAAAGGTGTGAGAGAAATTTCTGAGCACTACAGATGCAGAACTGTTAGGAAAGTGAAACGACGGGTTGATACTATGAGACTATTAGAACGTCCACCAGAATTCACCTTGCCTTTGTACAACCGTACTGCATACATTGGAGAAAATGTCAGGTTTGGAGTAACTATAACAGTTCACCCAGAACCTCGCGTAACCTGGTTCAAATCAGGCCAGAAAATCAAACCTGGTGATGATGATAGGAAGTATACTTTTGAATCAGATAAAGGTCTTTATCAACTCGTGATCAATAATGTCACTGAAGAGGATGATGCTGAATACAGTATTGTGGCACGCAATAAGTATGGTGAAGACAGCTGCAAAGCTAAGCTGACTGTGATTCCACATCCACCTCCAGCAGATGCCACACTAAGGCCAATGTTTAAAAGACTGCTGGCAAACGCTGAATGTCAAGAAGGCCAAAATGTCAGTTTTGAGATCAGGGTATCTGGTGTACCAAAACCAACTCTGAAATGGGAGAAAGATGGTCAACCTCTATCCTTTGGTCCTAACTTTGATATAATTCATGAAGGTTTAGATTATTATGCTTTGCATATCAGAGATACTTTACCTGAAGACAGTGGTTATTACAGAGTTACTGCCACAAACAGTGCTGGATCTACAAGCTGCCAGGCTTATCTAAAAGTTGAACGCCTGAAATATGTCAAGCGTGAGTATAAGTCTGAAGAAGAGCGGGAAAAGCATGTACAAAGGCAAATTGACAAGACCTTACGAATGGCAGAGATCCTTTCTGGTGCTGAAGCTGTTCCACTGACACAAACTGCACAAGAGGCTCTCAGAGAAGCTGCTATCTTATATAAACCAGCTGTTAGCACTAAGACTGTCAAAGGTGAATATGAAATTAAGAAAGAAGAAAAGAAGGAAGAAAGAAAACTTCGTATGCCCTATGAGGTCCCAGAGCCTCGCAAACATGCGCGCACTACTCTTGAGGAAGATCAGAACATTAAACACTTTGTGCCTCTGTCAGACATGAAGTGGTACAAGAGACTGCGAGACCAGTTCGAAATGCCAGGAAAAATTGAGAGAACTGTTCAGAAACGCCAGAAACGCATACGTCTTTCCAGGTGGGAGCAATTTTATGTGATGCCACTGCCACGTGTTTCTGATCAATATAAGCCTAAATGGCGCATACCAAAGCTAACACAAGATGATTTGGAAATTGTGAGACCAGCACGTCGGCATATCCCGTCTCCAGACTACGAGTATTACTATAGACCAAGAAGGCGATCACTTGGTGACTTGTCTGATGAAGAATTACTCCTGCCTATTGATGACTATTTAGCCATGAAAAGAACTGAAGAGGAAAGACTGCGCCTTGAAGAAGAGCTAGAGTTAGGCTTTTCTGCTTCCCCTCCAAGCAGAAGCCCTCCACGCTTTGAACTTTCTTCCCTTCGCTACTCTACTGAAACAGCACAGGTCAGTTCAGAGGAAGAAAGAAAAAGACAGCTGAGGTACTCAAGCTATCACATCCCAACTAAAGCTGAGACCAGTGCTAGCTATGCAGAGCTTCGTCAACGTCACGACAGGGCTGCCTACAGACCACCTAAACAAAAGCAAAGGATAATGGCTGAAAGAGAGGATGAAGAATTGCTCCGTCCTGTTGGCACTGCTCAACGACTCTCTGAATACAGGAGTGAGCTTGAATACATGGCAGAAGAGGAAAAGAGCAGACTCAGAAGAAGGAGGGAAAGAGAAATAACTGAGATTACATCAGAAGAAGAAGAAGAAATAGAAATGGTGCAACAGGTTCACAGGGAATTTTCACCTCCCTCTAGATTACTAAGGAGGAGAAGATCTCTTTCTCCAACTTACATTGAGTTGATGCGTCCTGTATCTGAATTAATACGGCCTCGCTCACGGCCTCCTGAAGAAAGTGAGAGGAGATCCCCGACACCAGAGAGAACTCGACCACGTTCACCTAGCCCAGTTTCTAGTGAAAGATCACTCTCTCGGTTTGAGAGGATGGCACGATTTGATATCTTTTCCAGATATGAGTCCATGAAATCTGCTTTGAAAACTCAGAAAACTATGGAAAGGAAATACGAAGTATTTACTCAACAGCCTTTCACCCTTGACCATGCTCCTCGCATTACCCTGAGAATGCGCTCACACCGCGTACCCTGTGGCCATAATACCAGGTTCATTCTAAATGTCCAGTCAAAACCAACTGCTGAAGTGAAGTGGTACCATAATGGTATTGAGCTCCAGCAGAGCAGTAAGATACATTTTACTAATACCAGTGGTGTATTAACTCTGGAGATTCTTGACTGCCACATTGACGACAGTGGAACATACCGGGCTGTATGCACAAACTACAAAGGGGAATGCTCTGATTATGCAACACTAGATGTTACTGGAGGAGATTACATTACATACTCTTCCCAGCGGAGAGATGAGGAAGTACCAAGGTCAATTTTACCTGACTTGACAAAAACAGAGGCATATGCAGTCTCCTCATTTAAGAAAGCAACTGCTACAGAAGCAAGTTCCTCAGTAAGAGAGGTTAAATCAGAAATGTCAGCAACAAGAGAATCACTCTTATCATATGAACACTATGCTGCTTCTGAAGAAAAACTCACAGCAGCTGAAGAAAAGTCATTGGAGGAAAGGACTGTACACAAGGCATTTAAAAGCACTCTACCTGCAACAATTCTTACAAAACCACGGTCAATCACAGTTTCTGAAGGGGAGACTGCAAGATTTTCCTGTGATGTCGATGGTGAACCAGCACCAATAATAACATGGTTCCGTGCAGGTCAACCCATTGTTTCTTCAAGGCGCTTCCAAGTAACACGAACACAGTACAAGTCTACTTTTGAAATTACTTCTGTCCAGATGTCCGATGAGGGAAGTTACACTGTTGTGGTGGAAAACGCCGAAGGAAGGCAGGAAGCACATTTCACTTTGACTATTCAAAGAACAAAAATTCCTGAAAAAGCTATTGCAGCACCTCCAACAGTCAAATCTCCCGAGCCTCGTGTAAAGTCTCCAGAACTAGTTAAGTCTCCGAAACGAGTAAAATCTCCTGAACCCATCAGCAGCCCCCCAAAAGCAAAGTCACCACCTGCAGACAAAACAGTACCAGCAGAGAAAGTACAATTACCAACTGCCTCTTCACCAAAGATAAAACAGCATCTGAAAGCAGAAACTCTTGGAGATGAGGTGAAGTTATCCTGTGCAGTTGAAAGCAGTGTTTTAAGTGTCAGAGAAGTGGCTTGGTATAAGGATGGCAAAAAACTAAAAGAAGACCATCATTTCAAGTTTCATTATGCAGCAGATGGCACCTATGAGCTCAAAATCCATGATCTCATGGAATCTGATAAAGGAGAATACACCTGTGAAATTACTGGGGAAGGAGGTGTTTCGAAAACTAACTTCCAGTTTACTGGCCAAGTATTTAAAAATATCCACTCCCAAGTAAGAGGTGTATCTGAAACTCACAAATCAGTTCAGAAAGAAAATGAGTTGCTTACAGTTTCTTCCCAGAAGAAATCAGCAGTGGCAACTGAAGAAAAAGCAGCCATTGAAGAAGTCATTAAGAAGTCAATTGTTACTGAAGATGTCAAACAACTGAAAGCAGAAATTAAAGCATCTTCAACTAAAATGACAGTGTCCGAAGGGCAGAAAGTGACATTGAAAGCCAACATTCCTGGTGCCTCTGAAGTAAAATGGATGCTGAATGGAATGGAGCTGAGAAATTCAGATGATTACAGATATGGTGTTTCTGGAAGTGATCACACACTAACTATCAAAAAGGCTAGTAGTAAAGATGAAGGTATCCTCACCTGTGAGGGCAAGACTGACGAAGGCATAATTAAATGCCAGTACGTTCTGACCTTCTCTAAGGAGCGATCCAACGAGCCAGCATTTATCATGCAGCCTAAGTCTCAAAATGTCAATGAAGGACAAGATGTATTGTTCACCTGTGAAGTTTCTGGGGATCCTTCTCCTGAAATTGAGTGGTTTAAGAATAATCAACCTGTAAGTATTTATTTAATATATCTACTAGAAAAATTAGAATTATTCATAAAACTGATCCTAATGAAAGCGTTCTTTTCCCCTCCACAGATTGCTGTTTCATCACACATCAGAGTAACGCGCTCTAAAAACATATATTCTCTTGAGATTCAAAATGCAGCAGTAAGTGACACCGGAAAATACACAGTCAAAGCAAAAAATTACCATGGGCAGTGTTCTGCTACAGCATCTTTGACTGTACTCCGTAAGTTCATTCTATGGGTCTTATGTTCAGACTAATCACAACTTTTTGCTGTCATGTGTCTACAAAAATTACTTATGATAAACAACACAGGTAATGTTGATTTAGGTATCTTAATGATTTCCTATTTATTTTGTATATTATCTACACAGAACTAAAACAGCATTAGAAATCTATAACATCCACAGAGGAGCACACAGATGTTCTATTACATCAACAAATGCATGTTAACGGAAGGCTATGAGCGTTTGTTCTAGGATGATTGTGTTAAGCCCTTGGTGCTGGCAATTACTCTTTCCTCATTCACTGACAGAACCTGTTCCAATAAAACGAAACAATTGCAGAGTTAAATTTTATGGTAATGTAACTGAACTGGGTTTAGCGTTTTATTTGCTGCACCATATCCCAGTTCCTAGCACCAAGGAGTTGCTATGATTTGCTTGTATGACTGTGCTTGGGTTTGGAGGAAAGCTGCAGTGATTGAGCTTTTTTGTTGCCTTTCATAGCTTCAGAGCAGTGCAGTGAAATACAGACTTTTTCTATATCATGCTTGTAAGAACTTGAACAATTTCCACAAACATGGACTGAACACACACAAATTCTCAATGTCTAATTCTAGTAATGGTTCTAACAGGAAATGCTCTGTGATAAACTGTTTCTTCATAAGCATGTTCTTCCTTCAAGCTTATACATCCTAGTAACTGTCCCATTTCCTACTTACCTATTTCAGTTATAAAATACTCTTTGCGATTTCGGCATCTTGAATCAAATTCTGTAAATAATACTATACTCCACTGCAGTTTTCCATGGAAAGCAAACTATGCTGTCTCTTCATTTCTGTAAAATTAACCATATAGAACTGCATGACTTTGTTAACATGACATTATTGGTTTTTCCTTCTGTCTTTGCAATGCTCCTCAGCTCTAATTGAAGAACCACCAAAAGAGGTAGTATTGAAGACAAGTGGCGACGCAAGCATGCACGAAAGTTTTTCTTCTCAGTCCTTTCAAATGGCTTCTTCTAAACAAGAGGCTTCATTCAGCAGTTTCAGCAGTAGCAGCATGACTGAAATGAAATTTGCCAGCATGTCTGCCAAAAGCATGTCCTCCATGAAAGAATCCTTTGTAGAGATGAGCTCCAGCAGTATTATGGGGAAATCTAGCATGGCTCAACTGGAGAGTTCAACTAGTAAAATGCTTAAATCAGGTCTGAGAGGTGAGCAATACAATTACTAGTAGATTTAGTGCTTCAGATATCCTGAAGTAGTCCTCAGAATAGACTTGCTGCATGGCCTAGTGGAAAGACTGACTTGGTATTTCTTCTCCTGTTTTGTAAAGGAGTACCACCCAAAATTGAAGCTCTTCCATCTGATATCAGCATTGATGAAGGAAAAGTTCTCACAGTATCTTGTGCCTTTTCGGGTGAACCAGCTCCTGAAATAACATGGTACTGCGGAGGGAGAAAAATTGCTAGTCAGGACCAGCAAGGCAGATTCCACATTGAAACAAGTGAAGATCTAACCACCCTGATCATCATGGATGTCCAGAAGAACGACGGTGGACTTTATACCCTGAATTTAGCAAATGAATTTGGTACCGATTCTGCCACTGTGAATATTAATATTCGATCAATTTAGAAAGCTTGATCTGTATAATTTACACTTGTCTTTTTACAAGTGATTCATATATGGACTGAAATATCTGATCTGTAAATATAAAAAAAAAATATTTTTGTACCTACCTGAATGAGACAAAGTCCAGAGCTATACATTATGACTTATAGTCATTATTGACCTAAGAATTTTAAACACTTTTTTTTCACTGACATGTACATACTGTATATAGCCGAAGTTAACGGTTATGAAGTTTTGTACCATTTATTTTATGACATTTTGAAACGTAACTTTTGGAACTAACAGTTGGCAGGAGAAAGTTTCCTAGCAAACGACTACCCTGCTCAACATTTAACTAATTTTTGCGCCTCAACTCATTGTTGATGTCTAAGAATGCCTCAACAGGTAGAGAGGCTCCCTGTTGAAGATTACCTACACCTAACAGATGATACTGTGCATAGTATTTCATACATGCACAAATATATATGTTGAATCAGAAATGTAAGGCATTGGTGATGTTTGCAATTACCCTCCTGTAAGCATTACTTTAATGTTTTACGTTGGATCTGATTAAGTCATAATTTCCATACCTGACTGACTATTTTTGGACAAAGTGCAAGCGGCCAGCACTTTGTTCACCCACCATCTGTGTACTGTTTCTGACACACTGACTGCCTGAATAGCTTTAGAAAAGTAACATCACCTGGCCATCCCCTTAATCAACAAAGCTATTGAGGTACTCAAGTGCAGCAGCAGTACCCTCTCGGAGGTTCGTAGGATGCAGTGATTGAGCGTGTGGTAGTATTAGACATCCTGTAGTCACTCCAGGGCAACTAAGCAATGAACCACAGTTTGAAAACAAACTGTTGTTACAACAACAAATATCCTGAGCACTTCAGTTTGCTTTAGTTTTCCTAATGTAGTAATAAATCTTGTTAGCTGTTGAACCTCCTTGAGATAGACTTGTTCATTTGAAATAAAGCATGCTTTCTGCACCATATTTCCTGCAAGTCCTTGGTTTTTATTTACTATGCTCCGTTTTTCCAGTTCCTGTACTACACTACAAGTTGCTGAAAGAAAATACAAGATAGCAGTACAGTTCTCCAGTGCAAACTAGGTAGCTAACTAGCTGTTGAAAATCCAGCCATCTATCAGAAACAGCCTGGCCACCACACGGAAGCCAGACTCAAAAAAATGTCAGACTAAGTTTCCATCATGGGCTTTTCATCAATGAAGGATAATTTCTAGCACATTCCTAAACATTATGCTGTTCTTATTATCCCTCTGTTCAGTGAATTTACAGGCCTTTCATTACATCCCGTATACATAAATTGCAAATCTCTCTTCTTTATAGCTGGTCTCTGCTGAAAGTGGTTTAAAAAAACTGCCTCCCGGAAACCTATTGCCTCCTTTTTTTGGCAGCTACAACTAGTACAGACCAATGACCCTAACTGCCCTGACCTAGAAGTTCTCACCTACCACAGGTGATGAAGGGTACATGCCCCATCAGTTCTCCATCCCTCAAGTCAGCTGACATACCTAGAGAAGCAAAGCCTGTTTTTGCATTCCTGGAAGGGAATCACAAATCCCATGAAGGCAGGGCACAATTTTGGTTATCTATGGGAAGAGTATCAAGTTCAAAGGAGCAACTCTGCTTCTAGAATTCATTCTGGTTAGTAGGAAAAGCTTGGGAGCAAATACACCCACAGCAATGCAACACTGCTTCAGGAGCTGCAAAATCCTCTTAAGTAGAGCAGGAGCGTTAGTTAGCAACACTATGCATATCACTGTGACTCCCAGCATGCTACTACTACTAAAATACCCTCAAGTTTGTCAGAAGTAGTAAAGCAAGTAGTATGTTTAAAAACCTATTCAAAAAATCCCACTATAGAAACAGATTTTTTTTTAAATTTCCTATAAACCTACTACTGCTCTCCAGAGGTCCCTTCCAACCTTTACAATTCGGTGATACTGTGATATGCTATCAACCACTAGCTATCCAAATGATGCAGGAAAAGCTAATAAATGGGGATGAAACAAGGACTGAAGTAAAAATAAGGATTTTGAAAGGGCTAAGTTGTAGGTCAGGACAAGATCCAGACTTTTACAAGTGATGGAACCAGGAACATTTAGAAGCAGTATTACAGTGTTTAAGAGTGTGTGGTATTTCTTCCTTAGGGAGAAAAGTAGAAAAGAATAATAAAAATGAGGTAAAAAAAGGCCATTTATTTTAATCTCTAAAGAAGAAAAATATCAAGAAAGCTGCTCATTCTAACTTCATTAAATGTTTAAAACCACCCCAACAAACTCGGTACAAGACACAAAAATACACAGGTACAGTCTTGTTTAACCAACAATCAACTTGTGTACACAAGCATGTAATAAATTTAAAACTAACAATGCACTTAGTCAGTCATCTCAGCAGACAGCAGTAGTGACAGGCAACACGTGCAGATTTAAGCATGGACTCTTCTCCACAAATGCTACTGGAAACTTGGTCTTTTGTGGCCTCTACTGAGTCTAGACATGATCAAGAGGAAAGCACACTGTCTGTCATGGCAGTGTAAGCAAGTTCATTCTGCCTGCTCCTCTCTGGCCCAACCCTGTCCAGTACTTACTTAAGCAAGCATACCAAACTTTAAGCAGATGTCTAAAAGCAGGATTTCTTACAGGCTTTGCTGAAACACATCTTTAATAGATAACTTTACATGCTGACCTGCTTAGCCAGTGTTGTCTTTGTTGGTTTTTTGGTTATTTTTTTTTTCCAAAAGACTGATCAGTGAATGATCATATAGTGACATCAATAAAGTCACAACCTGAAGTTTCAATATTCAGCTTCACAGAACACATCCCTAAACAGTAACATTTTCAAGACGCTAGGTTAAGCAGTCTCTGGATACAAAACAAAGCTAAAATGACCAATGAAAAATTCAAATTATTTGCTTATTATATTAGGTTGAATACTGTACAAGTTAACATTTGTTTTCTTTAAAGAGAAAATCTGTTGCACTATAGGACCAAATTCAGAAAAAGATCCTACCACACTATGTGTGTAAGGCATTTGGACTTCATGTTTCCTGGGTCCCAATGCATAAGGAAAACTTTCTAATACAACACTGTGAGCTGCTGTACAAATAGCACCTGTAGGGGGCTACAGTATACAGCATATAAGTACAGTATGGTACCTGTAGAGGGCTACAGGTTCTCTACTAACATTTTACATGTGGCAGCCTGAGAAAAATAACTGTGATGATGGATAGCTGTCATAAAACAGATCCATTTTACCACACTAGCAAACAAGAAACCCTAGTCTTAACATTGCATTTAAGGTTTTATCCTTGCCTCTAGTTTCAACAACTTTTCCCTTCAAGGGGAGAAAATTGTATGAACAGAACATCTCTGATGAAGTAATAGAACTTCTTTAGTTGGGACTTCCCCCCCCTTTTTTTTTGGTTCTACAGCTTAGCTTTATAAAAAAAAAATGAATCTGAATGCTTAATGTCCATTTAAAAAACAAAAAAGCAAGCATTAACAGTCAAAAATCAATCAGTCAATTATTCCCACAGTGGAATAAGCCACAGTACTAACAGCAGCAGTACAAAGGAGAAAGGATGACAGAGAGAGTAAGTACTCTGGCACACCAGAAAATGATAGTGTGTAGAAATATAAGCATCAGACCCATGTAAAGTATTCAGGCCCACTTCTGCAACTGTAACCCAAACTTTGTGGAAAATGCCTAGGCGGCCTACAGAGTATACTGAGAAAGGGCAGCTACAGAAGGAGCCAAAGTAGTATTAATCACAAGAGAACATGAAACACCAGGAAAAAGAGAAGACACTTTTAAATCCTGTCCAGTGACAGGATTTAAAGAATTACCTTTGACATCTGCAATTAACAGCCTTGGAGATGGCTGTTTACCCTTCCCTCAGAAAAAGCTGAAGGAGGCCTGTCTCTTTTTGTTGTTGTTATTAAACACATCCATAGGATAAAATTGTGCTCTCCTCTTTAGCCTTCACTCCCATGTGTGATGACTAGAACAGTCAGAATATGGTTATTGGTGTACATGCTCTTACCAAACAACATTCTGGATTGTTCATCCAGACTTACTTAACAATTATCAAAATGCCAATTAAAACAAATTACTAAATGACACCTTATCGCTACTGTACACACAGTGGGAAGAGCAAAGTTAAAGTGCTTCTTGTAGAATGTTTTAAAGTTCAGGCCATAACTCTGTCTTCTAGTAAGTTTGTTTGTTAGTGAAGCACTGTTTCCTGCCCTGTATGGGAAAGGGAATGCCCAGTTTCCAAACCTTAGTTCACTGCTTAAGCTAGCTGCTAAGGGGCTAAGCCCTTTCAAAACAGTGGCAATTCTAAGGATATACATACACCGTTACATTCATCTGTGGAGCTTTACAAGTGAAATAATAAAAATCCATACGGTCCTCTGGTCTTCAACGTTCTTGGTCTTCAACGCCTCCAACAGGAGATATTTTCAGGATGGCAACTGTGGATTTGGGCACTCGGGTTCTATAAAAATCCCCTTTAGTAGTAACTTTCTCTTCTAGATCTGAAACTGTTAGGTTCAGGCCAGCAGGAACAGCTGCACTACAATACTTAAAACTGAAATGTCAAAACAAGTAAAACTCATGCTTATAGTTTGTGAAAATAATCTTAACATAAATAGCTGTGATCTCAATTTTTAAATATTTTTTTTTTAAATGCAGAAGAAACCTCTTAAGTATACCTATCCCAAAGACTGCTTTTTGCTGGGAGAAAAAAAAACACACCCAAACAACTGAACAAACAAAACCCCAGCTTACTGTTCACTAAGTGGAGAGAAATACAGACATCAATTTTTGTAAGTTTAAAGCCCCTAAATGTTGCAATCTCAGTCAGTATAAATTTCAGAAGTTACTTCTTTGCTCCAGATGCCAGAAGTATAATGGCGTATCAATCATATGCACCGATTTCACTGAAACATGTTTTAGGGTTCTTGCCGCAGAGCTTGGCACAGGTATAAATAGGATGATTTAACCTTAGCAACAACACGTTACATATATACAAACCCATCATTCCAGCTTTAGTGGCATGGAGAAACCCCCAAAAGTGCTGAAGTAATATGCAAATTTTATGCTGAATCTAATCATTACCAGTTTTGTCTAAACAATCCAGTACTGAAAATTATTATTTACTTCTACATTTAGTGATCAGTCTCAGAGGACTTTTGCACACTCTGAAGTCCAAACTATTTTCTCTGTCATAGCTGAAAGCCAGAAAAAGGTATTTGTTAATGTGACATGTAATTAACACTGAACAGGCTGGCAGAAACATCAGTGAAATTGCGAAAAGGCAGCTCTAAGCGTATGATTCAAGACAACACTTTCATTCCTGTATTTTACTTCTCTGAACATCCTTTTTTTAATACTTATTTTTACAATTGTTGTGTCGTACAGAATACATTGAAGCGAACATTCAGAAAACAAAAAGTACAAGCATACGTGTGGCTGATATGCATACACTAGCTGCATGAAAACTGACAGAACTGAGCACAGATGACAGCTCTGAGCTGGTATCCACAAGTAACTTCACTTGTACAAATCATTCCATTCCATCTGACCCTGACATAATGATTGATAAAACTGGTATTTTATACATGGACAACACCTCATATATTTTTCCTCAAAATTTGGACCTATTTTGTATAGATAAAATCAGCATTTCAGAAATTTATAAGGAAATCTTCCATTCCATTCTCATCTGTCCTTTCCAGCCTGCTTCAAAAACACCAAACTATTCATAAGCACAAAAGAAAGACTAGTTAAACCAAATTAAAGAAGATTTGATTACAGAAACAAATTTTGGTATGTGCTTGAGTGCAAAAAACCCTGTACATTTACTTAGCAATTATGTAAATCAAACACAGTAAATGGCTTGCTTAAAGTGCTCTACAGCTAAGACTTAATGGATCAAGTTTATCCCTAAATTAATACCCCCCAAA